GTGGTAGCTCCACGCTCTGCGGCGGCGGCGACAGCAGTGACGACGAGCGGTGGCACGGCAGTAGGCGCGACAGCACGCAGACGGCGACGGCGACGGCGGGGAGCACCCCCGCGGCTGGCGCTGTCGAGGGATGGCCGCCGGGGCCCATGTCGCGCCGCGGGCCGCTGTCGTCGCACCCCATGGATCAGCAGCGCTGGCATCCCAACTTTTACCAGCAGCAGCAGCAGCGCCAACAGCATCAGCACCAGTCGCCGCACGCCGTTGCGGCGCCGCCGCCAGCGCGGGGTGGCGGACTGCCGGTCCTGTCGCTGGACCTGCCGGGCTCCTCGATGAACCCCCCTGCCAAGACCCGGCCGATGAGCATGGAGTCCACGTACTGTTAGTTTTGCTTTTTTTCTGTCACATTCTACTTTTCTTTTCTCTCTCTCTTTGTATTCTTCTTTTCGTTCCCTTCCCACTTGGACCGGAGTTGGTGTCGCTGACATGGTAGGTCTGGCAGATTCTGGACTTCTCGAGCACGCTCGCCCCTGGCTCATGTGGGCGAGCTCGCCGCCGCCCGAGCGCACGCTCGCGCCTGCCCCGGGCCCCGGCGGCGGCGTCACGCGCAGCAACAGGCTCAGCCGGCTGATGGAAGGACGTCGGAACTAGAGAGCGTTGGATGTGCTGGAGGGCTGATTGTAGGGAGGAGAAGGTGTAATCAGCTGCCCGGCTGGGCGTCATTCTGCAAAGTTTGGTGTTTATTACTGAGTCCTCCTTTTTGGGCTACCTGTTTATGTGTGTATCTATGTAAACATATCTAGTCCCGCATCCGCGGTCCAATTATAATCTCATATGTGTGCCTAGTCCATCTCATACATATCCGTCGAAGCCGTCATCCCCGCCGGATCCCACCTAATGGTGATGGGCTTGTGGTTCCTCGAGAAGCGCTCGCCGTCCACCTGGAGCTCAAACTTGAGGTCGGCGGGAGCGACAGTGACGACGATGTCGAACTCGCACAAAAGGTACTTCTTGCCCCTGCGGAAGCAGGTGCCACGCGTCTGCTTCACGACCAGCTCGGTCTGCTGGATGCCCGAGAGGTCGCTGTGGAGGTCGCAGAGCTTGACGGCGATCCCCTCCCTCGTGCTCCTGGGCAGCGCGCCGTCGACGCTGCTCTGCACGAGCTCGAACTGCCACGCCAGCGCAGTCTCGTTCTCGGCCACCCGCATCATGAGCTGGTGCCTGGCCGGCACGCTGGGATCGATCCTCTCGCCCTGTGGCGGCCGCACCTGGGTCAGCACTCTACATATACTGATGTCTTGATGCGGGGTGGGTGGTCCTCTACTGTTTCCGTCGACATACCTTCCTGATCAGCCATTTTATCTGATTGTTGGCGTACTTTTTGCGGTCAAAGGGGTCCGTGACGAGGTCCTGGTCGAGCATGATGTGCTTGTGTATCTCCGGGTTGTATTCCTCCTTCACCACGATGCCGTACGACGCCCGGGCGATGCGCCCGGCCAGCACCGGCCTCCTCCTGGCCGAGTCCATCGCCTGCTGCTTGTCGAAGAGCAGGCCGCGGACGACGACCAGCTGCGGGTCCTCGCACAGGAGGATGCCCGCGCCCTCGGCTCGGGGGTGTGGGCATTGCTCAAACTGCTGGCGCAGCTGGGTCCGGACGTACTCGGACTTGCCCAGACCGCCTGATAGTATCATGTATCTCTGAAGCCGGCGGTGTGATTTTAGCACATGTCCCCCCACTGTGGTGGGCGCTGAGGAGTACTGACAAGGATGCTAAAGTCTCCCTGGTTTGTGAGAAAGTCCAAGTGCCTCTTGACTTTGTGGACGATGTTGGCGATATGTGGGTCAAACAGTGACTTCATCTCTTCTCTGTGGCAGGGAACTCGCGTCAGCCCTTGTTCCAAATGCTGTCACGGGTGAGTCACAGATGCACTGACGCAGAAAACACCATGTTGCCGTTCTCCACGCCCAGCTGGGGCAGGTTGGCATCGGCGCCGAGCTCCTCGACCCGGATCCGGTACGGCGGCCGCCACGCCCTCTTCCCGAAGTTGTGCTTGACCGTCCTGAAGGACTGCGAGACGGACATGCGCCTGGCACAATCCGGCAGCAGGTCCGGGATCTTGTGGGCGCCGCCGCCACCGCACGCGTCGATGCGCGACTGCACGAGCTGCTGGAAGCCCTTGTCGATCAGGGCGGAGCCGGTGCCGAAGCCGCACACGGCCGCGACCTCCTCCATCTGCGGGCAGTCCGGGTCGGCCGACGAGACGCGGCCCAGGGTCAGGTCGGTGGTGCCGCCGCCGGCGTCGATGCAGAGGAACAGGTCGCCGACGTCGAAGCCGACGACGCTGTTCTTGAGCACTGCCACCGACGCCGCCTCGGCCTCGGTCAGGTCGATGATGGCCGTGTGGGCCGGGCAGGCGTCGCCGCCGAAGCCGGCGCCGGCGATGCAGTCCTTGAAGTCCTCGAGCACCCCGACCGCCTTCCACGTGGTCGGGACGCTGAAGACGAAGCTGACGCGCAGGCCCGACCACGACGCCGCCGGGCCCCAGGACTTGCCGACCCCGATCTGCGCCGACACCGTCTCCCGCACGTGCCGCTGCACCTCGCGCAGGTAGTCGGTCGCTATCCGGAGGGCGTGCCGGTGCGTCTGCGGCACCTTGTAGCCCCTGCCGCTGGCTCTGCCGCTGGCCTGGGCCCGCTCAAAGGTCCTGCGGTCGACGTAGAGCTTGAAGAGCGACCATGGCTCGGCCTGGCCCTCGGCCCGGTCGTGCGCGCAGCTGAAGCCCCAGGACGACACCTCGCCCCGGCTGTTGTAGTAGATCAGGCTCGGGACCTTGCGCTCGTCGCCGTCCTCGCTGTGCGGCCAGTCCCGGATGACCTGTATCGGCGCCGCGGACCTGTCGCAACGCATCCAGGCCACGCCTTGGGGAGAAACACGTTAGCTCGAGGGGAGGGTTTGGTGGACGAGAGAGGAGGGTTGGTCGGGAAGCCTGTACTGTACCTGTATAGGTTGTCCCAAAATCCACGGCCACGATGATATCCGGCGCTGCCATGGCTGCGGGGAGCTGTCAAAAGATATGGCTGCTCTCGCCGTCTGGACGTCAAATGCTGACCTGATACACTAAATAGAGATCACAAGGGAGGCGTGATGAAGTGGAAGCGCCCACGTTTTTATGAAATGCAACAAAGAAACGAGGACATGCTCTGGAATCCTGGGTCGCCCGAGATCAAGGCAAGGCTCCATGGCCCCAGGCCCTAATGGCCGCTTGCATATGGCTTTAGCTAGGTGAAAAGCATAGACCTGGCCCTTCAGCTTGCAACGAGGGCCCGGACCATCTGCGCCGCGGGATAGGTGGCAACGCAGAGCCTGACCAAAAGGCCCGGCTCATGCGTGCGGAGGCGCCGTGTGGCGATGAGTAGCACGAGCGGCTGAAATAAAGGCCTGGCCCAGAATGCATCACAAAGCAGGGGTACCACAGCCTGACCATCTCGCTGAGCAGCCAGGGTCTGTCCTGTTGATATTGGGGCTCGGGTGAGGTCTGATCTGCGTCACCTTGCCGCGGTGCCCTTATATGTTTGTTCCTCGCTCCTCCGGACAACGACCCAGTCAGGTCTCCATAGCGACTGAGCAGTCATTGTGACCCAGACACGGCCGCCTGCGTTTGACTTATTGCCCTAAAAGCAAATCACTACTATCTTGCCATGTCTACCACGACTACTACCCCGGGCATCTCTCTGGCCACTACCCCGGGCATCCCTCCGGCCAGCACTCCAGGCATCCCTCCAGCCAGCACTCCAGGCATCCCTCCGGCCAGCACTCCGGGCATCCCTCCGGCCACCACCCAGCCAGTGACCTCCTCTACATTGCCAACCCATAGTCCAACAGGCTCCTCATCGGCCGGGGTAGCCACTGGTCAGACGAATGGGATAGCCACTGGCCAGACGAACGGGACCACTGCCGCATGCCCGGCTACCACCTGCGAAACCCATGCTGGCACCATCGCGGGCTCCATCGTGGGGAGTGTCGTGGGTGTTTCCGCCATCATGCTGCTCGCCTTCTGGCTCTACGTCCGCGCCACCAAGAAGGGTAGCCACAGAAGGGAGTGGGCTGACGGTCTAGAGCTCAGCGACGCAGCGCCTCGTCACCAACAAGCCCATCAGCAGGCCCGTCGACAAGAGCGAGGAGGCCACCAGCAGTCTTTCGACCTGGAGCCCTTCCTTCTCGAGCCGACGCCGGACAAGGTCATCGAGTCGGAGCTGTCCTCGGTGATACAGCTGATGGAGCAGCACGTTGAAAACAGCTACCACACCAAGCAAGTCCCCGAGAACCAGCGCGAGCTGGTGCAGGCCCTGGAGAGGCTGGGCTTTGGGGACGGGGACGTGTCCGCCTCGCCCGAGTACATGACGTCTCTGGCGCTCGACGGGCGCACGAGGCGGGCCGCGTTGAGGGCGGTGCTCTCCTTCACCGTCTTCTCGGCCATGGAGTTCCGCAACGCCAGCAGAGGGCTCTCGATCCTGCCACCGTCCGTGGTGGACTTTGCCCGCATGGGCCTCCCCAAGGCCCGGAAGAACGGGAACCAGGAAGGTGAGTGGTACCGAAAAAGCCAGCCCAACGGCGGTGGGTTAGGGTGGGACGAAGAACCACTACCCTGTAGAAGGGCGCCAGCTGACGCTTATTTCGTGGCTGCCGCCCCCGTCCTCAAGCAACGGCTCGGGCGGCGACCCAGTGGAGGGTCCTTTCGGCCTACCTCCTGCACCCTCACAGGAGCGAGAGGTCGGCGCTGGTGCCCAACGAGGCCGTCGTGGCACCGCAGGCCGCGGCGCTGGCGGGGGCGCTGAACGGCTTCCTAGCCCCGTTCGCGCGAGCCGGTCAGGCTGAGAACCTGCAGGACGTCGTGCTGGAGGCGGCAAGGCTCGGGTACATGCTCTTCTCGCACCCGAGCGAATGGAGATTCGAGCACGCCCCGATCCCTGCCCAGGGTGGTGGCGCTCGCGGCGGTGGGCGCCTGGTAGTGGTCGGGGCCGGACTCATCAAGATGTCGCCGCATGGTGGCAGCGGCGCGGGCACCAATCCAGTGCGCTCGATAGCGCCTCCGGTGGTGCTGTACGTCTAGGGCAGAGTTGTCCATGTGTCGGTGCTCCGTGTGACGACAGGGGGTGAGGAGGTTCTGGACGCTGTGTGGCGTCCAATATGCACCTTTCACCCCATAATGTCCGTTATGAACAGCCAGACCGGTGTCCTAGACCTTCTTGACAGTTTCACTACAGCAGACTAGACATTCAGAGAAACTTAGCGCAGTATATAGTTGGCGGCACCAAGGGTGTGATTGGTTGCCTCTATTTGCCGGGCGTCAAACATGCACGCTTGAGCAATTCCCACATCTCAGCCGTAGCCTTACCTCAATATTCTGGCAATAATAGCCTACCTAGCTTGGTGCCGATGGCTGGCATGGTGGGAGCCGAGCCTCCATCCCATCCTCCTGCTTTCAAGCGTTCTGGTTGCCGTCGAGTGTCGGCAGCTAGAGCTGCCCTTCTACTCCAACTCGGCTGCTTCGGGACAGTCACCTCTTGCACGGCCTCTCCTGTGCCTCTACAAGGTCTACATTTTTTCTCAACAGAGACCCACTTGCCACGCAAGCCTCCCAACAATCCACCCGATACTAACACAAGGCCCTGCTGGCCTTGACAGTCTCGAATGGCGACGGCGGTGGCTGGGGCGGCGCTGGTCGTGGCCAAAGAGCTGGTCCTGGTCGGGATCCAGCTCTCCGGGGTGCCGAAGCAGATCGGCCGCTGCATCGAGCTCACGCGGGCGTGCCACAACTCGCTGCGGGAGCTCGCCAGGCTCCGGGAGGAGCACCGCGCGGCCCTGACCCCGGACAAGCTGCGACGGATCGACGACACCATCGTCATGGGCACCAAGGCCTTCGACGAGGTCTGCACCATCGTCGGGCGGTTCGGCCCTCAGGCCTTCAGCGGCGTCGGCCTGTTTAGCCGCCTGCGGTGGCAGTACAAGGACTCGCACGAGTTTGAGGAAATGAGGCACATCATCGAGAGGAACAACATCGACATCAACGAGGCCATCACCCGCATCATCCTCATCGCCGAGCTCCAGCCCGTCACCAGGATGGCCATGGACTACTTGGGGCAGAGGGAGCAGCAGGTGACAGCCGCGGCTGCTGCTAACGGGGACGAGGGGTTCGACCAGTTGCTGGCTGGAGGGTCGCCGACAGGAGCAAACGGTGAGACGACGCATTCCCATCCATACAGCTTTTCTGCCATTAGTCTATCGAGTTTACGAGGGAAAATGAGCCTGTTAACACGTACGGAAAGACTTGATTACCAGACCACTGCCACCCCCAAAGCTTCCTCCAACCCCGAAGGAAGATACCTACTATACACATAGTCGGCCACGGAGCCCCATGTATCAACATCTGGCCAGGGCCGAGGTTGCGGCTGCGGCTGCGGCTGCGTCCTCGCCCCGATCTGAAGCACCGATGACGTCGCCGCCGCGACCTAGATATTCAGCCCCATCCATGACCTGGCCGGGCGCCGTCCAGGAACCGTGCCCGCCTGCCCGGCCCCCCACCACCCACCTTGGCGTCAGGCCCTCCCATTCTCTCACCTCCAGGCTCTCGCTGGAGGACCGCGTGCTGCGGGGCCAGCGCTCCATCATTCTCCGACCCGGACCCGACGACGACGCGGGGCTCCATGCCCTGCTCGGGGACGCGCACCACCAGCGCTCCGCCTCCTCCCCTGCCGTCGTGGCAGTGCAGCAGCCGCAAACGCCGGCCGCGTCTCCCTGGGGCGTGGGGACGCCGGGCGCCGTGAACCTGATGAGAGCTGGAGGAAACGGTGGGCTGCCGCTGATGGCGACTACCCCTGACACGCCACCGGACACACCAAGACTGGGGAGTGTTGTTCTTTACGGACCGTCGCTGTCTGGACCGGATACTACTTCCTACTACTAGCATAATGCGGCTTTTGCGCTTCTCCTTTGCCCCGATTCCTTTGCTCATCAGACTTGTCGCATGTTTGGGGGAGGATGGCAGCGAGTACATATGTCTCTGCAAATGCAAATGCAATACCACACGCAGAAGCTACAGTTGTTTCGGGATTCTCTTACTCCCTTCTATTCTCTTGTCTTCCATCTCTATACCACAGGGAGGCTTGTTACCTTCCCTACAAACAAATAGCAGTCCCTCCCTTTGCGCTATTGATGTATATAGTCCGAGTCTTCTACCCAGACATTTACACATGGACCTTTGGGGTCATCTATCACTTTTAATGAAGTTAATCGTGCTGCCGAATCCCAATATTTCTATATTATCACCTACGAGCCTAAAGGACCCAATTACTTCCGCCCCGTGGCCGACAAGCTACCTATGTACCTTTGGCCGATCGCAATACTAGCTTTCTTCTACACAACACACGTACCCCCTGGTCCAAGCCGATTTCTTCTACCTTTCTGCTGCGATGGCAGCTCGGAGCCCAGTCTATATGCCCGATTCTGGCGTTTTCCACTGCCGAGGTAGGCACCGCGTAAGCCCGACAAGTGGAGAAGAAGGTGCAGAAAGCGTTGAAGGACAGGCCTTTCCGCTTTCCCTGCAGCTACGCGATCAGCGCAGCCTCATCACCGTCATCGTGGCTGAGCCTGCAAGGAACCTCTTGACTGATCTCCACGACTCTTCGTACGTAAATGGCGGCAGGCGTTTTTCAACGTCCTTTTGGCGTTATAATTCCACCCACAGGCGACCAATAGTCGTCCCCCTTGTTACCCAGCTGTGGAGACCCCGCGGCGTCCCTGGTGTCTGCCTATCGTGGGGGAGGAGCTTGAAGCGTCGTCACTCGGCTGCCGCAAAGCCTCAAACTGATGGGGCTCGTCCTTCAGCCACATAGATCTGCTGGATCCACGATTGACACGAAGGGCGCATTGCGGGCCGGCACGCGTTGCCATGGTACGTGGGATGACGTGAGCGGTAGTCCAGGCGGCCCAACGTTGGCCCGCGCTATACACGGCGACGGGGATCGCGGCCGGATCTGGGCGTAACTCGGACTTTGACATCGCAGAAACCGACGCCTTGCTCTAGGATTCAGCGCTAAGCTGCCCTGATCTGCAATCCACGCATCAAGGAACAAGGGAAGACTCAGATAATGCAAGTCACTTCGCAGTTTGTAAATTTGCGGGGTGTTCCTCCTGGGAACATTTGGTCACCTTCCTCTATTGGAGTTGCAGTATGGCCCCTGCATTGGATCCTGAGCCTTGGTTCGGGCTGTGTATGCTGTGTATAGGGCCTATCCAGCTGAGCATCACGCCCCGCCGGAAGCCCTGCGCGTCCTCTCTTTCTCTTGGCATCAGCACACCTAATTGCCGTCTTGGCACACCTAGGCACTCGAGTGGCTATAAATCCCACAATCATCCCCTTTTATCTATCACAATGGCTTAACCTGAGCCATTACGCCTCGGCCGTGCCTCCCCGGTGAACGCTCAAGTATTCGCAAAGCATCCCTCCAGGCCCCCACAATGCTCCTCAGAAACCCGATCCTCCAGGTCGCGGTCGTGCAGCTGGCAGGGCTGCTGGCCTCGCCTTCACAGGGGCACATGGCCGTCCACGCCGGCCAAGATGGCCACTGCCCGACCTTCGGCGCCGTGCTGCCGGCGCCCAAGAGCCCCGGCAAGCACGAGGCCGTCGCGGCGGCAAAGGCCGGGGTCAAAGCGTTCCTCGACCGGCTCACGGCGGACTTCAACAGCTCCTCACTTTCCGTGGCCGTCAAGTCGATCCACGAGCCCGGGAACCTGTTCGAGTACCACTACACGCCCCCGAACCTGGATGCCAGGGGCGTCCAGAGGGTTGACGGCAACTCCGTCTACCGCATCGCCAGCGTGTCCAAGATCCTGCCCGTGATGGCGCTACTCCTCCTCGACGGGGTCAGGCTGGAGGACCCAGTCACCAAATACCTCCCGGAACTCAACAAGCTTAACGAGCAGCCGGCCGAGAAGGACGAGTTGACCACCGTGGACTGGGACGACATTACGCTGGAGGCGTTGGCCTCCCACATGGCCGGCATCTCCCCCGAGTGTGGGTTTTTTTTTTTTTTTGAAATGAAACCCGCTAGACGGCGTTTGATGGTTACTTGCCAATTTCGGCGGTGTTGTTTGGAGACCTGCAAAACTAACGGAGAACAAAACGCAAGACGACTTTGATCTCGTGCAATTCCCGAGCCTGAACCCAGAGACCGTGGGTTTGCCTGCACGCAGCCCAGAGCCGCTGCCGGGGTGTTCGGGCTTCATGGGCCAGCGGCCCTGTACCGCCAAAGGTAAGACCCCCGGAATCTAGACATGCAAACCGCCAGTCTCTGACAGCGACGGGCACGCAGATTTCTATGACCACTTTGGCAAAGCCCCGCCCGTTTATGCCCCGTTCAACTCCCCGGTTTACTCCAACGTCGCCTTTGGCATCATCGGGTTCGTGGTGGAGAAAATTTCGGGCAAGTCGTTTGCAGACTTCACCAAGGAGAAGATCCTGGACCCCCTCGGCATGAACAACACTTACGCCACGAAGCCTGACGATTCCCTTGGCGCCATTCCTCCCGGGGATACCTGGTGGAACGGAACCCTCGGATTTTTGCTGCCGTAAGTTCCGACCATTCTCTGCTGTCCTCCCAAGCAAGCAGGAAACAGGAGACAGGCCAGGGAGAGAAAGCTAACGCAAGAGTCGGGGGCATGTGGCGAACCAGGACTGGAAACTACTACTCGTCCACAACGGACCTCAACGTCCTCCTCGACGGCATCCTGACCAACAAGCTCCTCAGCCCCGCCAAGACGCGTCGGTGGCTCAAGCCGCTGGTGTCGACCTCGTCGACGGGCGCCATGGTCGGCGCGCCGTGGGAGATCTACCGGGCCGACAACGCGACGGCGGACCAGCGCCTGATCGAGGTCTACACCAAGTCGGGCGGGCTTACGAGCTACGGGTCCCTCGTCAGCCTCATCCCGGACTACGGCCTGGTCATGTCCATCCTGGCGGCGGGCCGCGAGGCGATGGACCCCATCACCGTGGTGGGCGGGACCCTGGTCAAGGCGATGCTGACGGGCCTCGAGGCGGCCGGCAAGGACGAGGCGCGCCCGCGCTTCGCTGGCACGTACCGCGACGAGGCCACCAACTCGACCCTCGTGCTCGAGCTCAACGCCACCGACCCAACCCCGGGCATCTCGGCTCCCGTCCTCATTTCCCGCGGCGTCGACCACCTGGCCGTCCGCCTCGGCATCGTGCTCGACGGGCCCGCGCCCGACCCGGCCACCGTGCCGCGCGCGCGCCTGCGCCTGTACCCGGCCGGCCTGGGCAACGCGCGGCGCGAGGCCTGGCGCGGCGTGATCGGCGGGCTGACGGCCGAGCAGGAGGGCGCTTTCAACGTGCTGTTCCCCTGGCCGCAGACGGCGTGCCAGACCTGGGGCTTGACGGGCCGGCCGGCGTGGGAGCTGCAGGCGCTCGACTCGTTCGTCTTCAACCTAGGCGCCGACGGGGCCGCGACCAGCGTCGAGCTGCCGGCCTTTAAGATTAAGCTGAATAGGGTGTAGGCAGTGAGGGGGATGTTTGGAGTGGGGGAGGAGAAGATTTGATGGTGGAGGGGGATCTTGGCGTTGTGAACTCTAGAAGACTCAATAATCCATAAAACGAGACAGATGAAACCATAATGAATGGGATTATCGATAATCCATCTGCTGGAATCGCAGAGACGACCCACCCAATGACGCGATGCTAACGAGCTCCATCGATTCGACCGGGCATGAAGATGGTGCCATCGGCTGGCCTCGGCTTGATTCCGCCGGCTGCAGTATTTGACAGCCCTTGCACCCCGCCATACTTTGTAGATTTGCATAGTTGACCAATTGTCACAAGTTGAGTCGCATCGCTAGCACGAGCAAAAAATACCATGTCGTCGCCAGCCATCACCAAAGTGGCCGTTGCAGGAGTGCGTAATTTTCAGTCATCTACTATGGGTCCTCGAAATTACCTCGTGTTAGACAGCCAGCAGCTAACCTCGTCCGTCCCACCAGGGCAGCGGAGGCCTCGGCGCGTTTATTGTGAAGGAGCTAGTGGCAGCCGGGTTCGAGGTCACCGTCCTCCGCCGGGCCGGCTCGACCTCGACCCCGCCGGAAGGAGTGGCCGCCAAGGACGTTGACGTGAGAAGCCACACACCCCCACCCCTTTACGCTCTCCTACAAGCGCGCAGATTGACAAAACTCCCCGCCCAAGTACGCCTCCCTGGACTCCCTCACGGCCGCCCTGCAAGGCCAGCACGCCGTCGTCTCGACCGTGGCCACGGTGGCGGCGGCGGGCCAGAAGCTGCTGGCCGACGCCGCGCTGGCCGCGGGCGTGAGGCGCTTCATCCCGTCCGAGTTCGGCGTCAACACGCGCCTCGCCCAAGGCCACCCCATCGGCAAGATGCTGGCTGGTAAAATCGCCGTCGTCGACCACCTGGCCGCGCTGGCCGCCGAGAACCCGGCCTTCAGCTGGACTGGCATCTGCACCGGCCTTTTCTGGGACTCTGTAAGTGCTTGCCCTCACTATCGCCTCAAACCTCTCTCACCCACCGGGCGGTTCCCCCCTCACACCCGCCGCATGGGCGCCACCACGACAAAAAAGCAAACAAGGAAGGAGCCATCCCATATAGGCCATTGCCATGCACTGTCAGTCATCGAACACCAACGGACGCCAAGTTGGTGTAGTGGTTATGAGGATGGGTCGAGTCGACACCGGGACCCTACCTGTACTCCGCTGCAAGAGCCTCTTGGGTTCGGGTGTTCGAGCCCCGGTTGGGGATCGGAGAAACCTTTCTAGTGGAATGTTTCGTAGCTGTCGCCCCGAAGCGGCAGCAAGCTTTTTTTCGTTTCTTTTCTTTTTTTTGTTTTGTTTATATTTTGCAATCGATGCATTAGCAGAGTGCATGCCCTTTCTCCCCATTGCTACTTGTGGCAAGCCTCCCATCTCCAAGATATGTACCACCCGACAGCTAATTTTGAAAAAAAAAAAAAAAAAAAAAAAAGGCCCTCGACTCCGGATACTCAGGCCTCAACGCCACAACCAAAACAGCCCGCATCATCGACTCGGGCAACGAGCCCTTCCAGGCCTCCACGCGCCCCTTTATCGGGCGCGCCGTCGCCGCCGTGCTCCGCCGCGCCGACGAGACGGCCAACAAGTACCTGCTCGTCGCGGGCTTCCAGCCCTCGCAGAACGAGATCCTGTCGGCGCTCGAGACGCTGACGGGCGCCAAGTGGACCGTGGCCGCGCGCGCCGACACGGCCGCGCTGCAGGCCGAGGGCGAGCGCAAGCTGGCGGCCGGCGACCACAGCGCCTTCCCGCACCTGCTCGAGCGGTGGTGCTACGGCGACGGCGTCGGCCACCCCGTCGCGCCCGCCGACGACGCCGGCGAGGCGCTGCTGGGCTTGCCCAAGGAGGACATGGGCGAGGTGCTGCGGGCGTGGCTGGGGAGGGTGGGTGCGATATAGGCAGGGTATGAGGGGGGGGTCGGTACACACACGGGTTGGACTCACGGTGGCATAAGAACCTAGGTACCTACCAGTAGATGGCATCTTGGGCGGGGAAGAGAAACACGACAACGATGAGGCATCGACGGCGGCGGCACGCGAGGAGGAAAGGAGAGTTTCGATTAAAATGCGAATTCGCAAGACTTGATATTCATTTAGAGCTTGGATAATGGCCCGTTCCTCACAATCTCGTTGTCCCTGTTCCTTTTTTTGTTGTCGAAAATCCTTAATAATTTACACAAGGCCATAAACGAAACACACTCGCACACACAAAAGCTTCCGGGTGCGGGTAAAAGAAGAAGGAAAAAAAACAAAGCATCTTACGCGTGGATGTCGAAGCGGTCCAGGTTCATGACCTTGACCCAGGCGTCGACAAAGTCCTTGACAAACTTCTTCTGCCCGTCGGCGCTGCCGTAGACCTCGGCGAGGGCGCGCAGCTCGGCGTGCGAGCCGAAGACGAGGTCCGCGCGCGTGCCCGTCCACTTCTTCTGGCCCGTCTTGCGGCAGGTGCCCTCGTACGTCTCGCCGTCGGTCGTCTTCCAGGCCGTGTTGGGGTCGAGGAGGTTAACGAAGTAGTCGTTTGTCAGTTTGCCCGGCTTGTTCGTGAGCACGCCGTGTTTGGACTGCTTGTGGTTGGCCCCGAGCACGCGCAGCCCGCCCACCAGCACCGTCAGCTCGGGCGGCGTTAGCGTCAGCTGGTTCGCCCGGTCGACGAGGAACTGCTCCGTCGTTACGCGCTCCGACCCCTTGCCGTAGCTGCGGAACCCGTCGGCGTAGGGCTCGAGGTGGCTGAAGCTCTCTACGTCCGTCTGCTCGGCCGTGGCGTCGTTGCGGCCCGGTACGAAGGGGACGGGCACGCCGGCGGCCTGCTCGACGACGGCGTTGCCGGCCAGCACGATCAGGTCGGCCAGCGAAACTTTCTTGCCACCCTTGGCGTTGAAATCGCCCTGCACCTTTTCGAGCGCCCTGAGCACCTCGGCCAGCTGCTGCGGCTCGTTGACGGCCCAGTCCTTTTGGGGGGCCAGCCGGATGCGGGCTCCGTTGGCCCCACCCCGCTTGTCGCCGCCGCGGAAAGTGGAAGCCGAAGCCCACGCGGTGGACACCAGCTTGGCCGGCTCCACTCCCGAGCCAAGGATAGCCTTCTTCAGGGCCGCGGCGTCGTTGTCGTCGATGACGGCATAGTCGACGGGGGAGATGGGGTCCTCCCAGATGAGCACCTCTTTGGGGACCTCGGGGCCCAGCCAGCGGGAGCGCGGGCCCATATCACGGTGCAGCAGCTTGAACCACGCGCGCGCAAAGGCGTCGTAAAACAGCTCCGGCTTTTCCAGGAAGCGTCGGGAGATCTTCTCGAAGCCCGGGTCGAAACGCAGCGACAGGTCCGTCGTCAGCATCCTGGGCTTGTGCTTCTTGCTGGGGTCAAAGGCGTCGGGGATGAAGGCGTCGGCGCCTTTGGCCACCCATTGGTTGGCACCGGCAGGGCTCTTTGTGAGCTCCCACTCGTACTTGAACAGGTACTCGAAGAAGTTCATGCTCCACTTGTCGGGCGTCTTGGTCCAGATGACCTCGAGGCCGCTGGTGATGGTGTCGGGGCCGGCACCAGAGCCGAACTTGTTGGTCCAGCCCAGACCCATGTTCTCGAGAGGGGCCGCCTCGGGCTCGGGGCCGACATTGTCCGACGGGCCCGCGCCGTGCGTCTTGCCGAGGGTGTGACCACCGGCAATCAGAGCGACCGTCTCCTCGTCGTTCATGGCCATGCGCCCAAAGGTGACACGGATATCCCTCGCGGCGGCGACAGGGTCCGGGTTGCCGTCGGGACCCTCGGGGTTGACGTAAATCAGACCCATGTGCGCGGCAGCCAGAGGAGACTCGAGCTCGCGCTTGTGGATGTCCTTGTGGCTCTTCTTGGACTCGTCGCCCTGGACCACGCCGCTGCCCTTGAGGCCCTCCTTGCCGTCCCTGTAGCGCACCTCGTTGCCCAGCCACGTCTTCTCGCCGCCCCAGTAGGTGGACTGGTCGGCCTCCCACGTGTCGGCGCGGCCGCCGGCGAAGCCGAAGGGCTTGAAGCCCGACGACTCGAGCGCGACGTTGCCGGCCAGCAGCATCAGGTCGGCCCACGAGATCTTACTGCCGTACTTTTGCTTGACAGGCCACAGCAGGCGGCGGGCCTTGTCGAGGCTGACGTTGTCGGGCCAGCTGTTGAGGGGCGCGAAGCGCTGCTGGCCCTGGCCGCCGCCGCCGCGGCCGTCGAAGGTGCGGTACGTGCCGGCGCTGTGCCAGGCCATGCGGATGAAGAAGCCGGCATAGCTGCCGTGGTCGGCGGGCCACCACTCCTGCGAGTCGGTGATGACGGCCAGCACGTCCTTCTTCAGGCCCTGGTAGTCGAGGCTCTTGAAGGCCTCGCGGTAGTCAAAGTCCTTGTCGTAGGGGTTGGTGACGGGGCTGTGCTGGCGGAGGATGTCCAGCTTGAGCGAGTTGGGCCACCAATCGCGGTTCTTGGTGCCACCGCCGGCGACGTTGGCGGCGGAGCGGACGGGGCATTCACCCATGGCAGCGGTTGACGGCGAAGATGCGTGTGCGGTGTGGTTGAGCTCGGCGGAGGACGGTGCTGCGGCCTGCGACGAGGTAGAAAAGCGGAAGCGCTGGGAAGACGCTGGGAGTAGAAGAGGGGAAGCAGCGAGGGCAGAGAAGCGCGGTCGAGGGAGCTGCCTCTTTAGCCTTGATATGTGCACCAAGCCCCGCACCCCGCCTCCTCGAGCAAGCATCTGTGGCATGGCCCGCATTTGGCCAGCCACTCGCTTCACTGCGAGACTCTTGTGTTATGCAGAAGCAAAAGGTCTGAGGCCCAGTTAAGGCGCGGCCGGATCTAATGGGCCGACGGCGATTGGTCGGGCGGTTAAGCTGGGATAAGTTTCCGCTGTCTGGGTGGGATCGAGGGCGCCCAAGAGATGGCGAGGTATCCGCGCCCGTCACACTGTGTCACTGTGTGTTCTCCGACGGGAGACGTCGAGCTCGGCGTTCTGTGTTAGGTTGTTCGGGGAAGATGAAGCTCCCGTTGATCCATCTTTTTTTTTCTGCGGGTAGCAGCTCCCTATGAAGGCTGTCGCTCCAGCTAAAAGACGCACTCTATTCAGACAAACACCTGTGTCAGCACCCTGTCCTACCTGCCTCCCTTGCGAGGCCTTCCCGTACTCGCCAAAATCTCCATCATGGCCGCTATCACGAGAGCTATCAGCCTCATAGACTTGCTAACTCGCAACCCCAGACAACAAGAAGCTTCGCTCGATCGCCTCTCTTTCCGCTCCTATCCGCTTCTGGGATTTAGCTGGCGGCCGGCCTCGGCCACTTCTCGGAGACTGCTGGGCTGGAGTGCCAAGCGTATCTTGGTCGAGGACCCCGCACTGCGAGCTCCCCAGCGGAGCATGGGCTAGTGAAACGCAACCACGGCACCAAGCCCTAAAGGTTGTGTGTGGCCTGTGTTTCTGTACCACCATTCTCATTAGCTGATGTGACTGGCGCCGGTAACGGCCCGGCATGTTCCCCTCATGGCACGAGCAGCCATCACGCCATTTGCGACTGCGAGCCGGCATCTGTCTGTTGCATCTCGTGAGAGCCGTCCGCGTCTCACCGTGCTAATACGCCAGTCCGAGCTGCCCTGCACTGTCCAAGCGGCGACCAACCGAGAGTGCGGGGGTTTACATACGTTTGCCGTCATTGGTTGGCCTGCCCTGTGGGTCACTTACTCGCCGCCCTAACAACCCGTTTGATGTCGTCACTGCTCCAGTTGCCGCCCCAAGAATGCCATAAAGGAGCTACGAAGTTAGAGTGTAGATAGAGCGTTGTGTATTTGGCGAAGATGTCCGGTTTGAAGCCGGAATAATGACGACCCTTGGCAACGCGAGCTCTCGGAAACCACACGCGCTATCAGTTCATGAGCTGAAGCTGTCCGTTAGCCAAGCTCAACCTATCTTTAGCATTCGGTGTGTGACGTCGGCAGACGTGGCTCTTCTCCGCTTTGTCACGCAACCCCACCCGTCCGCATGGAATTCTTATTGGCTTGGTGGGAAGCCGACAATACCCATGACCTCGGAAGGGAAAAACGAGAGCAGAATGTGGACGGTAGTGAAGCAGGCCCAATCGTATTGTTCGCTAATGTCAGGTGCAGCAATACCGCGATCCAACTGTGTCAGCAGTCGTACGATCCTGGGTTCGGCAAAGGCATATCCACAAAGGCGACTATTGTTTGTTTTCAACCTCTTTGGACAGGAACGGCGCTTTTGCATTCCAAATGCCCATCGGGAAGCCGTTTCTTTTTGTTTGGATACCGTCATGCACGCTCGCCGAGAACAACAAGCTGGGACCATTGAGACCAGGAGCGGCATCGTGTTCCAGCCTCCATTGCCCGTGTCTGCTTTTTGACATTGCTCGTCGGCCTGGATCAAGAACCTTGGCTGATAGGCAGTTCTTGAGTGATGTGGTCGAATAGAGAACAGTGACTGTCAACCGCGTTTGCACCAACGCCGTCCGTGGGCGGACACAAAGTCTGTGTGTGATTGACCGACGAGCCTAGAACTGGAAGTGGAAATGGAAACGCAAGGGGGAATCGAGAAAAAGCAAAATTTCGGCGGCACCGTGTTAGCCCGCGAATTTGGCTCCCTTTCTTTCTGCGGAGCATGAAGTCATCAATTGCGCATTTGCTAGTCGACTTGGCTGTCAACCCGTTCTGGGGCTTAGATGGCCAAAGCACAGCTGTACAAACCCAACCCTCTAAATAGCGCATTGTGAACCTACCCTCACTCCTAAATAGCCTCATCAACGATCGCCAAGCCGTCATGCCCAAACTCTCTCGCTAGCGGTTCAAGGTCCGGGTAGGCAGACCCCCGCCAACAGGGCCGGGGAGACATTAGACTGGTCCGGACCACAGGGGTTGCCCACCGCCAGAGCCCCCCAGCGGTCCCCGTGTCCCTCGGGGGCTGCGTGGCTGTGCACTGTGGCCTGCCACCCGCCATTCGGGGCCCCTTTTTATTTGTTCGCCAGCGAGATTCCAGAACACAGAATCCAGAGGGACCCGCGCGATACGAGCCCAAACCTGGCTTTTCGTGCAGATACGGGAGTGTTAGCCGGGAGACACCCCTGAAAGTGCGTGATGATTCCCCCATCAACGGCTTGAAATTTTTATTGCTTATTTTTATCCTTGCCCAGGTTCGATTCGATCCGGTGCCATGGAGCGCGGGTCACCGCCATCTGTGCCACCTCTATATAAGCGCCCAGGTCTTCGTCCTTGATGCGCATCTTGGCTGTGGTCTCTTCAGCACCTATCGCTCACTCAGTCACTCGCTTCTCTCGCACAGCCAGAAACGATGCGTTCCTCCTCCCTCGTCGCTGGCCTTGTGGCCATGGCCAGCACGGCCAGCGCTGCCATCCAGGGTTTCAACTATGGTGCCTTCTTCATGAACCAGCAGCCCAAGTCCCAGGTTGACTTTGAGTACGAGTTCAACCGCGCCAAGAACCTGCCGGGCACCAGCGGGTGGAACAGCGCTCGTCTCTACACAATGGGTAAGACAACCTCCAAGAGCCTCAAGTAAGAAAGAGAGGTGTCGACTGACCAACACTCACTGTAGTGCAATGGCACACGGCCAATGACGTTGTGCAGGCCATCCCCGCCGCCATCAACACCCAGACCAAGCTCCTGCTTGGTCTCTGGGTTTCTGGCGGCGACCAGGCCATCGAGAACGAGCTGATCGCGCTCCGCAAGGCCATCGACTCCTACGGCGAGTCCTTCACTCGCCTCGTGGTCGGCATCTCGGTTGGCAGCGAGGACCTATACCGCAGCATCAACAATGAGGTCGGTGTCGATGCCGACACCCTGGTCCGCTACATCCGCCGCACGCGGGAGTTCCTGGCAGGCACGCCCCTGGCCGGCACCCCGGTTGGCCACGTCGACACCTACAACGCCTTCCTGGACGGCCGCAACCGTAAGGTCGTGGACCAGCTCGACTGGCTCGGCTTCGACGGCTACCCGTACTGGGAGAAGGAGGCGGCCAACAGCATAGAGAACGCCCGCGCCCGCTTCTACGACGGTCTCGACAAGACCGTCGCGCTCGCCAACGGCCGCCCCGTCTGGGTCACAGAGACCGGCTGGCCCGTGATTGGCGACACCGTCAACCAGGCCGTCGCTAGCGCCGCCAACGCCCGCACCTACTGGCGGGAGGTTGCTTGCTCGCTCATCTCGCGCGGCATCAACGTGTGGTGGTACATGCTGCAGGAGAGCCAGTGGGGTCAGGCCAATCCCGACTTTGGGATTTACGGCCCCGGAGATTTGGGACAGATGCAGCCCTACTTTGACCTGTCCTGCTAGTGTCATTGATCATGACTGGTGATGGCTTTACGGATTGCAAGGAGAAGGCGTATAACTAATATTCACGACCATAGACACGACTTGGATTAGATTTATCTTAATATTAAACCAAACTCCCAAGTATGGGATTTTCTGGTACATACGTCTGATTGATCACGTGGCTTATGCCGGGGCTGTGAAGCTTTAGGTTGTGAATATTCGCCCTCCCGCGGCATCGTGTGTGCCTGTTTCCGAGGCCTTGTGTTGCAGCAGGTGACGTGCCGGGTTCGCACTGGCGTGTTTCCTCGGCAGCCACAGCGGGGACATGCAGGGAGGAATCTCGCTTTCCCGCCAGTGGCGCGTCGGCCGTCGGCAGGAGAATGAGGCAAGTCGACGACGCCATGCATGGTGGGTGACGCGCTGTATTGTTCCAGCTGGCTCTCACATGTCACCAGCTTCTTGTGCGAGGAAAGCGGCGATGGAGCTGGTGCTCTGGGGCGACTGCCTGCCCGGAGAACACAAGCTAGGAAGCCGGTGCCTGACAAGCTTGATCTGAGTCATTCTCTAAACCAGCGCAGACTCGTGCCTTTTCAATGTTGGGCCGACCCCTGGCAGAAAGCAAACAGACTGTCAGATTGGCCTGGAACCTTCCTTACAGGCGGTGAGCGGATAGAAGCTTGCTGTTGCGATCAAAAGCGGCAGAATCAATTAATTGCGCAGGAGCTGGCGCGCCCTGGCCCCTCTCTTTCCCCGCACTCCTAAGACCCTGGCGGCGGACCGTGGCGCCAACTGTCAGAACCACGAATGATTTTTCTTCTTCTTTTTTATGTGATATCCTCCTTCCTATAGTAGCTCCGTTTAGGAAGCCAAATAATGCTAGGATGGTGTGTAATCACACGGGTTGGTGCATGCCAGACCGGCCCTGTTGCTCTGTTGGCCTCTGTCGTTCATGGGTTCCAGGTTGGACCTGAGACCCCGTCTGCCCACTGGTAGGTACCAGTCTAGTCCGCTGGCGTTGGCCACCAAACTTGCATGCTCCATCACGCCGCGTCAAACGAGGTCGAGATCAGCCCAAGTCCCGTGCCCGTGCAGGGGCGCGCCAATCAGGAATGGCTGGCATTTTGATGATGCGTCGATCGCATCAGGCTCATGAGGGCTCAGGCCCTCGAGGGTCTCTGCGGGCTCACGGAAGGGCGAGGGCAGACAAACAAACGGCCTGCAGGAGCGTATCGACGGTTCTGTGGCATGAATGGGTGTGTGCTGGCCTGCAGCGACCTGCAGGCTGCCCTCTCGCATCTTGTCGACTGCGGAATCGGCTATCTCACCGGGCTGCAATTCGTCGTGCAGCAGCATGCGATATGGCGGTGCGTTTTGCGCTCCAACCACCGCCCAGGGCCCCCCGCCGTCGGTGGTATCCATGGATCCATGCCGCGGCTGGCTTTTTAGCTTCAGTTCAGTCTGGCAGCGCTACGCTGAAGGTTCATGTTGCCCGTCTCGGCTGCTCCCACGCGCTGCGTGGAGAAAAAAAAAATACCTGTGGCTACGGCTTGTGCAAGATTCGCCCGCCGCAGCAGAAGCGGGAGGGTCACCCCTGCACCAGTGTGGATCACGACCGCGCCGATGTGACCCCAGCTCCCTGTCACCCCCCCTTGTTGCCCAAGCCATCGCCCATCCCGTCCCAGCTTTGCCGTGTGCCCCTGCCCGTTCCAGCCAGCCCAGCCCGATCCCCAGCGAAAATTTGGTCACGCAGCTCACCCGAGCACCAAGCACCGAGCTTTTGTCGATTTTTTTCCTCCTTGCCTCCCCGAAACCTCCTCTCCACCCGCCAAACCAAATCCTCGTTAGCCTTTTGCCTCGGGAATGCCCTCAACCTCGCACTGCGCGTCGCGAGCCTGCGATTGACGCCCGACTATTGACTGCAGCTCCCGTTCTGCGGCACAGCGCCCGCGCCCGCGCCCGCGCCTAGACAAGGCCGTTGGCCCGACGCGCCCGACGAGCACCCGCCACAGCGAGATCGACAGCTGGCGCGACATAAGCAGCCACTGCGAGCTCCCTTACTCGTCGCTCCGCCAGTCCTGTGTCCTCGTGCCGGCCCTGAAAAAAAAAATGGATCCGCGACAACCACCACAACACCCGTTTTCTCAGCGGAATTCGGGCGCCTCTCCTTTGTTTACCCGCAATCCGACTTTTCCACCCTCGACGTCAGCCCAGCAGCCACCATTCCCGCCCACCTCGCACCCGGCGCCACCACCGAACGATCGAACCTACCAAGTCGAGCACGGCCAGCAGCGTCGCCCGTCTGACCCGCACTACTTCTCCCAGCCACGCGCATACGAGCCCACGTCGCACCCGGCCTCTGCTGGCCACTCGAGGCATCCGAGTACCTCCTCCTTGCCCTCGGCGCCGTCGTCGCTGGGCCGGCCGATGCCCCCTCCCAACTCGCCTCCCCAGCAGAGCCACGGCGCAGGACCGCACCAGATGCCCTATCCTCTCCCGCCCCCACGGCCCGTCGGCCAGTCCTCGGCCTTCGCCAACGGCCGCGAGCTTCCTGCGCTCGGCTCGATTGCGCGCACCGGCAGCGCCAACAGCAGCATGTCGATATCGTCCATGCTCGGCGGTCCTGCCCCGTCCAGGGAGCCCGCGCCGGGTCCTCCCTCCCAATATGCGCCGCCATCTACAAGCTCGGGAATGTCGGGCCAAAACTACGCACCTGCCCATCACGCGTCACCTCGGATGCATCACATGAATCCCGGCGATTACCCGCCCTATCGACGACCTCAAACCCCCGATCACCAGCGACCATACGATGTGCGCGCAGACCCACGCGATCATCGCGGAAGCGCGGCGGCCTCACCTCAGGGCATGCACCCTACCCCTGACGTTCAGAGATACGGTACTCCCCAGGGCTACGGCCAGCGCGGCCCGCCCATGCCCGCAGGCGACTATGGCCGGGAACCGAGTCGCATGCAGCAACAGGTGCCTCCCCGTCCGAGCAGCCAACCGAAATCTTTCCCAGGCATTCCGCAGGGTGGCCGACCGCTGGAGCATGGCCGGCCGGGCCTGCAGCACGAACCGATGTACGGCAGGCGCGATGAACCGCCACCTTCAGGGGAGTACAACCCTGAGCGACCGATTCGGGTGCCGAAATACGAAGAGCCCAGGTACATGACAGAGCGCGAGCGGATGGACAGGGACCGCGAGAGGGAGATGGAGTACCGAGAACGCCAGGAGCGGGATCGCCAAGAGATGGAATATCGCGAGCGGGAAAGACGTGATGCTGAGAGGCGCGAGATGGAGCGGCGCGAAATGGAGCGTCGTGAAGTTGAGAGGCGGGAGCGTGGGATGCCTCCTGGCGGTGAGCCTGGAAGGCCGCCGCCGGGCCATGGGGGGCCCGATTACGGACACCCAAATGCAAGGGGCCCTTTGCCTCCGGGCTATGGCCGACACCCGGACCCTCGCGACCAGGGACCATGGCCTCGACAGCAACCGCCGCAGCATTACGAACCTGGCCGTCCTTACGACCCTGCTGCTCACCCACCTCCGCCACCGCCTCGACACCCGGATTACCCGCATTCGACCGCGCCGCCCTTTGGCTCGCACCCCGCGCCATACCACCCCCAACACCAGCCTCCCGACCGGTATCCGCCGCCCTCACACCCGGGCCAGGCTCCCATGCCGGGCTCTGGACCTGGGGACCGTGGCCCTCCCCCACCGCATCCACAACCGTTCGACTCTCCAGAGCGTCAGCGCCACATTCTCCATCAGCACCATCAGCAACAGCATCCTCAACAGCAGCCACAGCATCCGCATCGCAACCCTGCCGACGAGCCTCCACCGCGGCCGTCGGTCGCGTACTCGGGCGGGCCCGGAGGCCCAGGGGTTGGCCCTCCCTATGACCCTTCACGCAACAGGGTCTCGGCCGAAGAGATACCGCCACCCCACAGGGAGCCGCCAAGAGGACTGCTGGCAATTCAAGAGATGAACCGCAAAGGCCGAGTATCGCCTCTGCCACAGGCTGTGCAGGGCGCCCAACCCCAGCTGCCGGGACCAGCGAGTGAACCTGGTATTAAGAGCGAGTTCGGTCGCATGTTTTCTGGCATAGGCAGTGGCGTTGGGGCTCTTTCAAGCCCTATCCCGAGCGGCGCACAAGTTCCCTTCACGACAGCTGGCCTGATGCGGAAGGACGATTCGGAGGGCCCAGGACATGAAGGGATGGTAGACAACACGAGTGGCGTGGCCAAGCTGACCAGGGAAGCGTCGCGCAACAAGAGGCGATCAAAGGTGAAGGAGGAGGAGGCGCGTGTGGAGGATGACGGCTCGGGGCGCCTGACACCGGTGGGAAGGGTCAAACGTGCAAAGACCCATAACCACGCCCACCACCACCATCATCAGTAAGTTTCCTTGGACGCCTAGTTTGACTGACCGACTGCTCTCACGGAAATCAGGCGTAAACTAACTTTTGGTCACCCCTCAGTCATCATCAGGCCCACCACCATCACCACACGCATCTTCCCGCCGAACAATTTGCTGCCTTGGGCAACACACCATTCAAGAACGTCAAGGGTGCCGCGGCGGTTCCGTCCCCTACACCCATTCGTGCTGTTCACCACCATCACCATGCCCCACCGCGGACCTCTGCCCCGACGTCCACGCCCAAGCAGCCTGCGGCGACCACGGCACCACCGAGCCCCGCCGTCATCCTTCTTCCCAAGCCGAAGCAGATTATCAGCTCTGTGGCTGTCATAGCCAGCGTTGCCGACAAACCGAGACAGCACATTGGCGATGTCCTATACGAAGTTTCGTTGGAGCCCGCGCGCGTTCATGACCCAGTGACCGGCAGGCCACCCAAGATGCCCTTCAAGTCGACACCTAAGCCACTACCCATGGCACTGATTAAGGGTCGCGAGAACTGCACGGTCACGGTCAAGATTAGCAAGGCTCACTTGAACTCCATGGCGCGCGAGGAGATCACGTCACGCAGGGCGCTGTGGGGCACCGACGTTTATACGGATGATTCAGATGTTATCGCAGCCTGCATACACGGTGGCTGGTTCCGTGGCGAGTGGCCCGAGGATGTCAATGTTGACATGCTTGGCCTGTATCCTGAGGAGCCGTCGCGGCCGTCTGGGCCCAACGGCAAGGGGCCAGGGAGCAGGAAGGCTGCTCAGCACCCACACATGACCAGCGAGGCGCTCCCAACACCAGACGCGCTCACGGAACCCCTCAAGACGGGTCCGGTCAATGTTCCGCCAGATAAGGACCTTCACGTCACTGTCCTTGTCCTCCCGAAACTGCAGCACTACGCGTCTACCGTGCGTTACGGCATCAAGAGTCGCGAATGGGGGAATGCAAACAGAGTCCGGGGGTCCTCGATGACTGCCGATGACTACTCGCACAACCCCAAGCTGACGGCTTCACACGACGGCCTCAGCTTCAAGGTGCTGGGTATCCGGTGGGTCACTAACGGAGCGGGGGCCCAGTCCCGCATCAGGGGCGCGGCGCGGCGCGAGCGTATGAGTCGCGCGCTGTGTGAGGTGTCTCTCGGCACGGGTGCGGGCCTCAACCTTGGTGGCTTCTCGGGACCGGCCGGCGGCGACCAGGCCCAACGCGCTGCGGGAGCCAAGGCCGTCGCAGAGCTCAAGGCAAGCCTTGGGAAGGACCAGGAGGCTGTCGCAAATGGCCATATAGATGGTGACAGCGGCCATGCACCGGCAACACCTCAAGTGCCCGCCGCCGACGAGGGTAACAAGGAGAACCAGCCTGCTGTCGCTGATGTTAGCATGGCTGATGACAGTCAAGACAGCAAGTTGGTCGGGGTCACAGCAGCTGTCGTTGAGGAAAAGCCGCCCACTATGGAGGTAGAATCGGGGGCTGCTAAGAAAGCGCCCGAGGCAGAGGCTGCGATTTCTGATGCTGACACTTCGGCTTCTGCTGCTAGCGCTGCCAAGGAGGCCGCGCCAGCTCCCATGGGTTCACCGGCAGCCGAGAGCAAAGAGGCAAAGGCGCCCGAGGACGTGCCAATGGCTGAGGCCTGCGAGCCCGGCGCGCCGAGCGCACCCGTCGAGGCTAAAGTCTAGAAGACTAAGAAATCGTCTGGTAACTGGATATTCTTGTTCTTGCCGGATCTGTCTTTTTTCTTCTGCTCATCCCAATCCGTGCGGCGACGCGGCGCAAAGCCCCTTGGGCCCATGGGGGTTGCGGCATGTGACTTTGCAGCTTGGTGCCCATCCATGGAATCTGTACCCCCTCGATGGCCGGTGTTTATACGCGCGCAGCGAGCCTGGGCGCTATCCATCGCATAATTATATACCCTTGGATTAATCGTGTACAACTACTCTTCTATATGGGAATGAATGGCATTGGTGTTGAGCCGTGAGCTGTGTGAAAAGGGACCCATGTGCCCAAGCTTGATGGCGAAGCTGGTCTTGTAGGCGGCGCCTCCCGCTGTGCATGTATAGGCTCTAATTTTTATTCGTACAATCCTCCGTCTTTTTTTTTTTCTTTTTCGACCCTATCCTCTATCCTCGCCCTAGGCCATGAACGGGCGGCGGCTCAGAAGTCTGTCACCCTCCCGTTGAAGCTGTAGTCCCCCGCGGCGCCCCAGCGCAGCGGCTCGTTCTTTGGCCCGCCGACCTCGCCCGTCTTTGGGTTGACGTCACCGTCGAACTCAGGCGGGGCGCCGCGCCGGATGCCGCCGGATGTCGCGGGCGCCTCCTCCTCCGCCGTCGTTACCGCCGCCGCTTCTGGCTGCTCGGCCAGGATAGCGTCGCCCACCGACGCGGCCTCGCGCTGCAGACGCTCAAACTCGGCCTGCTCGGCCGCGGGGAGGCGTGGCGGGGCCGGGCCGGGGGCGAAGGTTGACGAGGGGCGGAGGAGGAGGAGGAGGCGGCGGGGGGCGGCGGCGGCGGCTGCTCGTGGGCGGAGGGGGGAGCGCGCGGGGAGGTGGGCGGCGCGGAGGAGGGGGCGCATTGTTGGAGGTTGGGTGTGGGGGATTGTCGGCGCGGTGATGTTGGGGGCCTTGAGGGCGTCTGGTGAGGGTTTGAATGCTTACTTTGTGGCAGGCGGGTGGTGGCGATAGATGATGTTGGGTCGGTTCCGAGGTTTAGTTTGGTGACCAATGACGATTTCAGTGGTTTGTTGGGGCTGGAGTGCACGACGCCACAGGGGTTGTCGGCCCCACATTCTCACTGTAGGTTAAAATATTGACATTGATTTTCCCAAGCCAATCACAAAAATGCGAGCGACTCCATCACTTTATTACTTTCTCTATCCAGCCCTGATATCCAACCTTCTAGATGCAGTATCGCCTGTACACCACATCATTTCCAACCACAAACAAACCAAATCACAAAACACCCCCAGAGTGCTTCACCACCTCGCCGCCCATCTTCTCGGCCAGGGCCTCGTGGATCCGCCTCCAGTGCTCCTCGAACTGGCCCCTGAAGACGTTGACGAGCATCTTATTGCAGTCGACGCCGACCTCATGGACGAGCACCAAGCTGACGGTGGCGTCGTCGCCATCACTGCCGCCGCGGATGACGATGCGGCGGTCCGACTGCACGTCGAGCGCGGCCTTGAGGCACGCGAACAGGCCGTCCTCCATGTTTGTGAGCTGGTAGCGGTTGACGGCCGTGGCCTTCCCCGGCAGCAGGCGCGCGAACTTTGCCGGTATGCGGTCCGTGACGGCGTAGCACTGCGTTGACCCGACGGCGGCCGCCTGCGCGTCGGCCGGCAGCTGCCGAAGCCCGCCCTTGGGCCGCTCCTCGGGCACGTACGACTCGAGGTTCGGGTCCCGGTTGATGAAGAAGTCGTGGTCGTGCAGCACCTCGATGGCCCGCTGCCGCGTCACGCCCTTGATCTCAGTTGAGGTCTGGAAGCTGTCGGTCGTGCGGAAGACTGTTTTGTGCCGAGGTTAGCAATCTGTTGGTTGCTGACTGATTTGCATTTGGAACAGATGCCGGGGCGAACCCTACAGCCCATTGTGCCTGTCAGTTGTCGATGACTCGACAATCTCGTAGTCAAAGGTGTTTGTATCGATCGATGATCACCAAGGTCTCCCGCGACAATTAATGGCAGCTCTCACGCTGGATGTCGTCGACAAAGTCTGGGCCTGGATATCCTCTCGAGTGTCCTGAAGAAACGGCCACCAAGAACACGTCCAGAAACAGGATCACCTGCAATATTTAAACTCGTCGATTCTCAGCCCATCCCGTGTCCCAGCGCACATCGTATCGATGGCCGTTTTCTGGCCGAGGTACGTATGTGCATACGATGAGCCCAGGGACATGGGAATACCGCAATACAAACAAGGTTTGTTTCAACAGCTGCATTCTGAGATGCAGCACTTGCGGCTCACTCGGGCCACACACCTGCAGATTCATGCCTGGGCATTTTATCCGGTCCTGACCTAGCGCTGCCTGTGCACTCCCCAAAAGACACAAGACTCGGCCGGGCGGACTCGGCACTCTGTCGAACTCGAGACGTATCTGCACGTATGCAGCCTCGCTAGCAGCAATGGGTACATATACGAAAAGTCCGGACCGTTCCGTTCTGGTGCGGTGTGGTGCGGTATACGAAGGTAATCTGTGCCCACCTACACATATGATCGCCGCTCTTGTGCAAGACGAGCAGCCCTGTCGGGGAAAAAAAAACAAGCCCTGGTTCTTATTGAGTCCAGTCCATACGCCAGGCGACCCAATCAAATCAGAAAACTAGAAAGCCGACCCCCAGCAAAATCATGACGCTATTCTTACAAGTACCCAAGAGACGAAGCCGGCCTCGGGTACAACAAAACCATGCCCGCCTCGGAGTTTTACCTGCCCCGGGCCTTCGAGGCTATTATTAACTCAGCGTCCGGTGTTGTAGCACTAGCTACCAAGATCGAATCCGCGAACATGCCAGTCCATCGAGTGATGGAAATTCTTTTACTACTTTCTCTGCCAGTCCTGGACACCCACTTACACATTCATGTGTCCCATCTCGGCGTCTTTCTCAAAGTTTCCTCCGCCACTGCGGGCCGCCGCGCCGCCGGGGCTGGTGCTCCTGTGGGCGTAGGCCATGCGGAGCGCGAAGAAGCACTGGAGCACGGCGATGACCCACTGCAGCGCCTCGACCGAGGCGCCCCGGTACAGCACCCTCCCGGACGCGGACGGGCCGCTGCCGTGGACCGTGGTGGCGGCGTACTCGAGCGCGGCCGACGTCTGCGTCGTGGCCAACGCCACCATCAGGGAGCCCGCCGCGCTGCCCCACAGGAGCGCCATGAGCAGGCGGCGCGCCATGACGTAGGGCCGCCCGCCGCCGCGGCTGGCCAGGCGCGCGAGCACCGCCAGGGCGGCGAGGCCGAGGACGAAGAAGACGCCCGTGGCGGGCAGGAGCGGGGTGAAGATCTTGGACTGGATCACCTTGGCGGTCGACAGCAGCTGCGTGGCGGCCTGGCCCTTGGCGGACGAGGCGGTGCCGTTGTTGGAGGAGGAGGAAGTGGTGGTGCTGTTGCTGCCGGCGACGGAGAGGAAGTGCTGGGCCAGCGACTCGCCCGTCTGGCCGACGGCCGAGGTGCAGGCCGTGGGGACGTTCTCGGCCGTGAAGCACATGCCGAAGTGGCCGATCCGGACCGTCATCTCCCCCGTGCCGTTGCTGTTCTGGACCAGCGAGACGAGGTTCAGGTTCGGGATGCCGGGGGAGGTGCCGAGGCATCCGGTAAAGCAGAGTACTAATAGGCTGAAAGTTAGCACATATTGCTGCCAGGCGAAGGGGGACAATATCATGGGGGGGTACGTACGGTAAAAGAGGATTATGGGCAAGGGGAGGAAGTAGACAAAGTAGTCGAGCAGCGGGAGGCTCGACTTGGAGCCTGCATGTTCGCCGGGAGCATCGGCGCCGCCGTTCTTGCGCTCCTTGTGCTTCTTCCAGAGCATGGAGATGCCCTTCTTGGCGAAGAAAGCCCAGAAACCCATTTTCGTGATTGCTGGTGGAAGGTTGGGAGAAGGAAAGTCGAGTGAAGAGTCCGAGCCTTGGGGGTTGTGGGTGTCGTCGACGAAACGTAAGGTCGTGGGCGGTAATTGGAGAGTGGTTTATGTTTGCAAGATGAAGGTTCTGCCGGTCTTGTAAGGGGTCCTGGATCGTTTATGAAAGAGGAGAAAATTACAACTAGCTGCGTCAAGCAGTGTTGGGAAGGAGTAACAAAGACTGCAAGGAAGACACAAAGGAGAAAAGTGAGAAGATAGGAAAAGGTGACTGCGATGAAACAGTAGCGAAGATGGGCTGGCTGGCAAGAACAATGGCAGGACAATAGCAGCACGGAGGGTGTTATTTAACCGGACGCCAACCATTGTAGTGACTCTATTCACGCCATTGTCCAGAGCCAAGACCCTAGCCCATGAGACCCGAGTTGGGTGGGGCACAGAAGTTGAGAGGCTATAGGCGCGCGGGACGGGGTTACAGTGGGGTTTTGGTTTTGGCCGCGCCCCTGAAAGCCACGATTGATTGGATCTCGAGTGACGGCGCTTAGTCAGGCGACGTCGCTCCACCACCACTCATCCGGCCGCGAGCTTTGTCGCGGCGCCTGGCTGCTATTTTGACACGATTGGGTCTTGGTGGTTCTCTTGGTGCTTGCTCGATCGGGCCGGATTGAGTGGGCAGGGGCTGGAATAGACGCGATGAGACGCGAGGCGAAGACCAGGAGTACACACAACTACTACTTCTCCTTCGACTACTTCTCCTTGGAGCCTGTTAATCGCCGTTATCAAAGGGCCAAGTTGACGCCGCTAGCGAATCCCAACCCCGGATACAACGACTCCGAAATGACAAAATATCTGCGTCTTGACATGTCTATTCTCGTGATACTAATCATACAGTGATGCTGCTATTGGGCAATTTCGTCCTCATCAGACGAGTTGTCCTCCACGTGCAGCCTCGTCCATCGGACGGTAGCATCTCACCACCCTAACAGTCATCCAGGTGCGTTGTGTTGAACAACCTATTGCCAGTATCCGTTCCTCCGACGCCCTTGAACTTGTTGGTCGATATCCTCAACGCCACCATCTGGACGTTGCCATACTCGGCAAGCCTCTCCCGCATGCTCGGCTCCTCCAATCCTGGCTCAACCATGCCGGACATGCCGGACATGCCGGATTCCCCCGCCGGCATCTCCTCCCGCACCTCCACGGCGTTAGCCTGCACGACGCCGGCCACGACGACGATGCGCACCGTCCCGTGCAGGCCCCGGATCGCGTGCACGAACTCGAGCATGCTGGCGCCGCTGTTGACCACCGAGTCCACGAGCAGCACGCAGACGACGCCATGCAGATGCTTCGCCTGCACGTCCCCGGGCCCGCGGGCGTGCAGGTACGTGGCCCCGGGGAGCATGTCGAAGACGCCCTGCGCCATCGGGTCGCCGCCGCGCATGAGCGCAACGATCAGCGTCCTGTCCCCGTGCGGGAGCCTGTAGCCGTCCGTCGTCGTCGTCGTCGTTCTTGCCGGCTCGTTCCCGGCGTCGGCGTCGGCGTCTTTGCAGACGTGCGGGATGGCGAACCGCTCCAGCCCGAGGACCTCGGGCAGGAGCTGCATCGACAGGTACTTCCCCGCGGCCCGGTGCGCCCGCTGGAGCTCCCGGCCGCTCGTGCCCGCGTCCCTCATCGGCGTCGAGAGGAGGTTGGCGGCTGCCCATGTGGTCGAGTGGTGGACTGGGACCGTCGGCCGCAGTGCTGTCGTTTCAGGGGTGTGTGGGGGGAATATCAGGCTAAGGGTTTCGGGATCTGTCAGGCTGGCGACAGGTAGTGACAGCTGCGGCTGTTGGTGCTGTTCTTCAGAGAGTCCTGTCACCGGGCCGTGTGTCTTGGAAGGGGGCAGCTCGACGCGGTACAAGAACGAGGACTCATTGGCGCAGTCGCAGTACACGCCGGGAGACACCATGTCAAGGACGCCAGGCTGGGCGTACCTCCCTATCTCCTCCTCCATCTGCTTGCTCATGGCACCGCCCTGCCTATCCCTGTCAACGACTACAAAAGCGCGGTGTGCCGTCTTTAGCATAGGAATGTCAACGGCGCTGTCGCCAAACGCGCAGATGTTGGACCCGACGCCACGGGACGGCACGATCCCACCGAGATGGGCCTCACCCGCCAGCCACCGCACCACCTCGGCCTTGTGCTCGGGGTCCACGACCGGCTGGAGCGCCTCGACGCGCTCGGCGCCCACGAGCCGCACCACGTGCGCGGTCTCGGACTCGGCCTCGCCCCCGTCAACGAACGTGCCCCCCGGCCTGAAGCCCTCCCGCATCAGCACCAGCTCCCAGATGCGCCTCAGGCCGCACGTGATGACCAGAGGCACCACGAGCGGGTCGTCGACGGCCCGCTGCAGCAGCGAGAGGAACTCGGGTCGCATCTCGACCCGCGACGCCACCGACGCGCAGAGCGACTCGAACCACTCGTTGTCGTCGTCGTCGTCGTCGTCGTCACCGCCCAGGGCCTCGACCGCCTCCTCGTACAGGAGGGTGGCTTGTACAAACGCCCTCCGGCTGTAGCCCAGTGGGCCGCCAAACACTTGCTTCAAGACGGGTACCTGCTCGCCGCCGCCGCCATCGTTGGGGGCCATGCCCACAGGCGCCGCGACCAGTTCCCAGAACAAGCCGCCGCTGTCCTGGGCGGAAAGCGTCCGGTCCGCGTCGAACGCGAGCACCCTGACGTGGCTCCTGTACAGGCCCGGGATGGTCTTCTCGTACTTCATGCACGGGTGCCGGCCGATGGGGCCCGTGACCCCCATGATGTCGAGCTTGCACTCGGAGCGCCTGATGAACTCGAGGAGCACGCGCACGCGCCCGGGCAGGTCCCCGCGCAGCCCGTCGACGACGGTGAAGACGACGCCGTGCTCCCGGCACCGCCGCCGCAGCTCCCTCTTCTCCGCCTCCTGCCACGCCCCGAGCGCGTCCGCGCCGAGCGGCGCCCGGGCCCGGGTGGCGTCGCCCGAGCAGCGGGCGGTGATGGTCTCGGGCGGGACGGTGAGGTAGATGATGTGCGTGTACGACTCCCAGTCCGCCTTCGTGTGCACGCTCTGTAGGCTTGATAGGAGGTTTGATGGGCTTGGCGGCTGGGCTTCGTCGTCGTCGTCATCCTTGGCCTCGACGGGGAACATGTAATGCCCCGTCACCACGACGGGTTCGCGGCTGAGCTGGGCGTGCTTTGCGACGTCCCTGATGATGGACTCGCGCCACTGCTCCTTCTCCGCCGCGCCCAGCTGCTTGAATGCAGCCAGGCCTCCGGGCACATTGCTGTCGATGAGCTCTGACCCCTCCCTGAAACTGTACGGTTTGACCTGGAGAGGGACGGGCGGGGCTTGTGGGGTGGTCGTGTAGTCGGTCCCCATCAAGTCTTGTAGGCCCTTCAGGGCCTTGGCAAGCGTTGTCTTGCCCGACCCGGAGATGCCGTAAAGGCCCACGACCGGGAGTGGCGGGAGGGATCCTGCCATGGTGCGGGTCCTGCCTTGTCGGAAAGGGATGAGGTTCGCCGAGAGAACAAGTCTTTAGACGGATGGGTAGGTGGGTTGAAAATGGATATGCCTAGAGCCTCTATTTGTCGCACAGCCTCTCAGGTTCAGAGATAGACCAGTTCGTAATAAGGACAGCCTTGAAGTGCTGGAATATGCAAGAAGATTTCCGGCAATGGAACTGGCAGGTTGTAGCTGGGGTATGCCCTCATTTATACCCTTCCAGCTTTCTCTAGATATAATGACACATCGATTGGAGGGGTGACAGATGGCAAACAAACAAGTCTAGTCACGACTGACCAGCTAAACAAACGGTAATGATGAGAACATAGCTATGACCAGGAAGCAAACTAACGAGTGCTGTCAAGGTTAGAAATTGGGGCCATAATCTTACGGAAACATTCGTTAGCATTCCGACTCCCTTTTGGTGGTGCCATCTGTCTGTCAGATAATTAGGAACCCATACCATCACTTTGCCTACTCCTTACCTACTCTCCCTCCATCAGACTCCTACCTCTAGAGGGCAACAAAGGCAACGGAGAACCCTTTCGTTCACAGCATTGGAAGTGATGAACGGGCCCTTCGAGACCAGACTTTTCCCCGCTTCGTCACAGCCGCATTCACTTCACTTCAGCCTCGCTTCGTTTCCAGATATTGCTGCTGGTATTTTCACACGGCCCAGCATGGGCATTATTCTTGACTATCACGTCCGCCCTCTACGTGCCTCGATAATCAGCAACCACAGATATGTACGACATCTGATCAAGTGGGGACGAAAGAATTGCTACAGGCTTTATGATTGGTTTTACCATGTAATAAATCCCGAAATAGACATTTTCACCCCTCTGTGCGACGCGGAAACCCTGGGGCGAAGCTCGTCGTGCGGCTACCTGCCCCGGAGTTCCAAACCCGTATGGGAACAGCTAGGTCGGTATCCGTTTGCATTATCAGACCAATCTCTGCTCTTATCAGTCCCAACTCTGGGAGATAAAGTGACCCGTTTGCTTTGGGTTCGTTTGTTCTCTCTTTACTTAGCTGCAGCAGTATTTATATGCTCCGGGCTTCCCGTATCTCTCTAGCCGAGATCCCTCCCCCTCAAGGCCGCGACCACCCATCCTTCAGAGACAGCCTTTCTTCGAGCCGAAAGGTCCCGCGGCACAAGTCACCAACGAGCAACTGCCCATCATTGACCATAACAGCCCACGCACCTCTCGCCTATATACTACACCATGCGCCGCCATATTCTCCGCGTCATCCTACGCCGCTGGCACGCACACCTCGGCCTCCCCCGGAAGGAGTCCTGCTCGTGGCACCAAGACAGGCTCAGCGAGGAGCTAATCGAGCTAAATGGCGCCGAGTCCCTGATCGGAACCCTCAGCGAGGCGAGCGACGTCATATTCTCCGTCAGCAGGGCCGAGTACGAGGGCTTCACAGACGACCGGGCGACAGTCTTCGTCTTCCTAGAGCGGCTGAGCACCTTCTGGGCCGTGGCCGTGGTCGCCTACATGCTCTACAAGTTCACGATGCGCTGGTCCTTCTACCGAGTGACTGCCTACGCCTGCGGTCTGAGGGGAGCGCGGCTGGACGCCGTGCGCGATGTGATCAATCCAGCCAAGAGCCACAAGCTGGACGAGGTGGCGGCACGGCACGGCGTCCAGGCGGAAGAGTTTCGACGCGTTGGGGGGATTGTGAGGCGTCTGTGGCCACTGGTCCCATAGATGGCTGATTGCCGACTCACAACACCTACTCGCCCCGTCCACTGATCACCCCGGTGGTGGCTCCGAAGGCATGCTGCGCCCTTGGATCCCTCCTGGCATTGCTGGGTCCCAAAAAAAAACCCAAGAGCCCTGCCAGCGAACAGATGAGCAGGGTACCGAGCAACATTCGCCTCTCCCTGGACTATATATACCATACAACACCAAAAGTTCAACTCTCAAAAAAGTAGGAAACGGCAGCATCCGCAAAGAGGTCTGGCTACCTCGGAGGACATTTTGGAGACCATTGAAGGAGGGCGTGGAGCCAAGAGGGACATCTCACGTGGAGTCCACCGTTGGGCTAGCCTGTGGCTCACCCGACTTGCTAATCGAAATTTAATTATCTGCTCCTGTTTTCTCTGCCCTGACGTGATTTGACACCGCGGTCGGGGCTGGAACTAGAAACGTCTTGTGATATTCTTCGACCCGTCATCTCACTCAAGGGGTCACACATAGGTTACATAGATAGGATCCTTCGATTGGTGGCCTGCGCTGGGACTGGGTGTCACCTGGACGAGAAAGAGCCTCGCTTGCGAGAACACTTTTCGCCTCGTCATTTCGTAAGAGGCAAATACCTGGGTATATTGTAGGGACTATCGATGCTGGCGGGTCCGGCTCACGGGACCCACTTATTATCACCCCATCTCTGCATTATGCCGAAGAAGCCCAGGCCAGATGTTGGAGCAAGACGGAAAGCCAGGGTGGAAAATCAAGACTTTTGCCCACAAGGTTGCAAAGACCTCGGACAGAAAGGATATGCCCAAGAACCATGATGGTGGTGCTGGAAGTGGAGGAAGGCAAGGCCAGCGAGCCGGCAGTGTTCTTTAGGGGCGCACCCGGCAGTCTATCTTGATTCTGGAAGCATTCCGCGACGGCATCCACCCACACCACCAGCTAAGGGGGAGGCAGTGCGTGGGGGGGGAAAGGAGCGGGGGAACAGATTAGGACCCAATTGCAATACAAAGCCTCATGCGAGAGGAAAAAGAAAGGAAAGGTTCGCGATACAACACTGGTGGCGTCGTCTCGGAAGGGCGGCCAGTGCAACACGATGAAATCAAGAGCCCGCCCCTCCTGCGCGCGCTGGAACCGGGTTTCCCACGCGCTAGGCCAGTTGCAGTAGGCGCCGGGTGGGCTGTCCAGTGAGGTCAATTCCTGCTGCCCGAGGCCCACTGTTTAAAGCACGCAGTTGAGGCTCCACTCCACGCATGACTTCAACCTTCAGCGCGTCTCAAGTGGACCTGGCTGGGGGAGCAACGGCAGACGAGTCGTGCGAGGTGCAGGTGCGCGGGTTGCAGCTTCGCAACTGCACACCGCATCTGGGCAAGATGGAGAAACATCTCAAGTAGTGGTGCTGCTCGGGCCGTCCAACAGGGACCCGCGCTACTCATGAAACCGACACCCCCCTGGCGGCGATTGCAAATCCACGCCAGGGGCGGCCGCCGAGCGTGGCTGACGCTGGCTGGACAACTATCACCATTCTATCTGGCACAAACAGCCTGCCCCGTCAAACCGGAGGCACCGAGTGATGGAACCCGGAAGCGCGGGTCTGGCGCTGTTTGTTTGGTGCTTGTGCGCTAGGTGTCGCGAGCCTTGGAAGCCGGACGCTGGGCGCCGGCCATGGATGACGGATGACGGATGATGGACAACGGGCCAGAACCCGTCGACAGCGGCATCCCAAACATGATGCCCAGCACCCGTGCGGCTGTCTTTCCCCTGTCTAGTCTTGGGTGACTGCTGTCTTGGCCGAATGCTGTCTTGGCTGGCTGCTGCCTCGGGCTGATCATTTGTCGATCCAATATATAAGTCCATCGTCCGACTGAGACTCTATGAGGTTGGAATCTGGCTCTCACTCACCCACCTCATCTCATCAGGAGTTTCCAGTCATCTCTTCTTTTCCAAGCTCAGGCAGCTCTTTCCCGGCAGGCCGAGTACATTCAAACAACCTTTTTCTCTTCCCACCTTCTTTAGCATCTCGGTCATTTTCGCCCGCCTCCACTTTTCTTTTTCCCACCATTCTTCAAAATGGTCAACGCAAAGAACACGCTCCTCCTGGTCCTGGCCGGCTCGGTCTACGCCAGCCCGGCCAGCTGGAGCGCCAAAGAAGCCAGCAAGGGCGCCCTCGCCACCCGCAACTTCATCTGGTCTCGCACGATGAACACCGTCGACCCGGGCCAGGCTGTTGCCCCAGAGGCGGCTGATCCTGCCGTTCCGCCAGCGGCGGCCGAGAGCGCCGCACCCCTCCCTCCCCAAGAGGGCAAGGGCAAGGACGGCGGCAAGAAGAAGGGCAAGGATGCCGCCGCTGCCGCTCCCCCCGCAGATGCCAAGGGCAAGGGCAAGGACGCCGCCGGCAAGGGCAAAGACGCAGCGGCCAAGGGCAAGGAGGCCAAGGGCAAGGAGGCCAAGGGCAAGAATAATGCCGCCGCGCCGCCTCCCCCTCCTGCGGCCGACGGCGCCGCCCTTCCTCCGGCTCACGCTGCCGACGGCGCCGCCCTTCCTCCGGCTCCCGCTGCCGACGGCGCCGCCCTTCCTCCGGCTCACGCTGCCGACGGTGCCGCCCTTCCTCCGGCTCCCGCTGCCGACGCTGCGGCCAACCCCACCCATCCTCCTCCGGCCAACGGCACCGCGCCGGACGCCAAGGGCAAGGGCAAGGGCGCCGCTGCGCCACCTCCACCCCCTCCGGCTAACGGAACCGCCACCCCGCCCCCGCCTCCCGAGGGCAAGGGCAAGGGCAAAGATAAGGAAGGCAAGGGCAAGGGCAAGGGCAAGGGCAAGGACGCTGCTGCGCCGCCTCCCCATCCTCCGGCCGACGGCGCCGCTCCCCCGCCGCCGCCTCCCGTCAACAACGGCGGTCTGAACAACACCCTGCCAGCCGGTAACGCCACCGCCGGCAACGAGGGCGCTGTGGTCGAGGGCGGCAACGAGAACAACAACAACAACAACAACAACAACAACAACAACAACGGCGCCGTGGTTGAGGGCGGCAACCAGAACAACAACAACAGCAACAACAACATCGACGCTGGGCACGTCGTCATTGAGCGCTCGCGCCTCCGACGTTGGTTTGGCCAGCCCTCGCGCGTGACGCACCCGCGCTCCCTGCGCGCCGCCAGGGGTGCCGCTTCGGCCGCGCTCTACTAGAGGATGGGCTCGAGCGGCGCGTCCTTGGTAGAGCCGAGGTTGAGCTGCACATTTGGCCGGAACGAGTGTTTATAGATTGTTTTGTTTGTCTGTTTCTCTGCTGTTCTTGTCATTTTAGGGGAGTGTGCGAGTACCACTACAGCAGAGCTTGTTTCGACTACGGGTGAAAGAGGGTGCGATTTGCCGAGGCTCCAAGGTTCCAAGGCAAGAGGGGAAACGGAAAGTCGCGCGCGGTAAGCGCCAGGGTAGCGCATTGTGTTATAGATTGGGATACCGAAGGGTCTGCGTTGTTTGTGTCAGTACACAGGAGGGGCTTTCCCACGACGACAGGGATGTCCGTCGTCTGTTTTCTTTCTCGGTCCGATAGGCTGTTACCACAGTTCAGTCAGGACCGACGCAGCGATCGACGGACGGGCTCGTTGGTCGGGACGCCTCCCGGGTTTCGCTTCGTTGCTCGCTTTATTTCATTAAATCGAGCTCCATTTTTTACTCTGGCACATGTTATTGTCAATCATTGGAAGCCAGTCGAAGTTTGTTGCTCGATGCAATTTCTCGCCTATCCTACAAATGTGCCTTTTCCCAGAAATGCCTTTCCCAGACAGGCAGGTGCGCCGACGGCCGATGCCGCCAATTCCGCCAAAAGCCCAGGGTTCACCGGCTGACATTGGCCAGACGCATGTAACCCAATGCAGCCACACGACGCCTAGCGGCCCCACCCGTTAGGGGGGCGGCAACCAATACCACACAACTAACCCCTCACGGGCCAGAACGGCGGCCGTTCGCATTGATGGCGACGCAGCCTCCATCTCCGCCATGAAAACCAGGCGTCCTACGAAAAACCTAGCATCCGTCATGGCATGTCGGTTCGAGACGTAGGAGAGTCACCCCGGAGTGCGTGGGTGGCAGCCCCGGCCCTCAACCGAAAGCTCAGTGCGACCACGTTAACGAGATGAGGAGGCGAGGGGTAGTAGTCCACTGACGGGGCCGGCAGCCAACAGACCCAGCCACTCCGTCTTCCCCATGGGGGGACGGCTGCGAGGTGTGGGTGGGCTTCCCACACCCACTTCCCCTCGTAATGCAGGCACCACAGCCTACCCGGCCCCTGGCAGATATTCCTCGCTTGCATACCAATACCACCTGTGCCAAGTTTCTCCATTGATTCGCCGGCCAGATGGGTCGATAATACGCAATACGCGAGGCACCGGCGCCAAAAACCAGCTTCTCCATCCGGCCACAGCGTGGTATCGTCGACACAGCCAGCCAGCCACCGGTCCGGCATATAAGCCCGTCGTACCGCCCGCCCTTTCTTCCGACAAAGCCGCCCCCGCTTCCCTTTCACCTCCTCACCTCCCTTCGCCTGCCTCCAAGAAAGACCTTTCACACTCGCTGTCATCGTTCGCTCGTTAAAAGTCGATCCAGCCTCGACCCGTGCTTTCTTGTTTTTCTTGGACAAGCAAAAAATCCATACAACACCGCAAACATGAGGACCTCCACCTTCATCCTCGCCGCCTCGGCCGCCCTGGTCGCCGCCCAGGACATCAAGCCCTTCATCCCCCAGTGCTCCCACAAGTGCCTCCAGGACGCCGCCTCCTCGGCCAGCACCTGCAAGATCGAGCCGCTTGACGGCAAGTGCGTCTGCGCGCCCGCCACCTTTGAGAAGGTCTCGGGCGCCGCCGTCGGCTGCGTCCTCCAGGCGTGCGGTCAGGAGGTTGCCCTCGGTATGTCTTGATTCCCACAGTTCCTCACTCTACCCCTATTCTCCATCACACATCCCCGAACAGTCCGGCTGACCAGAACAACCCCCAACCAATAGGCCAAGTGCTCCCTGGCGTCCAGAAGTACTGCGAGGCTGCCCTTGCCGGCGGCAGCGGCAGCAGCAGCGCCCCGCCCACCTCGGCGGGCTCGACTAGCACCGCTAAGCCCACCACCTCGGTCACCTCGGGCACGCCCACCTCGGCGGGCTCGACTAGCACCGCTAAGCCCATCACCAGCACCTCGGCCAAGCCCACCACCAGCACCTCTTCGCCCATCACCTCGGTCAAGCCCACCACGGGCATGCCCACCACCACCACCAGGCCCTCGGGCAACTCCACCGTCACCCCTAGCGGCAAGCCATCCAGCCCCGCCGTCCCTGCCGGCGCCGCCTCCGCCTCCGCCGGCTTCGTCGGTCTGCTGGCCGCCGTTGGCCTGGGCCTCTTTGCCCTGTAAGCGGGTGATTCGGGTGAGATGGGGAGGAATGAGACAAGAGATTATGTGTCAATGCAGGCAGTGTCGGTCGGAGGGATTCTTGGTTGTGAAGGCTAGCTAGTTGCAATATAGGCGCGGCAGCTTAATACGGTGTAGGCTTTTGGGCCAAAACGCAGCCGCAAAAGGCTGATAATAATATCTGTATCAACCACGTTCCAACTTTCCCACTCGGCTCACCATGTTTCTGCTTGCTCCGTGACACTGAACGAATGACGCCAACGTTCGTTAGAACGCTCACCTCCCTCGCGAACAGTAGGATGAGCCTTTCCGAGACGGCTGCTTGCCGTTAGACACCTGGCGTACCCTTTGACGAGCTGCTCTCCCCTATGACGGAGGCCCTGTCGGCAGCCTACACCTACGACACCCACGACACCAATCGCGTTCGTCAACTTTTAGATCCAGCTTGGGCCTGTGGCTTGGGCTCTCCCGTCAGGCACCTCGACGACAACGCTTGTGCATGCGGCCTTACCGAGGCACACGTCACACAATTCAGTGTTGACGTTCGCCGACCCGACTATCGGATGCGACTAGTGGAATATTGGTCGAATCGACCTTGCCGCTTTGGGAATAGAACCAGCCGGAGGTGTTGCTTTTTTTTTTTTTTCTTTCTCACCAAGCTCGACGTCAAACTTGCGCGAGGTCCAGCTAGTACGGCCGACCTGCGCAGCATCAATGGCCGACATGCTGTAGAAGACCCCTGAACCCACGACTGGGGAGACCAGAATGTCGACGGGCGTGCAACGCGTTCATGCCCAGCCGGCTCTAGCGCGGAAACCATATCTCGGCCCCTGGCTACTTTCCCAAGCCAGCCGCGTTGGGCTTTCTAGATCCGGGCACAGCACAAGATAAAACCGTGTCTGTTGATCAGGCTTGCCATGGTCAAGTCCGCGCGCATGCTTGCGGGAGTCCGGGTGGGTGCCGGTAGAGCCGCTGTCGCGAACCATAGGGACGCGGCTGCGCGGAGCAGGCAGAGTATCCCACCTTCCAAGTATTGTGCGTTCCTTGCTTGGGGTCTTTGACTGGTCTGATATGCCATGTCCTTCCTGCTGACGTCTTCAAGCGTCCCACCATCCGCATTAGCTTACAACGCACCATCCGGTGTTTTTTTTTTTTTTGGGAATCTGATATTCATCTGGTTCGTGTCAACTGGATCAAGCTTTTTCCAGACGCGGGCGGGCAGCTAGGAGAAATCTGCCGCGCTGGCATCATATTACACCACTAATACCTGGCCGCAGCGAGACACTTGTTCTGGGCATCATGGACTCGTTCCCATCTGGCTTGGCCGTCCATGTGCTCATCCGTTGGGATCCCGGCTTTTTCATTGGGAATGTCGACCACGAACACCATCGTTTTCTTGGACAGGGTCCTTCCCCGGAGGAGGCCCTGCCAGCTCCGAGGGCGGGCGGCTAAAGTAGCCTCGTATGTGGTATCACCCGGATACCAAACGATTCGCCTACTGGCAACGCGATTGGCGACGGCGGGTATATGGAATGGCAAGCAAACATGAGTGTCAGGTGATGGCGAGGTTGATCATACATACAAAAGAGCAAGGATTCCTCGTCACTGCTCGGTTTAAATTCGGTAGGTGGTACAATGCGTCGACATTTTCCCCAAAGGGTAGGGTAAGTGGGATAACATGACGGACCAAGAGGCCCCTAAAATACCATCGAAAGTTTTACGCACACTGAGCATGGCATAAGCCGGTTCCTGAAGAGACAGAGGCCATCGGAACGCCAAGGCTTGTCTCGGTGATGTCATGGTCAAGCTACCTCGGAGTGCTGGTGGACACACCCTTCCGAAAGAGGACAAAAGCCATCCCCGACGCAAGAACCTGATTGGCTTACTGGTGCTGATTTGCGACCAGGGTCTCCAACAGCACTCAAATCGACGGTCGCCATGACAGGTGCAGTAATGGTTGTAGGGAACGTTAAATATCATTAGATACACATGCGTTTAACATTTTTAGGAAAGGGACTTTAACATAAGGACAGGCAAAGGCAACGTATCGAACGACTGGAAGAATACGAAAAGTGGCCGGGGCGCGAGGGCAGCCCCGGCAACAAGAGGACGTCTGGCTGTGTAAGCCAGAGAACTAACTACAGGGGTAATAGGCACAACAAAAGGGAGCAGACCGTCTACCTTGGCCTGGCCCGTCATAAAAAATAAAAAACTAGGCCCTACGACCACGACCACCTTGTGCGTTGTTCTTGCCCTGCTGTGCGCCCCGGCCACCGTTGCCGCCGCCGCCACCACCACCGTTGCCACCGCCGCCACCACCGCCGCCGCCGCCGTTGGCGACGACTTCGAATTTGGTGCAGTCGTCCTGGGGACCGCGCTGGGCGACGGGCATGTAGACGGGCTGGTGGTTGGATCCGGAGGTGATGGTGCAGACGCGGTAGGTTCCGGCGGGGAGGCCGCCGGTGACGTCGGCGGAGACGAGGCCGTTGGTGCCGGCCTCGTCGATGCCCTTGAAGAAGGCGAACTGCTCGGCGTTCGGGGGCTGGTTGGGGTTAAGGTTCCCGATGTTCTGGACGCTGACGTGGACGTGGCCGATGACCTGGCCCTGCCCGTTGAGGGCCTGGGGCGCCGTGTAGTAGGTGGTGGTCGGGTTGGTGAAGCTGCCGGGCTGCATGTTCGCAGTCTGCACGTTGATCTTGAAGGTCTGGCCCTGCGGGAGCTTGTCGCCAGTCTTGGGGTTGGTGATGACGACTGAGATCATCTTGTTCGAGGCCGGAATCTGGCCCATGGGCGTCGAGTTGCACGAGCCGCTCTTGATCTGCTTGCCGTTGGTGGACGGGCCCTTGCCGACGCAGAAGTTGATGAAGTTGTTGGCATCCCTGCAAGTTGATTGGTTAGCAAAACTGTGGCTCAGCTGGCCTGACAAGGCCCTCCAAGACGGCGGCTTGTTTCAGGGATCGCCCAGTGACAGGCGATCTCGGGGGGTCTTAAGACGTGACGTGACATACTTTTGCGACTTGGCCTGGCCCGCCTTGATGCCCTCGGTGCCCTGCTCCTGGCCGTCGGTGTTGCTGGCCGACTGCTTAACGGCCTGATTGAGACAGGCGCCGCCGCCGTTGTTGTTGTTGTTGTTCTGGCCGCCGTTGCCCTGGCCGGCGTTGTTGTTCTGGCCGGCGTTATTTCCTCCGCCGCCGCCGCCCCCGCCGCCGCCGCCGCCGCCGCCCCGACCGCCGCCGCCGTTGGCTTTCCCTCTGCCCTGCTGACGTGCGAGCAACGCCCCTGGTGAGAAGATAGCGTCGGGGTTGGCGATGAACCCAGCCTCGACCAGGCCTGTTGCGGCCGCGAAGGCCAGGAAGATTACACGGGAAAGCATGCTGAAGAACGAGCCTGCTCGAACCACTCAAAAAGGAGCGTTGTTGTGGTTTTGGGTTGTTTGGTTGAGTAAAAGGGGAAAAGGAGTAAAAGAGAGCAAGAAGTGAAAGATGGGCGTAGGAAGATAAAAGAATGCAAGGACTGAATCAACAGTCAAGGCGGAGAAACAGAAAAAAAACGGCCGACAACCTCTCGTCGCATTAATCCTCAATGAAGGCGCTGTCAAGGAAATGAAAAGAACAAGAGCCGCTCAAGGTTCTGGAAACGACGGGGCTGATCAACTTCTATATGCCCGGGCGTCTGCGCAGGAGGCGCACGGGAGGACCCTACAGCAGGCAGGGCAGGGCGGCGAGCCCACACAGCCCACGCAAGCGGACGCAGGGCTCCCAGGCTCGAGTCGGGAAATGAAGCGTTGAGGCGGGGCGAAGAAAGAGAGAGAGGGACCCCACAATGGCGGGGCCTGATCCAGGGGCAAGCTGAGACGATGCGACAAATGTCAGGGCCCCGCCCTTGCGAAGTTCGAGACAGGCGCTGTGGCCAAAAACGGAATCCTCTGACAAGATATTGACAAGGCCTGCCACCGCGCGCGAGGAGGCTGACAGGGGCTGCCGGCCGCCGCACCGGGGTGTTTTGCAAGCGGCCCTAGTGGGGGCGTCAAGCATTTTCAAAACTAAGAGAGATTTGGGCGTGGGCGGGGGGCGGTGGTGGGTGGTGGTGTGGCACTGGACTGCGCTACTGCACGCGGTGGCGTCGGCTGGTCTGCGTGGACAACGTCGAGATGGGGAGGATAGACACAGTGGTGATCCATGATTGCGAATATGGCACGCGCTCTAGGTTAGTCTGGGATTTCTAAGGGAGAGATGCATGGACAGATTTGGGTCGAGAGCAGAGGTAGGTAGGTGTTGCTCGTCGACCCAATCTCGAGACAGTGACAGGCGTGACATGCACAGCATCAACAGCATCAACATAACTGCTGCGCCAAGCCGACAACCGAACCGACACCAACTCACCGTCTGCCTTCCGTCATTCGCAAGCCCGACCCTTCTCTTCAGTGCGCCTCCATCCCCTCTTGCAGCCACCGACTCCAGACCTCGAGGACGGATGCGCGACGGCGCGCTGCTAAGCAATTCGTCGAAACGCCGAACTTGCCCCCCCCTCCAGCTCCACTCGCAGCTGCGAAACATCCAACGCGTTAAAACTTTGCGCCCTGCATCCCTCCCTCGAACTCTTGTCTCATCGCTTGGCCCTCCTCCAAGTTCCTGGCCAATGCCTCCTTTGGGATGGCACTGAGGCTCTTTTGTGACGACAAGAAAAGACCGAACTGCCAGGACCAACCAACCGCGGCCATCGATCCTCGCAAAACGCCCAGGCAAATCGCCGCGCACCAACAAAAAGCGCCCAGTATTAATTGCCACCTGGGTGCGTGTCGGGTCACGCAGGTATCGATTTGTTTCCATGGCCCTTCTCGATCTTCACAGCAGTCCCTGCGCTCTCGAAAAAAAAAGCCCGGCCACAAATTCATCTTCGGCTCGTGGCTTGGCAAAGAAATGCTCCCGTCCGGACCCAGGGAGGTCGTTTCCCTCTCCCCACGATTTTGTTTGCTCGCAGTCCGATCCTTATGGTCCGATTTTTATGAGATGCAAACACCTCACCTCTCTAGATAAATTATTCTACGTAGCACGCGGCGCGGCGGTCGTGCCAGGCACACGGACTTTTGGCACCGTCGTGCCGGCGGGATGAGCAGCAGCATCAGCAGCCCGCTACTCCATCGGCAGGGGTGACTGGAGCCGCACCTAAAGATAGGGTTGCAGGCGGAATCGCACGGCCTCTTTTCCTAGGATCCGGATGGAACACACGCCCTGGCCGTCTTCTTCTTTCTTTTTTTTTTTTTTTTTTGCCTTGCGCTGCTCACACAGTAGGAGCCGCAACATGGCTGCCAATTTTAGCGTTTTGGCCCTACACAGCTTTGGCCCTTTTCGCTTTTACGTCGCCACTTCTATCCTGCCGCGCCGCCCACGACTCTAAAATGCTTATCGGTCTAGTGTTTCCATCCGGCAGAGCAGCTACGTCACATAATCAATAAACTTCGGCCTTCAAAACGCTTGGTCGCAGCTTCTGTATGCAACGAAATCTGTTCCCATCTGTTTTTGGGTCATTATGCCCCCGCGCCCGTCCGATAATAGGATGTCATGTGTCACGAAACTTTGAGTTGGTGAAGGCGGTTATCTGGTGGTTGGTTCACGACGAACATGTTCGTCGCTGTGTTGGTTGGAGCTTTTGAACCCGCTACGCCGGTTGACGACAACGGCGTTTGCCAACTGAGCCGTCAATCTATCTGGCAGACGTGCGCCGTTGACGAGATCAGCAGATCCCCCAGTGTTTTAGAGAAGATCAGCCGGGTCGCGCACGTCCAGGTAATAAATTTACGGCTCTGGCAGGGAGGAGAAAAAACCAAGCCAAGTTATGACAGCGGGAATGTCAACATGTTTCCGGTGGCGGATGGGCGGGCGATCACGTTTGTCATGTTGATCAACAATTCTCTGGGCGTTGTTGGCAGCAACGGGGAACTGCACGACATCAAGGAGGAAAAAACCAAGAACGGAGCCCGACACGTGCAGCCACGGCTTCCACCACATCCGAGCAGGGGTCAGTCGGGGGGCTAGCGGCCAACGCCGCGGAGGCTCCGGATCGTTAGGAGCTAAACAATTTTACTCAGGTAAGGTTAGATAGAGATAGCGTCGGGCGGGGGTCTCTCGCAGCCAGGCGAGCTTAAATTTGCCCGGCTGTCTCGCTGCCGAGTCGGTCCTGCTGGGGGTTGCCACATGAGGTAGCAGCGACAAGGGAGAGACACGGACAGAGAAAGAGAGAGGAGGGCGGCGAAAGGGAGGGCAAGGAGAAGGAACCGTGAGGCACAGGCGAATGGAACGGAGGGTTCTCGCTCATCCAGGAAACGGGCAGGCCAAAACCCCGGGGACAAGGGGGATTAACGAGGCCCGCATAACGTGTGGTCCCGCGAAGTGAGCATCCTGCGACGCCAAGGCCCCGCAGGAGCAGCCAGGAGGCCCTTGCTGGTCCAGGGATGCGATGGAACAAAGCGAGCCGCCACAGTGTGTGCACACAGTGCCCCGTTGCAACCAGCAGGAGACACTCAAAGCTGTGGTGGGAGAGGCCCGACTTGGGCTCCCAGCCTTTGCAGGGCGGCACGGCCTCATGTTTCCACTCCCCCCATCTCTGCCCGGCCAGAAACCAAAACACGATTTGCATTTTTTCTTCCTCCGGCCGCAAGCGTTTTGGCGGGAATCTCCCCCCATCAATTTAGTCGATCTGGTTCGTGAAACGTGTAAAGAGGGCCAGATTTCCTTTTTGTTCCTGTCTTTTTTTTAATGGCAGCGGCAATTATACCGAGATCGAGATCCCAAAGGTAATCAATGCTGCCTGCGGCAGATCGTTTTTTTAAAACAAAGAAAGAAAAAAGAAAAAAGAAAACGGCCAAGACCACAAACAAAAAAAAACAGGTCGAGAGACGCAGAAAGTGGCCGGGATGCGCGAAACAAAATGCAACTGCAAAAAAACAGATCGCCCTGGGCACCTGTGCATCACGAGCCCACCCTTTTTTCTTTTTTTTCTCTCTTTTGCCAGCCGCCGGCCTGGCCGGCAGAGAGCGTGCCCATGTGACGTGGACCCCCCTGGTTCCCAAACATTTGAAAAGATTACACATCCTTTTGCGCGCGCCCCCTTGATCTGGACGCCCTGAACTCGGGTCTGAGGTGTCGATCTCGGGTAGCAGCAAGGGTTTCGCTTCGTTGACAACGCCGCGTCTGTAATGGCAGGAACGCCGTGCGAGCTGTTGCTATACATAGAAAAGCTGCGTTGGGAATAAGGAGATGCTCTCCCATTGCTCCAAGCCCTAAGTCCGTCCGTCCGTCCGTGCACTAATCGTTCTGCGCCGCGTGCCAGACGAGGCACGTTCTATTGTTGCCTCGCGCGGCTCCGTGCACCTTGGACGAGAGCCACGAGCCCGCGTCATGCTGCTGGACTGACCTCCATATCAAGCAAGGGGTTAGCTCCGGCTTGTGGCGTTTGTCTCATGTGGCTAGCTAGCCGATACCAAGCATTGTTTAACCCGATACCCGCTCGCGTACCCCTGAATCGGACGCCGACTCTCTATCGTCTCCACGGCCGACTAGCGTCCAGGACCGGGCGTCGCGCTCGTTATCCTAGACCGAGGCCGCGGGTCAACGTCACGCTACGCTGAACCCCTGGATCGGCAGTGACGGAAGCAAAGCTAGTTTCTTCCGTCTGGAGACCAGCCGTTTTTTTTTTTTGGGTCCGCCACCAACTACTCGGTAGCCACGAGGACAAACTAGCTGGAGCCTAAGCTCTCCTTCCCCCCTGAAGCTAGATCGTGTAGTCATCCCTGAGCGAAAACGGGGAGCGCGATAGTACCCTGCCTTTTCGTCTCGTCCCAATGCTGTTGTTTGTAACCTTGAGTCTCGCCCTGTCGCGCCGGCATGGTGGCGCTTGACGTCGACCAGTTGGCAGGAGGGCGTCTGCGCCGTCCTAGCACGGCATCCCAGGGCTTGTGCAGATGTAGGCCACACTCGGGCGGCTTTCGTGATGCTTTATCGTTTCTGGAGGGCTGTTAGAGTGGAAGAGGACGCGAGGCCCTTCTCTCTCCTACATCGCGACGGTGTTTTACTTTGTCCGTATTGCTTTGTGATTAAAACTGATTAATTCGGTTGGAGATATTCGCAAACGAGTCCAGACCTGTATTGAGCGCCGCCGAGGATCAACTTGACGACGTCGTAGGCGTCCCTGGTGTTTCCTGATAAATTACAAAACTTTTAGCACCGCTAAGGAAGGTGATCCGTCGTTGCACCGCGCCCATATATGCGGAGGCTGGCTTTGTGCCCATATGAAGAGCTCTGAGCGTTTATAGACAAGAAAGTATGCCATATGGGCTGTCGTATTTATTGTTCTTCGGACTTGTCTCGGAAACTATACGACTGTCTCAGCATCCAATCTCGGCGACAACTATTGTTTGTGGGAGAATCTAGCTGTACCCTTCCGAAATGTAGACATTTTCACAAGGATGGTTGTTGAGGTTACGGTGTTCTTGTCCTCCGAAAGGTGGTCGCATCCCGCCATCGTGGAAAGACCCGACATGGAACCGCCTGCCAGTGGTGTTCTTCGTGTCTTTCTTCATTTGACGCTGCCTGTAGTCTTGGTGGGTGCTGCGGCCACCGATGGGCGCTTCGCTGTCCCGGAGCCTAGTGCTTTTCTCCGCGAGGGTGGTCCTCAGAGGCGGCTGCGTCGATATTTTAATCGGTATTTGTCTTGAAATGGCGGAAAGGTCGCAGGAGAGGCATATGACATACCATACATCTCATAACCTATTTGTTCAATGTATCGTTATGTAAAAAGCCAAACCAAACCCTGCGATGTGCGGTCGATACCTTGAACTGCCATCCATTGCTACCCACCAGTTAACACCCACCTCGAAACCCGTTTTCCAAGTTCGCCCTAGTCTCTCAGGTGCCCATGTGCAATGCAGCTCGTGATTTAAGGTGGTGAGCGTGCGTTGTTCACGAGGGGAAGGAGGGACTTCCCAGGTCCGTGCAGAGATTGAATCTTGTCTGTGAAAGGCTCCGCAGGACCTGGAATGAGCTCATAATGCGGAAAGAAGCCTTCGCTTCTACCCGTGACAAGACCTCTGGATCTGCAACATTTCACAACAAGTCGGATTAAGGTTGTTCTTGTGCCGCCGCCCACGTCAAGTCGCGTCACGGTGCCAAATCGCAGCTTGCCCAACCAAGCGGACGCCATCCAGGGGCTAAGGTCGACGCGCGCGCACGCCTGACTCGTCCGCGCCCCCTATCTTATAATGGCCACGAAAAGCTGGCAGAACCCAGCAAGAAATACGCAAGTCTCCGTGGCGCAATTGGCTAGCGCGTCTGACTGTTATGCCACCTAGTGGATGACAAGTCATCAGGAGGTTCCTGGTTCGAGCCCAGGCGGGGACGCACGATTTTTGTCACTGGTTCGTGACCTCGTCAAACTTTTTGGCACAGGGCGCATCATGTCCGAACTTGATTTACGGCTGGTCAACCAACCAGCTCGTTTGGGTTCCTCCTAAGGGGTACCAAAATGCTTCGAGTCCCGCGGGACTCGAAGCCCCCACCCGCCGCGCTCCATTTATCTATCCCACGATGATTGCGGAACCGGACGGAGCCTTTGCTGGCTCCTCTACACCCCAAACCGACGGCCCTGCCTGCCCACAGCTCCACGCGGGGGGCTCATGGCCGCCCGCCGGGACGGGCCCGAGACGTCGGCCAGGTTCCGCCTCGCGGCCGGCGGCGCCCGCGGGGGAACGCCGTCGAGCGAGAGCGCGAGGGTGGCGAGGGCGCGGCCCGCGGCCTTGGCGTTGGTCGTGAGGGCGTCCCAGTCGATGTTGTCGATGGTGTCGCAGGCCTGGTGGTAGCACGGGTCCTCGCCCGTGTAGATGCTGGCGGTTGGGATGCCGAGCGCAACGAAGCTGGCGTAGTCTGACCCGTCGTCGAAGTCGCTGGGTGTGTGGAAAGAGGAGGGATAGATAATAAGTCGGCAGGTCACGAGGTAAGGAACGCTTTCACACAGTGTTGAGGCAACAGGAACTCACGCGTAGGTCACGGGCTTCCCCTTGGACTCGAGGTAGGATGACAGCAGGACCGGCCCGATGCCGCTCAGCTTGTTGCGAGCGAGCTCGTACATGGGGTTGACGGAGCCGATCATGTCGTAGTTGAAGTAGTATCGGATGGCATCGGCCTGGGTGGTGTTGAGGGACTTGGTGTAAGCCTTGGAGCCGATGAGGCCCGACTCTTCGGCGCCCCACCAGGCGAACCTGATCTTGTGGGGGAACCCTTTGTATTTCTTGATGGAGCCCATGATTTCGAGAACTGCCGAGCTGCCGCTCCCATCGTCGTTGGTGCCGGCCCCCTGGATCACGCTGTCCAGGTGGGCGCCGATCATGACGACTTTGTTGGGGTCGCCCTCTTTGGTCTCTGAGATGACGTTCCAGGACTCCCGGACGTCGTACGAGTTGTCGACGAGGAGCGACACGAGCACCTGCTCGCCCGCCGCCAGCCGCGCCTTCCACGCCAGTCCGACCTCCTGCGTGATGATGCCGACGGGGACGATAGTGCCCCTATTCTCGGCGCCGAGCGTCAGGGAAATAATGGCGTCCCCGGGCCTGTTGTTCCACACGATCGCCCCGACGGCCCCGTGCTGTTTGGCCAGCGCCAGCTTCTGGGACACGGCGCAGGTGCCGCGCTTGATCAGCGCGAGCTTGCCCGTCGCGTCGATGCCCGTCCACTGCTCGGGCAGGCAGCCGGACCCGTTGGCGTCGTCGACGGGGGTGTCGACCAGCGGCGTATTCTTGATGTCGCCGGCGACGTTGTACTGCGGCGACAGCACCCTGACGTCCTCGCCCGCGGGCCCCGTCACCTTGATCCGGCGCAGGTCCTCGAACCAGTACGAGAAGGGATGCAGGTGCGTGTCCATCTCTTTGCCGAACCGCTGCTGCGCGCGCTCCAGCACGAAGTCTACCGAGGCCTTGTAGCCGGGCGTGCCGAAGGCGCGGTTGCCGCCGTGGTCGCGCGCGATCTTGTTCAGGTTCCAGAGCACGCGCTGGAGGCTGTTTTTTTTTTTTTTTTTTGCGATGGTTAGCGCAGGGTAGCTCAATGATGGTGGGCTGTCTGTGGCGGACCTACCCGGTCGTGGTTATGTCTGCCTCGACCTTGTCCGCCGTGAGAGGATCGGTGGCGACGACGCATATCGGCGAAGCCAGCCCGAGGGCAGCCGCGACATAGACCGTGGGCCGCATTGCGACTTGTCACTGTGTGTTGTCACTGGACTAGGCGTGACAAGATGCCAAGGCCAAGTTGCACAGCTGTCCCAGGCCTTGGTATTTATACGCCACCGGGCCGCCAGCGGGCAACCAAGCATCCCGAGAAGGACCAAGAGGAGGATGGCCGGGAGAAGACACGATTGGGCCCGGCTGATTGGAGTTCACAGAGCCATGCATATCCGCTGGTGTGATTTCCAGCACCGGCTGCCGTCTTGGGATGCATGGTACCTGGGTAGCACTCCCGATTGCACACCTGCGTCTCGGAAGGCGGGGTGTTGTATGCAGTCGGCTTGTTCTTCTCGCTGCTGACGAGAGATGCAGTGAAATATTGCGTCCAGCCAGTCCCAAAGGGGCAGGTCTTTTGAGGCGAGCTGCAAAGTCCAATTCCCCGCAAGCGCCCCATCGGGTGGCTTCTTTTCACCTGGGTGGCGTTCGGCTGAAATGGTGATAGCCGAAGAGGAATGATGGCAGCCTATAGATGGCGGCGATGCCCTCTACGTCATGTCATACGCCCGTGCCACTTGGTCTGCCACTTCCAAGGCCTCGAGATCAGCAAACCATCGACCTGGTCACATAGGTTTTGCGCGTGGTTGCATTGCATCAGCCCCGGGCTAGATCTCACTGCCCGAGACATCGATATGAACCCCAGTCGGCTAGAAACGCACTTCACGCCTCGGAAATGGGTGAGGTATGCGGTCAGCTACACTACGACTAGTAACACTGGTAGGCCTGCAACGCGGCCCTGCTTGTGTGAGCGCCGAGGCCCACGGTCCTGGTACTGTTCAGGGCTACGGGTGCGGCCCCGAGCTCGGAGGCAGAAGGAAAGATTTTGAGCTGCCAATTGTCAGCCAGGGTGGGCGAATGCTTATGGCGATGCATTCGCGATGGACTTGCAGCTGTGGGGGCGACGATGCTACGGGGCCAAGATGCAATGGAACTCGGAGGAACCTCGGAATTTGAAGAAACGTTTATAGGACTCTTGGGGGATGACAGCCATAACTGGAAGAGATGTGCCTAAGTAACGGAACTCAACGGCGGTGTAGTACCTCGCCATGGGACTGAGTCGAGGGTCGATAGTTGGCAGGAGGAAGAGCGAGGGTATGGCAAGGGCGAAGTCGTGTGGAGAGCGAAGTGGACGAACATGACAATCGGGTTGGGAATAAGGCAGTCTGGGCAGGAGACGGTTATTGAGACCGCTGGAAGGAAATCATAATTTGCCGAGGGTCTTGTCCTCGATAAGTGTCAATAGATGTTTGTCGTCTTTCCATCTGCTTGGGGTCGCTTCACTGGGGTAAATGGTGCCCGTTTCCCCGCGCAGCCTCATTCGACCGTTCTTGTTTGTTCCTCATCCGTCGCCCTTGTCCATTTACATGTCTACCATTTCGTTCATATTCTACACCCAACCCGGGAATTCGTGCCGGATCTGGCCGAGATGCATCCGCATCTGGCCGTTCTCTCCTCTTGGATCGAGTAATCGATGCAATCGACAGACATTTCCCGTCTGTGATTTCCCGTCTGGGGAGTGGCCCTTATCACTCCTCCACTCGCCCGCCCCCGAATCGGGCTTGGGACCGGGGTTGGTAGTGGTTGGCCGCCCATAACCTCCGCGTCCTATCTCTTGGCTCTTCCGTGTCGCAATCCTGCGCATGCCTAGCAATGTCTTGTCGTTGCCCTTCTCGGCGAATGCCCATTGGGTTCCGTTATTCACTGCTGATAAGGGCCCTCCTGTTCGGTCGGATCAAAAGTCCGGCGATTATCACATGGTTGGATAAGGGGAGAGGTCAAATATGATGTATCCAAGACAAGTGATGCAGGACGCGACCCATCTCAAAAGGCACGCGCCTGGTGAGATTAGATCTGCATCTTCTTCTTTTCTTTTTTCTTAACTCGGAACCACATCGGGGCTTCCACCATCGCCATCCTGGCCATCGCATAAAGGGTCGAGGCCACGAGACACAGCCCCCCAAGACCAGTAATCCGCGGGCAATTGTTGCAGGATGAACGAGACGGGAGCACCCGTCCCAGTGACGGAATGGCCCGACTACGGCACGAACCCGCAAGGAGGCGACCCTATCACGCAGGACCTCAACGCGCCCTACGACAAGGGTGACCTCTGCTGGCTGCTCGTCTGCACCATATGATGCTGGCAGATCACACCGGTTTGTGATTTTCTCTGAATGTCGACGTCATCATGCCTGCGCGAGGCGCGAGCGCGACCAAGCTGACATGCTCCCCGCAAACCAACCGCCAGGCCATCGGATTCCTGTACGCCGGCATGCACCGGAGCAAGGCCGCCTTGACCATGGTGTTCTAGTCGCTCTTCTGCGCCTCGGCGTGCGGCATCTAGTTCTGGGTGTACGGCTACTCGCTCTACCAGTCGCGCACCGACGGGCCCTTCATCGGCGACCTCTCGCTCGCGGGCCTGCACAACGTCCTGGCGGCGCCCTCGCTCGCCAACCCGGACGTGCCCGACATACTGTACGCCTGCTTCGGCTTCACCTTTGTCACGGCGACGGCCGTGATCCTCGCAGGCGGCTGTGGCCCAGCATGGTGTTTCTGCTCTGTTGGACCACGTTTGTGTACTACATGTGAGTGTGGGCCGGGGGATTGGATTATTGTTCCATATCTGGAATGCTTTTGCTGACCGCACGTCGGCAGCCTGGCCTTCTGGGAATGGAACCCCAACAGCTGGTTGTTCAAGTTCGGCGTCATGGACTTTGCCGGCTCGGGCCCCGTGCACATCGCGTCGGGCTTCAGCGCGCTGGCCTGGTCCATGATGCTGGGCCCGCGGCTGACGGAGAACACGGCGGCGACGCGCAAGCGGGCCGTGGTGCACTTCAAGCCGCACAACCCGTTCCTGGTCGGGCTCGGCACCGTCTTCATCTGGTTCGGGTGGTTCGCCTTCAACGGCGCGTCGACGGCCAACCTGTCGATCCGGAGCGTCTACATCGTCGTCAACACCAACCTGGCCGCCTGCGGCGGCGGCTTGGGCTGGTCGGCGCTGGAGTACCTGCACAGCCGCAAGTTCTCCATCCTGGGCTTCTGCCCGGGCATCATCAGCGGCCTCCTCGGCATCACGCCCGCCACGGGCTACGTGCCCGTGTATGTGGCGGCGCTCGTGGGCGCGCTGACGTCGGTGTGCTGCTTCTACACCAACAAGTACAAGTACCTCCTGTCGGTGGACGAGGGGCTCGACATCTTTGCCATCCACGGCATAGGCGGCTTCGTGGGCGACGTCCTGACGGGCGTGTTTGCCGCAAAGTTTGTGCCAGCCCTCGACGGCGTCACGGGCGGCGCGTCCAAGGGCGGCTGGTGGGAGTACAACTAGCGCCAGGTCGGGGTGCAGCTGGCGGCGGCGACGTCGTGCGCGACGTGGGCGTTTGCCGTCAGCTGCGCGCTGCTCTTCGTCATCAACAAGATCCCCGGCCTGCACATCCGCGCGGCCGAGGACGACGAGATCCGGGGGCTGGACTACAAGTACCTGCACGACGTCGACGACCACTCGGGCTTCGACGGGCTGCACATGTTGCACGAGGGCGTGCCCTTGTCGCGGAGCAGCGGCAGCCCCCGCCGGGAGTCGGCCGAGCCGGTGACCAAGCAGGTCAGCGCGGAGCCGAAGAGGGATTGAGGGGCGGGTTTGCTATTCGTGATGGGACATTTGATGTTTTGCCGATCAGGTTGGGGTGGTTGGCATCCATCAGGAAGGCTCCATGTTTGGTGGAGATCAATGGATGGAGATCAATGAGTGGAGACGGCACTTGATAAGAATAATGTTAGGCTTTAGGTTTGGTCGCGTGACCCGATGTGTGCTTGGCCAATATTCGGTAGGGAGACGGCCTTGCAGTTGCAGGGCCGGGCCTAGCGTGCTTCGAAATAGGAAAAGAAGCAGCATCCAGTTGGGGTTCGGTGAGGGGAAAATGGCGTCGAGTCAGGGGAAGGTCGTAGCGGGGTCGATTATGGCGCAAGGCTCTGGCCAAAGATGTTGTAGAAACCCTTGATTGAGATTCCCTGGGCTTCTTAGCTGTTCATGACGCTCCCCGGCGGCACCCAGTCGCTTTAGCACAGTCCAGGTCTTTAGCTGCCCAAGCATCCTTTGCGCGCCTGTGGCGTCAAAAGAAAACGCGTTTTCTAATAAAAGAAACATTAATGGCTCAGGAATGCTAGAACGAGCGGCTTCGGCCTTTTTTTTTGTCGGGCACTCGGGAGCGTCCATGGACCTGCCTATCTTGGCCAAGGGCGGTCATGGAACCCCCACCAGACACCGATGCCTGCATCCGGGTCGGGCGAAAGCGCGGCATGGCGAGCGCGGCCCTGCATAAAGGCGAAGGTAGCCGCCTTGCGCGGTGCTGTTTCCCCTGGCATATCGCCCAGTTCTTGAAAAGGGACTGGCGTGAAGAAGGCTCGCAAGCGTGACTGGGACCAGACCAACCAGCCAGGTTTCACTGCTGTAGCAGCAGCAAGTCCGAACAGCCAAGTCTCGGCACGCCCTCCTCGACACTCAGCTATGCACTTCCCCCGGCGACGTAGCAACGGCCCCGGCCTGGGCGCCGCCCCTCGCCGTCTCCTGGCGCTGGCTCTGGCCGCCTCCAGCGCGAGTGGTGCGCTCGCGTCCTGCATACCGCGAGGCGAGCCCAAGATAGGTGCCGTGGCGAGCGAGACGGACGTGTGCTCGCGTGTCGGCACCAAACTCCTCAGGCGCGGGGGCAACGCCGTCGACGCCGTGGTCGGCACCGTCGCCTGCGTTGGGACCATCGGCATGTACCACAGCGGCATCGGCGGCGGCGGCTTCATGCTGGTGCGTGCGCCCAACGGCACCCACGAGTTTGTCGACTTCCGGGAGACGGCGCCTGCTGCCGCTTTTGAAGACATGTACAAGGACAACCCGAGCGGGAGTCAGCGTGGTGGCCTGGCAAGGTATGAGCGAAAGAAAAGCTTGGATCCCACAGTTCTGAGTACTATTTACTGACTATTTACCCCCCGGCCGTTGTTAAGTGGTGTACCCGGCGAGCTCCGAGGCTTGGAATATGCCCACAAAAAATACGGCAAAATGTCCTGGCGTGACGTGCTGGCTCCAGCCATCAAGCTGGCCCGCGACGGCTTCACCGTGAATGCAGACCTGATCAAGTACATGGACAGCGTCGTCAGCGCCCCCGGCGCCGGCGGCTTCTTCGAGGAGGACCCCAACTGGGCCGAGGACTTTGCCCCAACCGGCCGCCGCGTCCGCCTGGGCGAGACCATGACCCGGAAGCGGCTCGCCGGGACGCTCGAGACCATCGCCGAGCACGGCGCCGGCGCCTTCTACACGGGCGCCATCGCAAACGCCACCATCGCCGCCCTGCGCGCCGCCAACGGGACCATGACCCTGGCCGACCTGGCCAACTACACGGTCGCGGTCCGCGCGCCCTCCGAGATCGAGTACCGCGGGTACAAGGTCCGCAGCTGCAGCGCGCCCTCGGGCGGCGTCGTCGCGCTCAGCACGCTCAACATCCTGAAGGGCTACGCCGACTTTGGCGCGCCGCAAAATGTCAACCGGTCGGCGCAGCACCTCAACGAGGCCATGCGGTTCGCCTACGCCCAGCGCACCAAGCTCGGCGACCCGTCCTTCGTGCCGGGCCTGGACGCGTACCAGGCCGGCATGCTGTCTGCCGCGACGGCGGCCGAGGTGCGCGGCAAGATCAAGGACGAGCGAACCTTTGGGACCGAGTACTACGACCCGGACAGGCTCGAGTCGCTCGAGACGCCGGGCACGTCGCACATCGCCACCGTCGACGCGAGCGGCATGGCCGTATCGCTGACCACGACCATCAACCTCGTCTTTGGGTCCCGCCTGATGGTGCCCGAGACGGGCGTCATCATGAACGACCAGATGGACGACTTTAGCGTGCCCGGCCGCTCCAACGCCTTTGGCTACGCGCCCAGCCCCGCCAACTTTATCCGGCCCGGCAAGCGGCCGCTGTCGTCCATGTCGCCCGTCATCGTCGAGGTCGAGGGCGAAAGCGGCAGGCGGCCGTACCTGGTGGTGGGCGCGGCCGGCGGGAGCCGCATCATCACGTCGACGGTGCAGAACGTGATCCACGTGCTCGACGGCGGCAAGACGGTCGCGCAGGCCCTGGCCATGCCCCGCCTCCACGACCAGCTCGTGCCCGCCGTCACCACGTTCGAGTGGGCGTACGACAACTCCACCGTGGCCTACCTGAAGGACCTGGGCCACAACGTGTCGTGGGTCGCGCCCGGGCAGAGCGTCGCGCAGGGCGTCAGATGGCTGCTCAACGGCACGTTTGAGGCTGCCGGCGAGCCGAGGCTGAAGAGCTCGGGTGGCTACGCTGTTTGATGTTGATAGGTTGGATTCTCGCCATTTGAAGCGGTTTAAGGATCTAGAGAGTCAGCTAGGTATATATATCTAGTATGAGGAAATGATTGATGATTTTCAAACCAAGGACCCAAACATTAGGCCTTCTAGCATCAGCTGGTAGCTTGTTCAAGCCGTCGTGCTACTGTTTCCATCGCTACCACCCAGCAGATCCACCTCCTTGTAGACCTTGCCCGGGTTGTCTAGCACCCCCTTCTTATCCGCAATGCCCCTTACGAACCGGTCGAAAAAGGCACCCACAAACCCCCTGGTGATTTCGACCGCCCTCTCGCCAAGGATGCCGCCCACGGAAAAGTTGGATATCTTGTTGGGGCCCAGCTCCTTCCACAGCGCCACATCCGAGCAGTCGGAATGCCCGTAGTCGTTGACCAGCGTCCGCCGCCACCAGCCCGTCTGCGCCCTCGAGTACCGGCTCCAGCTCACGTCGGCCTCGGCCGGGTCGTCGCCGGCCACGTGCAGGTACGACCCGAACAGCACCTGCGGCTTGCGCGCGTCCTGCGCCGGCTCGTAGATGAGCCCGTCGAGGTTCATGGCCGCAGCCGTTAGTCCCGCGCCCGTCTTGCCCGCTACGTCGAGCGCCAGCGCCCCGCCGAACGAGTGGCCCGCGACGCCCATGCCCGTGGTGGCGAACGGCCAGCCCTGCTGCGCCACGAGCGCGGGCCAGCCGGCTTCGGTGAAGTGCAGCATCTCGCGCAGGCGCACGGCGTACAGCTGTAGGATCTCGGCTTCGGTGGGCTGCAGGTCGGTCGGCGTGCCGACGAGGCCCGGCCCTAGGTGCCAAGGCCCGCCGCCGCCGGGGAGGGCCGGGTTGGGGTACCAGACGAAGGGTTGCTCGTACGGGTGGTCGATGCCGACGACGGCGTAGCCGCGCGACGCGAGGTCCGACAGCAGCGCCGTGTACGCTTCGGTCGCCGGGCCCAGGCCGCCGGGGCCCCAGATCAGAGTCGAGTAGTTGCGGCCCGTCAGCCCGGCCACGGCCGCCGCGGGCGCGGGCGTTGCGCCCCAGCGCAGGGCCGGGGCGGTGAGGGCGCTTAGCTTATCGAGCGGCAGGCCGTAGTGGCCGCCGTAGATGCGCGCCGTGTCTGGGTGCAGGTAGGGCACGGGCGGGCAGAGGGGCTTGTCGAGGGTAGGGTAGTAGACGGTGGCGAGGTACGAGGTTGTGACGTTGCCGGGCGCGAAGGGGTCGTCCGGGTTGACGAAGGGGATGACGTGCTTGCTGACGCCGACGTGGAAGGGGCCTGTCGGCGGGGTGATGGGCTGTAGGAAGGCATTGGCGGCGCTGAGGAGGGCGAGGGCTGCGAGGGCTAGTCTTGCGGGAGAGGGAAGGGTGGACTGCATTGTGATTGGTCACTGCATATGTACTCCCTGCGATAATGCTTACCTCCAGTATTTGATAACCCTTCGTTACTGCACTTCCAGGTTGTCATCCCACCTGTATATACCGGGACATAAGCCCATAAAGTACGGGCCAAGAAGCAGCCATGTCTACACCTTTATCCACGCATGTCCATCTTGGTACTACGGCGCGGCCCCATGCCTTGTTTTACACCTATGGAATGCTTACCTGCAGGACACCCCCTTGCTATCAGCATGTCAGCACCTGCCCAGGTAGGATAACGGGAAGATACAGAGCGGGCACCAGAACAGTAATAATTGTCAATGCCAGCAACGCAAACCCCACAGAATCTTGTTTGCGCTGGCCCGCAGCCTGGATGCATACTTATTTTCCAACAAGTCGACCTTCCTTTTTGAGCGCTAGATCACCACAGGTGCACCTTTATGGCATTTTCCAGCGCGCCCCGGAGACTGAATCACTCCGACGCCCGAAAACCGGTCCCGGGCCAAGACAAGGGTTGCGGAGCCGGCTGTTCGGCATTAGGTATTTGTCCCCAGAGGTGGGTGCCCGAGTGTGAAGACAGCCCTCTCGAGCGCGCGACATGTAACGGTGCTGGCTCCGGGTGTTATTAGCGTATGCTAATGCGACATCCAGGATATCGTTTCTTTTGTGGACCTGTCCGGTAGTCGGCTGCCCATTCCGATCGGGAACCGGCCAGATTTCCGTGCATGGACCCTTGGACCCTTTGGACTCGATGGGACCGGAAAGCCCGCCTCGTATTCCTCATGACGTCGCATTTCGTTAACCACACTGCAGACGCGAGACAAACAGCCAAGTGGCAGCCCCGCCTCTTGCCCTGTGACTCTCCTTGCAAGGATACATTCGGCAAACAGACCAGATCTAGGATTAGTACGGGCTATCGTATACCGCCGGATCGGGCAAGCGAACAGGCTCCACGGCCGCTCAAGTGCCAGGCCGGAGTCAACGAACCCCGGCAAAAGAGGCAGGCAGTATGTCGGGTGGGATAGAGGCGAACATACATGCACAATATAGCTCCGGGCGGCGCTGTGTTCCGGGTACAAGAACGGCGAGCATACCCTCATCAGTCCGTTCCCTTCCCTTCTCTCTTCATCAGCCAAGTAGGCCGCAGCACGAACCAGTTAGTCATTACCTCGAAGCCGGAACATCTTCCCTTGCTCGCCATGCAGTTCCTCATCGCACTCCTGGCACTGCCCCTTGCCCTGGCCGCCCCGGCCGTCCAGCCCTATCAGGGAGGGTGTGGCAGAGTACCGGGCCCTAGTTCGTGTGTAAACTTGCTTTCTCAAATCCCCTGGGATCAGGACGCGGTATATCGATCATGTATTAGAGCATCGAGAGCCTGCCCCTAATAATGTTCGTCCTGCCGTTCTTAGGTGCTTTGTAAATCCTGCTTCATGCTCCGAGGAAGGTGAGCGAGCCAGTCAGTCCTTCGGGTGGGGGCTGCCAATTCCTTCTCGTCCTATGCAACAAGAAAAAAAGCTCAAAGAAAAAGGTTCCATGGGAAGAAAAAGTTCCAAAAAGATTCCCATGGAAAAAGTCCCAAAAAAACTCCAAAGATTCCATCTTTCGCCGATCTTCACCGCAGCAGCCCAGTCCGCCGACCTAGAGAAAGTTCGAGAGTGTCTCGCAGTAAAACATACCCCCTTCGTGCCTGCAACGCCTCCGGGCTCCAGGCCACTGGTCGCTATCCTCACCTTGACGTCCTCATCCTCAACCCGTCTGCGCTTCCTCGACTCGTCCGCTAGCTTCTTCTTGCCGTTTTCGATGGCGATCACGGCGCGCACGCCCTCTGGGTTGTCCGCATCGTAGATCTGCCGCTGTCAACGCAGGATTCCCATGCGCTGGTAGTCGAGCGATCGCCGGCAGACCAGGCGCTCCCATGACTTCTTCTGACGCTTAAGGGGGTTCTTGGACGTCACTGCGAAGAGGCCAGAGGGAAGTTGGGACATAAGGCCGGCGAACAGATCCAAGGCGGTAAGGAAAACAACGTCCTCCTCTGCGGTATCGACCTCCATGTCCAGATTCCTCATGACCTCATCCAGGGACAGATGGTGATCGTGAACGCAGGGGTCAGCCCGAGCAGCGATACCAAAACGCCAGTTCATGGAGTACCTGGTCTTCGGACCGGAGTAGAACAGTGGGAGGCGCAGCTTTCCGGACTTGACAAGCTCGATGCTGATATCCTTCGTGTATGGGCAGGCTTGTAGGCAACTGTGGAGTAGACGCCGCACCACTATTGCGAAGGAATTGTCGGGGAAGGCATCAACAACAGGGGAGGCTTCAAAAAGCCGCTGTTCCTCTTCCTTGGCAGTCGAACTATTCCGCGACGCGCAGGATTCTCCAGTATCTCTGCTACAGCTCGACACCCTCGCGCTCAAGACCCTCGACGATGAGATCATACCTGCTAGTCTGTTGTTTTCTTCTTTGTAAGCCAAGCATTTAGAATGGAAGGGATAGGGCGAAGGTTAGCACACGATGTAAATGGTTGCTTAGCTCGTTTTTGTCCTTGGCAGAGTAGCACCACTTGCCCGCAAATTGAGGTGGAGTAGATGTCGGGCCTTATGCTTTCCTGGCGAAATGGGAAGTTGTAAAGAACGTTGGCTCGTTGGAGTCGACAATTAAGAAGGTGCTTCTTCGTGATTGCCTCTCTTGACTTTCCTCTAACTAGCTCCTAGTCCTAGATAGCGACACGTTTAGTGTGACGGTACTAATTAAGTCTGAAGACATTCATGAATGGAATTTGTGATTAATACCTAGATATTCGCCCACAGGTATGACGCTGTACCTTTTTATCGTCGTGCCCACCATCGGAGAAGTGAGACTTTGGAGCGCCACATGCCCAGCCCAGCCCGTGTTGGAGCTTCTCCCGGAACGGGGGGCCAAGCGGCCAAGCCTGAACCGAAAACTCCATTCAGGGCATTCAACTACATCCATGAGCGAATAGAAACCTGGCGATGCGCGCCTAGCACCTGGAAGCTTACAAAGGCTCTCGCATCCATAGCTCGGGTCAGCAACAAAAAGCGGGGTCGGTAGAATGCGATGTACGGAGACGCGGACTGCCCAATGAGATCGTCCACATCGATCACAAGCAGTCGATGACATCCGGGTTCCAGACATCAGGGCGGGGAGCAAAGGTTTAAAGCTGCGCCGAGACCCTGGATCGGAGCACAGCACGGAAATCTTACATATTCATCACGCTCGCCTGGGCTGGAGCTCCTCGATGACACATTGCACTGTCCTATCAACGCATTCGACGATGGGCATCTTCAACACTCTTCCGGAAGGGCTCGATGAAGTCGATGTGATCATCGCGGGAGGTGAGACCAAGGCACATCAAGGCGGTTGCTGGGCTGGCATGGCGATGTGGGAAAGCTAATGCAAGATTCACAGGCGGTGCCGCCGGCTGTGTGGTCGCCGGCCGCCTGGCGGCGGCGTCACCCGAGCTCAGCATCCTGGTGGTAGAGGCGGGGAAAGACAACACCGGGAATCCCATGGTCGAGCAGCCCATCATGTTCTGGAAAAATATGGACCCGGCCGCCATGACGTCGACGTTTCACGACGCCAACAAGAGCGGGGAGGCACTGGGCAGGAAGATTGTCATTCCGTCGGGTGGCATCCTGGGCGGAGGGACCAGCGTGAATATGATGGCGTGAGTGGCGCCACATGCCCACGAAGGCGTGGAGGGTAGGCCGACTGACCAGTTTTTCGAATGATAGATATGCGCGCCCCCAGCGATGCGATCTGGATGCGTGGGGGATACCTGGCTGGGCGGCGGACGACATGCTGCCGTATTTTAAGAAGGTACCTAAGCGCATTGTTCTCCGTCTCTGCGCAAGCAAGGGCTTTCTAACACAGGCTCACAGTTCGAGACATACAAAGGGCTAGGCCCCGACGCCGTCCACGGCAAAACGGGGCCCATCCAGGTCTCGGACGGATCCTTCCGCAACGAGGAACTGACGGCCGACTTTATCAAGGCCGCTGGCGCCTGCGGCTACCCGGAGATCAAGGACGCACAGGACATGTCTTCTGTCAACGGCACGGCCCCCGCCTCGCGCTTCATCTCGACTTCTGGGGCGCGCCAGGACACGGCCAGCATCTATGTACACCCGCTGCTGCGCGACGGCAAGCACCCCAACCTGCACGTGCTGACGGAGCACAATGTCGTGCGGGTGATCTTCGACGGCGACAAGCGGGCCAGCGGCGTCGAGGTGACGCCCAACCCCATCCACCAGGAAGGGTCTGGTGCGAGGATGGAGGTTGTGCGGGCGCGCAAGCTGGTCGTCTTGTCGGCTGGCTCATACAGCACGCCGCTGATCCTGGAGCGGTCGGGCGTCGGGCGCGCAGACGTGCTGCGTCGCGCGGGGGTTCCGCTGGTGGCCGAGGTTCCTTCGGTGGGTGAGAATCTTCAGGACCATCACATTACCATGTGGCCCTACCGATCCAGCTTCGAGGCCAAGACACTGGGGACGGAGCTCCTAGTCGCGCCGCCAGAGGCCGTGCAGCAGCAGGACAGGCGCCTCGGATGGAACTGCCAGGAAGCAGTGTTCAAGGTGCGCCCAACCGACGCAGAGGCTGCGGCGATCGGGCCGGCCTTCAAGGCCAGGTGGGACGAATACTTCGCCGCCGAGCCTACGAGGCCGCTGGCAAGCTTTATCGGTATCGCGGGGTGAGTCACAAAAGCGTGAGGTCTGCGCAACGCTCGAGGCAAAAAAGAAGAAGCGCTGATACGCAGGGATCCGGCGAGGCAGCTGTATCCCCCTTCCTCCAAACGGCCCACCCTGTGAACACATCCTGCTGTCGACCTTCACGTGCTACCCCAAGAGCCGCGGCTACGTCCACATCACGGGGCCGTCGGTGGCCGACAAGCCTGACCTGGACGTGGCGGTGCTGACCGACGACGGCGCGGACCTCGAGGCCAAGGTGTGGGTGTACAAGAAGGGGCGCGAGATCATGCGGCGACTGGCGCACTACCGCGGCGAGGTGCAGGCGCTGCACCCGGCCTTCCCCGAGGGCTCGGCGGCGTCGCTGGTGACGCTGGCGGTGACGGAGCCGGCGCCGTTCGACGCGGCGGCCGGGCCCGTGCCGGAAATCGTGTACAGCGCCGAGGACGATGCGGCCATCGCGGCGCAGGTCCGAGCGATGGTGGCGCCGACGTGGCACTGCCTGGGCACGGCGCGCATGGGGGCGGGCGTGGGTGACGGCGCCGTGGACGCGCAGCTCGACGTGTTCGGGGTGCAGGGCCTCAAGGTGGCGGATCTGAGCGTGGTGCCGGGGAACGTGGCGGGCAACACGGCTAGCCTGGCTTTGGCGATTGGCGAGAAGGCGGCCGACCTGATGGTGAAGGAGCTGGGCCTTGTGTGATTCGGGTTGGATCGATGAGCTTCAAAGCGGGCAGTGGAGAGCAGAGGTGAATTGAGTTCCCGCGTGTTTCTGGAAGGCACCTTGGAAGGCACCTGCCGAACAAAGTCTGTGCCCTGCGTCTTCCTTCCAGATGACAGCCAGCCTTGGGTTCAATTTGGAGTATTGCAGTCCAGCACTGGCCCATCCATGCCTAATTTTGGCTTGCTCCGACAAAGCACAGCCCTCGCCGTCTCGTCCCGGGCCTTCGAAGCCGCCCAGGCAGACATTGGGAGGCCATATGACGATTGCGTATAGGCACTAATGCTAGGCTGAGGTCGCTGGGAACAGGGAAGTTCGGATCAAGCTAGCGGATGTATTGGCGCTCAGGCCTTTGGAGCCATTGCGCTGCGCTTGACGACATCAGGCCCCTCAGACGACTGTTTGGAGCCTAGAGAGATGCGCTAGCAACAAACACGAGAGGCACCAGCCGAGCCAACCGCCCCTATTCCAAGGATATGCGCAGCACGCGGACGTTAAATGTAGCGCACCAGCACCATGGCCTTGGCGTTCGCGGCACCCGAAAACCCGCATCCAACGGCTGGGCCAGGCCGCGGACGGGACTCAGGGACTCAGACCGAGGATCACGGAAGGCCGGTGACAAGGAGCCCTCAACCAACTTGGGCGACCAGCCCAACTCGACGGCTGGACGCAGTCCGGCTAGACTGACGGCCTTCGAGGACTGTACTGACTCAGAAACGGGCGTCAGGCCCGGCCGGGCCTGTCTCGACTGGGCTCAGGTTATAAGTCAGATGCATCTCCAGACGAAAGAATCCTCAAGACCCCGAAAATAGCAGCAACTCTCAAGCTCTCCGCATCAGGGTGATTGGAGTAGCTTGCACAGCATCGCCAGGGTCTCACTTGATTCATATTCACCCATCTTCCTCAGTATGTCCGCGCTGGCTTCCTTCGTGGCCTCGGCTGCGGAGCACTTTGGGAACTTGGTCCCTTGGGTTCCGGATACCTTCCATCACCCACAGCGACCTCAACCGACAAGCTGGGCTGCACCAGTAGCACGGGCAACCCGGAATCGGTCGTCACCATCGTCATGGAATCCGCATCCCTCACCTACAACCCCACCACTTAACAACAGCACCACCGCTTGCACACAAGACAGCATCACATCCCTACTACAAACTTTTGTCAAGACCGAGAACACAGTCGCCCTTACCGTCGAGCGCGCCGTCCACGTCACCGGTGGCACCTTTGGCGAAGGCCCGAGCAACCGCGCATACCCCCAGAACGCCACGAACCTGCCCGAGGTGTGTGCCGTTATAGTCAGCGTGATCAACAACACCGCCAGCGATGACCTAGGTTCCAGATCCAACTACCGCTTCGGGCTGTTCCTTCCCCCGGCCGCCGACTGGAACGGCCGTTTCCTGGCCGTCGGCAACGGCGGCCAGAACGGCGGCATCAACTGGCCCGAGATGGGCCAGGGCCCGCACTACGGCTTCGCCACCGTCTCTACAGACACGGGGCACAGTAGCAACGACGCCACGGACGGCCTGATGTGGGCGCTGAACCGACCAGACCGTGTATTTGACTGGGGATACCGTGCTGTACGAGGCTCCGTCGCCGTCGCCAAGCAAATCGTCAGGGCGTACTACCACGGCGGCAAGTCCAGGGCTGACGCTGACCGAAAGAAGAAGATGTGGTCGTACTGGTCCGGCTGCTCCACCGGAGGGAGGCAAGGCCTCAAAGCCATCCAGGACGACCCCGACAGCTTCGACGGCGCGCTCGTGGGCGCCCCGGGACACGAAGCACCTGTTCCCCTGGATCGCCAAGATCGGCAGGGACAACCTCCGCGACGGCGGCACCGTCATCCTGGACGCGATCGACCCGTCCATCATGGTACCCCTCGCCGCGCGCGTCCAGCTCCTCTGCGACGCCGCCGACGGCATGGTCGACGGCATCATCAGCGCCCCCGAGCGCTGCGCCGCTATCAACGTGACCAGCCTGGCCTGCCCCGCCGGGCTCCCCGCCGGCACACCGGCTTGCCTGACCCCGGAGCAGGCGGGCGTCGTGCGCAAAGTGTGGGCCGACTACTTCGTTTCCGACGGGAAAGGTGGCCTGCGCCTGGCCAACAACGGGTTCGAGGTCGGCTCGGAGCTGCAGTGGTACATCTTCCTGGGCGGCAGCGCGCCGAGCGACTTTGACACGCAGTTTGAGCGCTACCTCCTGTACAACGACACGGCCTGGTCGTGGCGCAACTTTTCAAACCAGGTCGTGCTGGACAGCGAGCGCATCAACCCGGGCCAGGCGACGGCCGACGACTACGACGTCTCGGCGTTCCGCGAGCGGGGCGGCAAGGTGCTCATGTACCACGGCCTCGCCGACGGCGTCGTGCCCTCGCGCTCCTCGACGCTCTACTACAACCGCACGCTGGACGCCATGGGCGGCGGGCGGCGCGGGGCAGGCGGTGTCGGCGTCGACGGCTTCCTGCGCCACTTCCAGGTCCCCGGCATGCAGCACTGCGCCTTCACGCCCGCGGCCGTCAACGCGCCGTGGATGTTCGCCGGCGCGGGGCAGGCCACGTGGCTGCAGCTGCTCGACCCGGCCCTGACGACGCCCGACGTCCGCGCCGGCTGGGGCACGCCCGGGTTCCGCGGCGACCCCGAGTACGACGCGCTGCTGAAGCTGATGGCCTGGACCGAGGGGGGAGAGGCGCCCGACAGCATCAACGCGGTTGCCTACAACGCCGACTGGTCCGTCTACCGCACGAGGAAGCTTTGTCCCTATCCGCAACGGGCAAAGCTCACGGGACTGAACCCGAACGTGGCGAGCAGCTGGACTTGTGTTGAGGGTTACAATGGTATCTGGTAATGACTGACGAGCGTGATGTTATGATTAAATTCTGTACAAAGTCTGTTCCGCCCACCCAAAGCAGCGTCGCGTAGTAGTAATAACTAGGCATTAATCCTTTTTCTTCATCTTGCTCTGGGGGATCTGTGGTAGCTGGCACTCTTCGGGGAGCAAAAATCGTAGATCCTACATGGTCGTCAGTTGTCAGTTTCCAGCTGGTTCTTTTATGAAAACCACCCCGCAGGCGCCATTCCAACACCAAAAAAACTCACATCAAGCTTCCCCGACATCTTGTCATCTCCGCCATCGATGGTGAACCTGGCCAGGTTGCTCTTCTTCTTCTGCAGGTCCATGATGCTCTGTCCAGTTGCCGATGTTAGTGCTTCCCGGGTGGGACAGATACCAAGCGCCCTGCTGGTAGCGGGTCGTATAGGCGAAATCGGGGTTGCAACTTGCCTTCTCGACCGACCCTCTGACAACATATCGCAGCACGGCCACCTCGCGCTCCTGGCCCATGCGCACGGCGCGCGCGACCGCCTGCTCCTCAACTGAGGGGTTCCATTGCGGCTCGACCATGTGCACGCGGTTCGCGGCCGTGATTGTCAGTCTATCGGTCGTGCAGCGTTGATGGTTTCGTCAGTGATCCTACGCATCTCGCTTTTCCATCGTAAACAAAGCAGGAACCTGCCTACCCGACCGCGCCACACCCAATGGTTAACAGGATGACTGGGATTTCTGGGTCATCGCTAAACGTCTTGATGATGTCGGCCCGGGCCTCCGCCTTGACCCTCCCGTCTATACGCACGCAGCGTATGTTGCTGAGTTGGAGCAGGTGCTCCAGGATGTCGAGAGTCGAAGTCCAGGAGGAGAAGACGATGCTGGTTTGTCAAAATTCTGGGTCAGCAAGTAATGGAAGCCGCACTTTTGGGTCCATACTCAACCGCACGTACTTTTTATCACCCGGTGACCCATTCGCAATGTTGCTCACTACCGCCTCCAGCTTCGATGACTGGCCGGACCATCCCATTGCCGGCGGAGAGGTTGGCTGCAGCATATCGACGTCCAAGACACCAGGCGATGTCCCGGATCTCGGCGTTGCTGTCCTGCTGGTCGGCGCCGCCGTTCCCACCCTCCGCTGGCACATGGAGCAGTATTCTTCACCTGTGGAAGCCAGCTCGCCTCCGTCGCACTGCTCGCATGGGCCATTGTCCAGGTCCTCGGCGGCCGCGTTCTTGATCGCAGGATCCGTCGAGCTGGGGTAGCTGGTCCCGGCTCCGGTTGATCTCCGGAATGTGCCGTTGTTGCAGAGCCGACGCAGCTGCATCATCACGTCGAACATGATGTTATACTTCTTGGTCTCGGCGGACGAGCCCCGGCCGCCGCTGCCGCTTACAAGCCTTTCCATCCGCTTCAGGCATTCCTTCTCAACAAGCCTGCGCTCTTCCTTCTCTGCCTCGGTCTGGTCAATGTAAATGACCTCTTCTTCTGCCTTGGGAAGATGCAGGCATTTCGAGCTCCGACGTAAACAGATCATTCTCAAGAGGTTTCTCAGATTGCGGCAGCGGTCCTGGTTACCTGCGTTCCCCAACGGCTCCAAGATATGAGACTTAAACTCGGACATTTGCGCAAATGGCTGGATGTCGAGAAAGTTGACAAGGGCGGCGAGGTCATTCAAGGAGTTTTGCACTGGCGTTCCGGTCAGGCACCATCTGCGCTGGCTCGTGAGGGCTTTGGCCGCCTTGAACCGTTTGGATGAAGGGTTGCGCACCCAGTGGGCTTGTGGGATGGATCAGACCAAGTGTCTTGAAAAAGTTAGGGGCACATTCCCGAGTGAAAGCATACCTTCATCAAGCACAACGCGATACCATTCTATGCTGTGCAACACTCGCGCGCTCTGGCTCCTCTTGTGGTCCTCTACAACCGTCGAATAGGTTGTAAGCACGATGTCGCTTCCACGCTCCAGAAGTTTCGCTGCGGATCTGTCTCGCTTGGGTCCGTGGTAATCCAAGACCACGATTCGCCCCTCGGCCTTGACGTGCCGCTGGATTTCAGTCCGCCACACGCTCATCAGCTGGACAGATGGAAGGATGACTAGTGTCGGCCCGGGCATGCGGCCCTCGAGAGGCCTCGGGTCTAGGGCGACAAAACGCCTGCTTTCCAGCTTGGTGGCCACAATGGCAGAGATGGTGGTTAATGTCTTCCCCATTCCCATGACATCAGCAATGATACCGCCCGTCGCTCCCCCGGCGCTGCCTCTACCGGCGTTAATGCTGACACAAAAAACCTCATTCATGCCGCGGCAGTGCCGTGGGTCCTCGCGTTTGAGAATGAACTCGATGCCCTGTCTTTGATGTGGCTTCAGCTCGGTGGCGATGTCGTGGCATTCGGCGTTCCCAGAGAGATCACCTGTTGAAAGAGAGGCCATAACACCCTCAATCTCGTCCGATAGCACCTTTGCTGGCGAATCTTCGACGACACCCACTAAACGGGTAATGTACTTCCGTTTCTTCTGAAAGAAATGGGGGTTCAGGTACTCAACGTCTCTGTCCAGGGCGTATGGATGCTGCAAGTACGCGTTCAGAGACGCTAACCTGTCACCGACCAGGTCTATGCAGCTTTCAGGTCCTAATATATTGATGGAGACGGGGAATATCCCTTTAGTTTTTGCCCTCCTGGCGTCTGCCGATCGAATCACGACCTGGAACGAGATGCCATCGATGCCGTCAAGCGCTTTGAGAAGTCGCCCTGTCACGATGTCAAGAATCCCCAGTTGAATGCCATCGACCGTATGGACCATGTGGGGGTTCGTGGAGCCAGGCTCTGCTCGGGCAGATGCTCGTAACTCGCCCGTTTTGGGTAGCAAGGCACGAGGAAAGGATCGATCCAACTTGACTTGACAATCCAATCCCTCGCCCGACTTTGATTGCCCGTTAGCTTCCAGGTACTAGATATCCAGATCCCAGAAATTCTTGCCTTGTCGCCCCCCTCAAAGGGGCACCGTATGATTGCCCCAAAGCATATTGCGGGCTCGGGGTCGGCTGCGGGCGCAGAAACAACTATGCAGGGCGATGTTGCACAGGAGGCGTCGCACATCTCAATGTCGCCATCTGTGCTTGGCAGTTTGAGAGGCGTGCTTGCAGTGGTATCCAGCTGCCACGAGGCATTGGAGCCAGCAGGCGACGCCGACAGCGGCGAGCGAGCTCTTTTGGGCGATCGAGGTGGGGGATCGTGGCTTGGGGCTTCCAATGTCCGCTTGGGCAGCCCAGATCCAGGCGTCTGGCTCAGTGGCTCGGCTAGCAATCTGACGTCCATTTACGATGAAGATTTTGTTGATGAGGATCGATGCCGCTCGAAGATGGAGAGTGAACAGCTCAGGAAGCAAAATGCATAAAGTAGTAGGTATGATGGAGCCGCGAATTCCCCAAATGCACCTCTCTGCTTGCACCCGGCCCGGCTACCCCTTTGGCTGCCTCGTGGCGTTTGCGCTTGATGTAGGTAGGTACCTACCTACCCACCTACCAGGTACATTTCAGCAGAACCTCGGACGCCCAGCTAGAGAGGGTGCAGTCAGGCTTGTAAAACACAATCCACATGCATGGGCCTAGCATCTAGTTGGGTAGGCAGGTAGGTATCTAGAGGTAGGTAGGTACATGTTTTGATGTTAGTGTCGCTACGGCTCATCCCGCCGTGGCGCCAAGCAGCGCACTTACATAAAGCGGCATGAAATGGAGCATCGGGCGAACAAGAAAAGTCGGCCTGCCGAATATCATTTGCTCAGCGTGCGGCAAGGCGTACTTCATAGTGTTGTTGAGTACCAATCAACCCGAGATCGATTGAGGAATGAGGCGGTGCTAGGACTGGCACTCATGATGTGAGGCTGGCTAGGCTTCCTTCCAGGCAGACAGGGAGATGATTGGATCACATCAAGTACCGCCTCTACCCAGGCAGAGTGCCTAACCCAACCGCATGCTGGCGCCAATGAGGATCGTATTGGGCTGCCGCCACCCTTTCTCGCGCAGACACTGCCCCAACGCCCAGCAAGCATGGAGGGGAACCAGATGCAGCTCTGCGAGCTACTGTCGCGCAAACTGCAGTCAACCCCTCATACCCCATACCCCCCTCGTGGATGTGCCGCACACCCGTGCGCGGAAACTCTCTCCTTCATGTTTTGTGTCGTGGCAATCATTACCCCGGTACAGAACTGGTTGACTGCATTTTCCCTTCTCCCTCGCTCTCGGCCAGTCTATACCTCGCCATCGCCAACATTCCCCGCTGGGCCGCATCCGCTTCCCTACCCTGCTGTCTTGGTTGCCACCAGACGACAGCCCGGCCACCTATGGCTCCATACGGGGGGCCAAGACCAGCGACGACCTCTCCGCCCCAACCGGCCACACCCAGCCCCAAGCAACGACACAACTCCCGACTGGAAACAGCTCTGGATGAGCTGAAGCGGGCTTTGAACAAAGAGCAAAGGGCAGAATTCGCCAAGTGCAGCAAGCAAGATGCCGAAAACGCCATTAAGTCCATCCAGGATATACTGGGCAAGCAGAGGCGCTTGCAGAATCTCGCGCGCTTCAACAAGATCCTGAGGATGCTTGGTCATTTGGCCATCATTGCGGGTGATGTCGCCAGCGCAGCCGGACAAGCTGGCTTTTTCTGGGTACCAACTTGCCGCCCTTGATGCCTCCATTCTCCCACATTTGACTAACCCGGCCAATCTCAACTCCTCACAGGCGCCAATCCGCTACGTCCTAGACCAGGTGACACCCACCCATTCCGTCATTTTATCCGGCGCTTTCCCCAAATGCTGATAATCTTCGGAACCCGCTCAGCTCATACGACGAGGAGGAGGAGCGGACTGCCTTGATAGAGTGGTGGATGTGCTTGCAAAGATATCGCACATTTTCCCCGAGATGGAGGATTACGAAAGTCTGTACTCGAAACATCCAGCAGTGCGCGACATCCTAGAGGACTGCTGCGAAACGATCATCAAGTTCAACATAGAATTGATGGAAGTCTTCAACAAAGCAGGTCGGTTCTCTCAGCACTCTCTTCCTCCCCTGACCCACAAGATAGCAAGGGGCTAATTGAACTGTGCAAAGGTTGGCGTGTCATGTTCGAGTCCTCCTGGGGTCGTTTTAAAAAAAACACAGCGGACATGGCGAGCACACTCGAGCGCAACAGCAAGCTGTTATCCGAGGCCAAGCAGACAGCAACCATGAGAATGACGCATCAGAACCAAGAGCTCCTCGAGCGAATGACCCAGAAATTGGAGGAGATACCTCAGCGCACCGCTGCCACGGATCGAGAGGATGCCAGAGACGCGGAACAACGCCTGAATCAGCTGCGGGATGTCATCAACAAGTTGGCACCAGCTCAATATCTCGATGACCAAAGTGACTTCCAGAGACGGCTGTACAGATCGGAGACAAAGGCCTGGCTTCTGACCGACGAGCGGTTTACCGCCTGGGCTGATCTCGATGACGAAGGCCATAAGGTTATGGACCTGAACGGTTGCCCTGGAGCGGGTATGCTTGCACCTTTGTTGCTGCAATCGCCTTTTTATCAATGACGCTGACAAAGTTATTCAGGGAAATCGATTCTGGTCTCCAGCGCCGTTCACCACCTCCAAGAACTTCAAGCCACACCAGGTCAAACACCTTTCTCCCTGGCGTATTTCTACTTCAGGCACAACACAGAAGACAGGACAACGTTCAAGCATGCTCTTCAAGCTCTGATCTCGCAACTTGTTACCGAGGAGTCTGATGGAGCCCTCCTTGATCATGCCTCCCAGGCTCTCTCTGCTGTGCACAAGCCTTCGCAAACCCAGCTGGCAGATCTGGCATCAACAGCAATTCAGGCCAAGCGCATCTGCTTTGTGGTTCTAGACGGGCTGGACGAATGCAACGATAACGACCAGTCTGAACTTGTTTGTTGGCTCAAAGATCAAACTACAAAGGGTGGCGACGCACCCCTCACCCTTCGAATCCTTCTCTCTGGTCGGAGGGAGGGTCGCCTTGACCGCGAGATTTCCCAGCTGCCTTCAGTCCTGTCAGTCTCTGTCGACAAATCTGCTAGACATCACGCTGGCATTCGACAATATGTTGAGGCAAAAGCAAGGCACATCCGGAACACATTTGGAGTTGGTGATAGGGTTGAGCGGAGTATCACGGAGAGGGTAGTGCCCCATGCCAAAGGTGAATTAAGATCGATGTCACCCAACCGTCCCTCCGCCGAATACCTTGATTAATTTGTTTGCGACATAGGCATGTTTCTCTTCGCCTTTGTCATGGTGGAATATCTCTCTGGCCTCGATTGCGCTCATGATCTGGAGGAGGAGCTGCAAAGTCTGGATTTTCCGGAAGGTCTTGATCAGGCGTAAGTTTACCCAGCCTCGCTCACCAGAAGCAGGAGCCAGCCCATCTTCCGCAATCTTGCCTGGCCTTTTCGAGCACTAACTTTGTGACATCTCCGCAGCTATGAACGTGTTGCCCGAAACGTTGTCCCCAGCGACCATGAGCTTGCCACTTCACAAGGGCTTAAAAATGTTCCATCTAAGGGTCGCAGGGACCGAGCTAAGAACCTATTATCATGGATATCGTGTGCTGTTCGGCCCCTCTACTGGCGAGAGGCTCAAGCGCGGTTCATGATCAATCCGCATGCTGGACCTGAGCGACTTGCACGCAAGAGCATGTTCGCCCATTCGCCCAAAAGGTTGTGTGGTTGTCTTGTTGACCTCACGACAGTCACTAGTGACGGACCCAAAGAAGCAGTACAGATTGTTCATCGCACCGCATCAGAGTATGTTGGAATCAAGATATCAATTTCCTTTGTCCCGGCACTAACTTCACATCTCAATCAGATACCTCGAGCGTAGCAGAAGGATACCTTCAGCCGGTCAACAACATGTCGATATGTTGACCTTTTGTTGCCAATACCTCAAGTCGCCCGCATTCTCCGCCCCAGTCCCCCAAACAATAAGAGAAGAGCACGCCACGACTGGGTACTATGCCTTCCAGGAGTACGCCGCAGCATACTGGCACGATCACGTCATGCTTCTTCGACAACATGCTGCAAACTTGCCGCCAGAAACAGTACGGCCGGCTCTAGACGCTTTGTCTGGTTTCTTGACTGCCTCCTTTCGAGCGGCGCAGGATGGGCAAGACAGAACTGCACTCCATGGACTTGGTCCTGACTCCAACCTCTTGGACAACGTTGCCGGATTAAATCCTGAGCCAAGCGAGCGGAACAAGCTCTTCCTCGTTCAGAGCTGGGTCTCTCTAACACGTGAAGCTATCGAAGCTGCTCGGCGAGGCACTCGCCATCTCCAAGATGCGGATCTGGAGAAGTTCTACGGCCCTGAACGCTTCAAGTGTCCACGTCCATGGTGCGACTTCTTTCATCTAGGCTTTCGGAAGCAGTCCGAGCTCGAGCAGCATATCGATGCCCATACCCGCCCATTCAGGTGCAATGTCGAGGGATGTGAAGTTTCGTCCCTAGGCTTCGAGTCCAAGCCGACGTTGGACAGACACAACGAAAGATTTCACAAACCTAGGTCGGAGGACGAACGTTTTCCGAAGGCCGTCTCATCTAAAGGAGGCCATCGCGCCGAGTTGGCTCGAGCGATCAAGGAAGGGAATCTTATCAAAGTCAAAGAGCTGATAGGTCCCCAGAATCTGAAGGTGGTGTTTCGTGAGGATATTCATGGGGAACCCATGACCGCATTCACCCCGCTGATCCATGCTATCAGATGCGGCCAGTTCAAGATTTGCAAGTACCTTCTCGAGTCAGGAGCGAAGGTTATATATCACCAAGGAAGAGCCACAGATATGACACCCCTCCGCGAAGCCATTAGGGCTAGCGACACAGCCCTACTGGATTTGCTTCTTAACCATATTCCTGAAATGGAAGAGCCTGCGCCAAACCACGAGACCTTGGATACTATTGCCTCTTTTTTGGCCAGAGGTTTGGAACTGGCCCTAGCTCTCGGCAACGAAGGCCCTGCTCTCTCGCTTTTGAAAAAGTTCAAGCTCGACTTCTTCTCTCGGTCCCCAGGCTCCGCCAGGGTCTGCTTCTACCACATCATTCGGTTTTACAACATGTCTCATTTATTCCCATTGCTACAACAACACATCCCTTTGAGCTTCGCCCGAGGAAACATTGTTGATGGCCGATCCATTCTCTCATTTGCGGCAGAATACGACCACCCTGAGATCATCACATCTATCATTGCAGAGGGAGACTGGGACATCAACGAAAGATGCCCACAGTGGAGAACACCGCTTTCCTACGCCGCGGAGAAGGGGAACCTGGCGACCTTGCGTGTGATACTTCAAGTCGAGGGGGTTGAACTCGGGGCGTCATGCATAAAGCGCCGGAGTCCTCACTACTACGCGGCATCGGAGGGGCATCTTGAGTGCTTACAGACCCTATACATTGCAACCTCTTCTGGGATCTACGGGTCAGACATTTTTTGCCAAGAACTCCGCCACTATGCGACTAATGCCGGCAAGGAAAGCCTGGAAGCCCTCTCAGAAATCCTCCTAACCCTCGCTGAATGGGCGGGCCACAGTGGCAAGACCATGCACCATCATGCGGTCATCAATGGGAGGCCTGAATGCCTGAAGGTCCTTTTCGACATCTTTCCCACAGGCAGCACGGAGATGCATACGGATGGGAACACGCTATACCTTCATGCGGTCATCAATGGGAGGCCTGAATGCCTGAAGACCCTTTCCGACGTCTTTCCCACCGGCATCGAGCAGATAGATGCCGATGGGAACACATTGTACCATCATGCGGTCATCAATGGGAGGCCAGGGTGCCTCAAGGCCCTTTTCGAAATCTTTCCCACCGGCATCGAGCAGATAAATGCCGATGGGAACACATTGTACCATCATGCGGTCATCAATGGGAGGCCAGAGTGCCTCAAGGCCCTTTTCGAAATCTTTCCCACCGGCCTCGAGTGGATGGATGCCGGTGGGAACACGCCATACCATATTGCGGCAGCCAAGGGCGACCTCGAATCCTTGAAAGCTTTATTGGAGATCCTCCCTACCGGCGACCGGCTGAAGGATCAAAATGGGAAAAGCCCGCTCTTTATCGCAGTCGAAAATCTGAAACTCGACTGTGTCCGATGTCTCCTCGCCTTGCCGGAAGGGGACGTTGAAGCGACCTGCATTGATGACACAGGCAACAGTGCCCTGAGCTCACTGGATTCGCGATCTATACGACCCCGCGAAGTCGCTGCAGTCGCTGAAATTGCTCGCCTTCTGCTCGAGCGCATGCCAAGCCTACTTGATCTCTCGGACAGAGATGGGTGGTGCCCTATGCACAACTTTGTCAGTATCCAAAATTTCGAACCAGAGGCCTTGAATTGGGTAACGCGGCTCGCCCACACCGCCAATCCAAATAGAACGACTTTCACCAGCCGAGGCGATGTCCCAAGAGGAGTTACCGCACTAGAGATCGCCATTCATCGCCTGAGCCGCGTCACTTCTACTCACCAAAAGGTCATGTTGGGGATCGTGGAGGCGATTATACACACCGGAAACTTCGAATTTTCCGCGTTTGATCGAGAGAGGCGAAGGTCACTGCTTTTAGGAATCCCCTTCTGGCAACCCAGGCCCACAAACCTAACCCTTCTGGTTTCTCTATTCCATCATGGGTTTCGTCCCTTCCTGGCTGATGTTTTCGCACTGGACAGCCTCCTCGTACCATGGTTGCTCATGGCCGTGGATAATCTCCTTACCAAAACATATCTCGAGGAGGCAGAGTGCTTGGAGATGGTCGAGCTTGCTACGTGCACTGGACGGGATGATGCGATCGCAAGGAAGGCCTACCTCTTCGAGAGACACAGGGCCTTGGGCTTCGCGCTCCAGAAAGCAATCAATGGAGACGATTCCACCCAGCCCAACCCCAACTTGTTCCCGAGTTGTCAGGGCGAGGATATTGCAAAGGTTCGGGGATATATACCTGTGCTCTACTGAGAAAGTGGGCTTGAGGATGACCAGTGGAGCAAATCACCTGGGTTGGAGTCAAATGTCTGCAGTGAAGGGCTTGCATGTGTCGAGCTGGACCAAATTAGAGGGGGAACGAGTTTGGGGTGAAATGCGGCGTTTGGCGTACATGACGGCGAGCAGGATGACTACAGCGTGGGCTTAATTTCCATTTCTCTAGAGTAATTGCAAGACTATGTGAAAGATGCCGCATCATGCTCTGCCAGCGACGGTACATCTGTGGGCTTGGGTGATGCGAAGTCTGGGGGGAAGGGGACAGGGAGACCTACTCCCTTTCGGGTTTATGTGTTCAGCGATGTGTATTCTTATGCCCCTCGTGGGGGCGGTAGAAGCCAGGTGAGGGAATACATGCAAAGACGCAGGCGTTGACAGACGCGTACTGATGGCCATGGCATCACGGCAGGTGATGTTATCATTGGCCGGTTGTATTGTGGACAAAGGGACCCTCGACACCAGGGCACTAGGATAAGTATGTGGGCGCCTTCAAGGCTACAAATGAGAGCTTATTACAGGTGTAGGGCTGACTAACCCCTAGTTGCTACCATCTTTGCAGAACTCCCTATCCTCCCGCCAACCACCTCGCATCTCCTCACAGGTCCAGCCAGCTCATCCCTCGCTCGTCTCTCTGTTCCGGATCCACCCGCCTCCGACGGCGGGCTGAATAATCGACACCACGGCTGGCTGGGCTGTGGCTTCGCCTGGGCTCGCCGCCGCTTCCCCGAGCCCGCGCCGCGACGCGATCAATGCTGTCGTCCTTCCTCTCGGCCGCGACGACGACGGCGGGCCGCCCGTCCGACGTCCGTGGCCTGTGGCTGGCGGTCCGCGCCGCCTGGCCCAGGTTGTTGCTGCTCCTGGTGGCCCGGACGCTGTGGCCGTCGGTGTCCTTGTGGCCGCCGCCCTCCTCGATGATGTCGCACTGCATGAAGCGGCCATCGATGCACAGCCTCGGCCCTTCCATCGACACGGCCTTCTTCAGGGCGGGGAACCACGACGGCGGCCGCACGACCTTTGCGTCCCCTGACACGACCCGCCGCCCCTCGGGAGCGTAATCGGCTGTTCCTGTCCTGTCATGGCCGTAGGATGATGCAGTCCTCGGCGCCGTGTCCGTTACGTGGATCGCAGGTTGGCTCATTTCCATCGGGCTATCCCCCATACCCCACGTGCGCCCGCGCTCGAGATCCTTGAAGTTGCTCCTCAGCGTGTGGCAGGAAGCGCTCTTGAGCATGGGGCTCCGTTCGTAGTATTGATGTTGTGGGGGTTCTGTCCGTCCGGCGGCCGATCCCAGGCTGATGGCAGAGTCCGGGGACGCCTGGCGGCGAGATGTCTTGGACAGCGCATCGTTGTAGCGGCTCGGCGGCAGGGCTGACATTGGTGTTGTCGCGGCGCTCGAGCAGGCCGTGGAGGGCGAGGCGGATCGTGTTGTGGGGCTGAAGCGAGAGACGGGAAGAGGACCGCGCGGAATGTCGAGCCGCAGCAAGCTCGCATTGCGCTTCCGGGTTTCCGGGGCGGAGGATTCGTCCTGCCTCGGGGGCGCCGGAAGTGCTGACATCCTGACATCCTGTCGGGGAGGGGCGGGGAATGCAGATGTCCTAGCATCCTGCCGGTGCGACTGAGCAGCAGCGGCCGTGCTGATTTCCCTTCGTGAAAACCTAGACTCGATCGGGGTAGCGATGTGCTGCCGCGGGAAATAGCCATCTGTCGGGGTGGCAATATGCTGTCGTGGGAAGCGAGCATCTGTTGGGGTAGCAATATGCTGTCGCGGGAAACGAGGCTCAATGGCAGACCAAGGCTGCCGCCTCGGAGAAGGAGGCTCTGCGGCAACCGCGGATTGTTTTCGCGGTGATTGGGATTCCGTAGCCGACCTGGTAAACAGTGGCCGGGGTTTTGTCTCCGTCTCCGCCTTGACCTCGGGTCGTGGCGGGCGAGACTCGGGGATGGTCCTCTGTTCCTTTCTCAGACGGCGGGGAGGAGACGGAGGCTTGTATGTAACAGGTGAGAGAGTCGGGGGTTGGTATGTGAGGGGTGCAAGAGGCTGGATGTCTGCATTAGCTTCCTTCTGCTGGGTCCTGGTCTCGGCAGCGGCCTTGGATTCCTTTTGCAGGGATCTAGCATCGGGTTGGTATGTGAGGGGTGCAAGAGGCTGGATATCCGCATCGACTTCCTTCCGCCGGGCACTGGTCTCCGCAGTGGCCCTGGATCCCTTGTGCGGGGGCCGAGCCTCGGGGGCGGCTGCCGGCTCCTTTCTTGACGGACGCACGGGGGCCTGAGGTTGGTATGTGAGCGGGGCCAGGGAATAAAGCTCTGGCTCAGCTTCCTTCCGCTGGGTCCCGGTCTCGGAAGCGGCCCTGGATTCTTTTTGCGGGGGTCGAGCTTCCGGGGCGGTTGCCGGCTCCTTTCGCGTCGGACGCGCAGAAGCCTCGGCTTTGTACGTAAGCGGGGCCAGGGAATAAAGCTCCGGCTCAGCTTCCTGTCGTTTGGGTTTGGCCTCTGTGGCGGGCCGAGTTTCCGGTTGTTTGGGCTGGGGCTCTGTCGAGGTCCTAGTTTCCGGTAGTGCAGACCTAGCCTCTGCCCTCGATCTAGTTTCTGGCCGTTTAGGTTCCGTCTCCGTCGCGGATCTTGTGCTAGTTTCCGGTCGTACAGAGCGGGTCTTTGGTGCGGTGACGGGCTCCTGTTTCAAGCTGCGTCCAGTGGGGGCAGGCTTGTAGGTCAAGGGCGAGAGAATCCCAACATCGGCCGTGACTCGCGGCTGTGGTTCGGGTGTGGGAGCCTTCTCGGTCTCTTTCGTCGGCGGGCGAGCCGCGGGGGTGGCGTCGGGTTCCCGTGCTGAACGGCGAGCAACGGGTTCGGGCTTGTAGGTCAGCGGCGCCAAAGCTCCGAGGTCGGTTCCGAGGTCGGCTGGGACCTTTCGTTGCGACTGCGTTGCTGCAGCTGGTCTGGCTTCCTTTGTCGGGGAACGAAGCTCGGGAGCTGGGGCAGGCTCCTGTCTTGATCGACGCGGCGGACTTTTGGGTTTGTAGGTGAGCGGGGCGAGAAGCATTGTGGGCGGCAGGCGATTGGAGAAGGGCACGCTGCTGCTGGGATGGGAGCTGAAGGATTCCTGGGTCGGCTGATGGATGGGAGGGGTCCTTCGTGGTTCATCATACAGTTCCTTTCCGTTGAGCGTTGTGAATGCAGATCAATGCCTCAACTCGGGATACCCTCTGGATCTTGTACGGCAGAGTAGGCAAAGGCGACCGAGGAGAAACGGCTCACCGCGGAGCCGCCCCAAGACATAATTAACCCTGCCGACAAGCGAGAGAAGGGGGGCGACGCACACCGACAGAAGCGCCCACACACACACCCGTCGAGCACACGTGCGCTGACAAGGCCCCTCGTCAGCCGACGGTTCGCGATGCGGCCTTTTTGTGAGCTCCAGCGCCATCGCCAGCCTGGAGACCACTATCGAAGATGGTCTTGGGCCTCACTCATCAAACGGCCCCTGCTCCGCCATCCACCTCTGAAGCGACGCAGGAGGATCCTGTGGGGTGACAGCACCTGGGCAAATGAGTTTCGGGCGCTTTACCCGACCATCGGACCCGCAGGCAGAGCGCCCAGTTCGGTACAGGTCATCTGGACCTGAGGGTGCAAAGGCCATCTGCTCCCCTGGAGTGCTACCCGGACAACATCGAGCGCGCCGTTGTCTTGCCGATACCACTCTCGGCAGAGGCCGTCTCGTACCGTCGCTTCTGCTGCACACCTATTTATCAGCAGCCACCTCGCATATCAGACGAGATGAACACATGAAATATTATCATTTTTCTAGCCGTATATCCCGAGTATTGCATGCACGCGAGATGCGTCACTAACCACAAATCATTCAATTCATCAACCGATCATCCTGGCCAAGCCTCTGCCCGCCGCTAATCATAGAATACCAAGCATCGCACCTCGATGCTCTGTCGGCCCTTGGCGTCGGCCGGGGTGGCCGGGTCCACGAAGGCTGTGTGCGGCGTCATCCCAGCGAGGCCCTGGATCCCGCCCGGCCGCTCCTGGCTCCTTGAGTCGAAGCACTTGAGGAACATGGCCTCGTCGGGCGTCATGTCCTTCACGTAGTAGAACTTGTGCGCGTCACTAGGAGCGACGGCAAACGTCTCGCCCCCCACCACGTAACCCTCGGCCGATTTATGCGTACCAGGTTCGGGCGCCACCTCCTTGCCGCGGTTGTCACCGTCGTCGTCGGGCGGGCGTATGGGGTATAGCAGATCGGTGGCGACGAGGTCTGAGGGTTTGATGGTGCGCCAGTCGACCACGGCCAGTGGGAAGTCGGCCGCTGGGTGCCCAATTGGCCTCCACACGTTGATTATCTGAAATCTACCATTTATCAGCTCCTCCGCCTCGGCGGGGTCGGCAGTGTGCCGCCGCACTCGGGCCTCGGCTGCCCCGGGGGTCTGGTCGACGTGGACCTGCTGGATGGGCTTTCGGGGGCTGTCTGGGAGGCGGCGGCGAATGGTGTGGTCAAAGATGACAACCTTCTTGATGCCGGGCAGCTTGGCCCGCAGGAGGGCCTCGACCTCGGCGTAGTAGCCCTCTCGAACGGCGCGGTCGTCGGTAAATTCCTTCTCGGTGGCGGGCCAGTTGTGGACGGCGAAACCGCAGTTGTCGGTGGTGAAGTTGTCGAGGCCGGCGACGCGCAGGTCGTGGACGGGTCGCCTGCGCTCCGTCTCGTCGTACGCGGGCTGGTAGGCGTCGACCTTGCTCCAGGCCTTACCAGTCAGCTTGGTGTTGTCGATGTGGCGGAAAACACCAGTGGTGGTCATGGTGACGTGGGATGGATGTGCGGCCGAGGTGGCGGAGCTAGTTGGGTGGGTGGTCGTGGTATTGGCGTTTGGTAGCGCTGGCAGCACTGGCGCTGTGCACCAATGATGCTGGGTGTCGTCAGTGTGCGGGGGAGCTTGAACTTGAGCCGGGATTCAGCTGGGAGGCGGGAGAAGCTTGCTATCAGCTCAGGCAGGATCTGGGTTGGATGTGGTTATTTCTTTGGTCTTTGTTTGATATGTCCCAGGATGAAGATGTGCCTTTATAACACAACAACATCGCCGGCATTACTAAACACAAGTAAGTGCATGGCAAACAGGGCGACGATACACGGGGCGACCTACGGGGCGATCTCATGCATGCAAGTGCGGCATCCGCGGCGCATCAAGACATGCCGCTCCATTGCGTGACCCGAGTCGTGATGGCACCATTCATTATTCATCACCAAGACTTGTCAGCAAACAGCAAACCTGGAGGCTGCGTTTGAAGCCTCCACTCCAGGAGAAATGATCTCCCTCAACCCTAACCCATCCTGACCCACCGTGCCATCTCCATGTGGGATGAAAGGTACGAGGATTGTCCAAGGTTTCAGCACTTACCGTTTAGGAAGGTTGAAGTGGTAACATGAACAGGGAAAGTCCGAGGAAGCTCCATGATTTTAACGCTCCGTCCGACTTGCCCTTGCCCGTTGGCACAACCCACCCTCGGCGAGTTGTCTGGCAGCTTCCCCAACGGGTGATTGGGGCTTGCAGGAAGGAGGAACAATGGGTGCCTCTCGTTAGCCATGCTGCCATGGCAATGGTGGCGATGGACAGAAACTGGACATGGATCCAGCAACCAAACATCACCAGCATCAGCAAACCAAGGAGATTCATACCGTATTTCAAAGGCAGCATTACAAATCCCCACACCGACAACACTCTCAATCATGCATCTCTCAGCCCTTCTTCTCGCCGCCGCCGCGCAGGCTGCATCCCACTCGGCCACACAAGCTGAACCTCATTTGGCCGCGACCCAGCTAGGCCAAAAGTGCAGCCGCACCACTGCCCGGGCCTAGGCCTCCTCGGCAGATGGCCGACTTCGCCTCGACGAGGTCGAGCCTCCAACTCTCGGCTGCAGCACGAACTCGTCCAGCCCCGAGTGGAAGCTCTATATCAACGATGGGTGGAAGGCGAGCAGCTTCAAGCAGAAGGTCGAGGGTTTCGGCGCCACCGTGGCCGATGTGACGGTCGACGCCTACAACACGCTGCCCCCTGCGTCCCGGGACAGACTGCTCAATCTGCTCATGACCCCCGAAGGTGCCAACTTCAACCTCATGCGCCACACGATTGGCTCTTCGGACCTGTCGGCTGCCCCAGCCTACACCTACGCCGACAATGGCGGCAAGCCTGACCCAAACCTCGACTCGTTCGACTTGGGAGATCGGGGCCGCCGCATGGCCGCGATGCTTGGAGAGATGAAGAGGATGCAGCCGTCCATGGTCCTGGTTGGCACTCCATGGGCTCCCCCGGCTTGGATGCAGCGCCAAGAGAACGTGTCCTCGGTCCTGAAGAACACACTTGACCCTCAATATTACACCCAGTTCGCCAACTACCTCATCAAGTACCTGACAGCCTACAAAGATGAGGGAGTTGAGGTCAACGCCATCACAATCCAGAATGAGCCGGTGCGCAACGAACCGGGAACACCAAGCCTCTTCGTCTCTGAAGACGAGGCCTCTCGACTGATCCGTGATAGCATTGCCCCTGCTATCAAAAGTAGTGGTCTCGGAACCCCGATCTGGATCGGCGACCAGAACACAGGTACTTTTCGGACTTGCTCTCAACTAGCAACCTCGCGGTACACTACCTTCTGGCAGGTCTAACGTCCAAGTCTCTCTCCACAGATCAGATACAATATGCCCGAAGTGTTCTGATTGGAAACGGGGCTGCTCCCTTGGCCGCCGTCGCTTGGCACTGCTATGCTCCGGGAGAAAACTGGACGGCTCTTTCAGCCTTCAAAAGGACAGTTCCGGGTATCTTGCAATACATGACCGAGTGCTGGACTTCGGAGTTGTATACCAAATGGAACCAAGCATCGTGGTTCACCATTGGCCCCCTCCGGAACTGGGCATCGGGATCGATAGCTCGGGCTCTGGGCACCTTCTCGGCCAAAGGCCCTCGTCTCGGCTTGAAGGGATCGTGCGAGGCGTGCACTGGCCTATTCACGGTCGACGCCGAGAGCGGCACGTTTGAACTGCGCCCCGACTTCTTCATGATGGCCCAGTACAGCAGGTTCCTGCCCCGCGGAGCCAGAATTCTACGCGACAGTGGGAGTTCAATGGACGGGGACGACGAGTCGGGGATCGAGAGCGTGGCAGCGCTGCTTTCGGACAGAAGACGAGTCGTTGTTGTGGAGAACAGGTTTTCTCAGAGGATGAAGGTCGTCCTCACCACCAGGTCGGGCCAGGTCTGGACTGGCCATGTCACGCCCCGGAGCGTCACCACGTGGCTACTGCCGTCACGCCAGGAGAGGGGCTCGGCGGCAGCTGTCCAGCCCCCATTTGCACTGCTGTTTGCGCTGGTGATTGGTGTGGCTGTGTGTTTGGTGTAAGTGGATGGGTGGATGCATTGACCTTGTTGGGGAGAGGAGAGGAGATGGGGAAAACATTATCACTGCACCTTGACGGGTCACCTCATTATTAATTCTTGCGGCTAGGCACATACAAGGATAGGACGGTATCTCAGTCTTTTGCTGATGGCAGAACAAAACAGGTTGGGAGGATACAAGCCCGGAAACCTTGATCCATAATCGCGTGATGAACAAACTCCCAAGCTTGGCTCACACTTCAGTTCCTCCTCGGCCTCCTCGGCCTCCCTCTTGCCGGTGCCTCGTCGGGCGTCTCGGAATCGGACCCCGAGGAGCTGCTGTTGCTGCTGTCCTGCATCTGGCGCACGGGCACAGGCACGTCGAAGAACGACCCCGCGCTGACGGCCTTGCGCTTGATGATGATGTACTTGATCCCGCCGCGCTCCTTGGTGCCCTCCTCGTCCGACCGCAGCAGGGCCGGGAACACGACGATGCTGCGGCGGCCGCCCTCCTCGGCCATCTTCTTCTCCCCGAGCTCCTCGGGCGGCGGCTTCCACTCGAAGCGCCAGCGGGCCGCGTGGCAAAAGATCTTCTCGCCCAGCTCGATGGCCCGGCCGGCGACGCAGACGAGCCCGGCCAGGCGCGCGTCCCTGTCGTCGTCGGGCCGGCGCGCGAATACCAGCAGGACCTTCTCGAGCGCGTCGACGCACGGCTGCCGCCCCGCCCGCAGCTCCTGCGCCGCCGGCTGCAGGAAGAAGGCCGTGATCCTGCGCCAGGCCGCCAGCGCCGCCTCCTCCTCCTTGCCCGGCCCCGCGGGGGGCGGCGGCGGCTTCTCGTCGCCGCCGCTACCGGCCGCCGACGACGACGACGCAGCAGCCGCCGCGGGCCGCAGCGACTCGAACTTGCGCATCAGCTCCACCACGGCCGGCTCGAGCGACGTGTCGTCCGGGTGGCCGCACAGGTCGATGCTGGCGACCATGACGCGAGCGATGCAGATGCGGAGACCCAGGCGGCGGTGCCGCGGCGAGTGCAGCAGCGTCGAGAGGTCCTCGGCATCCTGGGCGGCGTCGGCGGTGGTGGCGGCGGCGGCGACGACGCCGGCGGCGCGGAGCGACTCGCGCACCAGCTCGCGCGACTGGCACACGCGGTCACAGTGGTAGAAGCGCCGCGCGTGCGCGTCGATGGCGGACCGGAGGATGATCCAGGTCTGCCGCACCGAGTCGTCGTCGGGCGGCTGCAGGAGCTTGTCCTGGAAGTTTGTGAGCGGGAACGGGCTCGGGACGGTGCCGCCGCCGGCCGCCTTGGAGCCGCCGCCGCCCATGGTCGGGGATGGGGTCTGGTTTGTTTTATCAGGCTCGGTTTGCGTCGTGTGTACTTATATGTTGGCACATTTAGTATGGAAGCCTCGCGAGGATAGGGGGATGTGGAACAAAGGAAAGGTTGATGGGGGAGCAGAGTGCAGCTGGCGTCTAGGCCTTGGTGGGCATGGCGACATCTTAAAAAAGGCACAGGGCAGATCTGATATGTTTACCGTGCGTTGACCGGGACGGGGGGTTGATGATGACCTGCATGAGGCGTAGGTTTCCCAGCAGAGGCCAAAGCCATGGCGTCACCGCGTCGACAGCAACCCTAAAGACCCCGAGGGGAAGCGCTTCCGAGCTTCCAGATGCCAGCGCACAGGCGTCACCCCGTGCTGGCAATCCCCATGATGCGACCGAGCCCACATGACGGGGCGTGCGAACCAATCTGTTTTTTGCTGGCTGTTTATGTCGGTGAGGGCCGAGCAACCAAGCTGGAGGAGGGGTGGGTGGTCTTGTTTCACTGCAGAATCGCGCTTCCAGTCCTGCAGCACCGTTTTTTCCTACTTCTGTTCTTCGCGCCACCTGAGCTGATGCCGACTAGCGCTGGTCGTGTTATTGCGGTGGGGGATGACTGGTTGCGCTGGACTCGGTGGCACGGGTTGCGATGGGGTGTGATCTCTGATGCGTGTCGCTGGGAGATCTGATGTTAGCTAGCGCGCGAGCTAAACACGCGCGTGCCCTTGGCGGTGGGTGTGCTTCTACTACTGACGAGTGTGTCCGAGCTAGCAGGCCACTCGTTGTCTAGCCCGGCGATCCGGTTCGACGCCAAGGCTGGCGACGTGTTTTGTTTCTCGGGCTAGAGGAAGGGTATTCCCGGCGTCCTGGAATGTTTTGCTGTCGCTGTCTTGCTCGCCGCTCTGATGTTTCCCAAGGAGCCCTTCCAACCCTTTTGAGTATTGCCAGTTAGTTCGCCTTCGGTTTTATTGTTTTGGACAAGTGGTAGCACTGAGGGGAATCATCTCTTGTAAAGGCCAACATTCCATTCCGAACCCGAATCCTCCAAGCAGGTGTCTAGTTGGATTTGTGCAAACGCTGTGGGTCGTGTTGGTGTGTCGATGTGCCCTGGGTTTGGCCTCCTGTAACGACAAACACGAATAACGTCCACGGCACGTTTTGGGGCAGTGACTGGTAGCTACCAGCCATCCTCTGCCTCCTGACCAGCCCCGGAAACACCCGGAGTCGCTCACTGATATGCAAGACCACATTCAAGTCAGCCGGGCACTAACAAGGCGGGTCTGAAAGTATGTCTGGCATCTCCTAGCGCGATATCCTCCGGGACGTTCGCGCGAGTCTCGGCAACCTGGAAAAATGGTTCGGTCGTTTGCGTCCACTTGATTGCGACGGGTACATGTTCCAAAGTGGCCATGGCTGCCTCGCTGCGGCTGGGGGCTTCCAAGAGCGACGGCAGTTGCTAGAAACCAGAAGCTCTTCGAACACAAATCACCACCTTTTCTCGTCTTGTGCATATCGACGCTAACCGCTGATCGGCCATCTTCGGTTTCTTGCTTTAGCGGGAGCAGCTCTTGGTTTCATTGGCCAAGACGGGTTCATGTCGCCCCGGTGCTTGGAGCAGTCGGCATATGGCGGAGACCCTACGGGTTTCCTGGGTATCAGGTTGCCTCTCGTCCCACTGGGAAGCAATGCGGGCAATGGCCCCCACACTCCATGTTCCGACAACTGCTGCCAAGAGCCAAGGCTATAGTTAATGTATATATCAGGCTCGACGATCAAGGGTGGGCGTATCGGGTAATTAGGGGTTATTACCAGCGAGTTGTCGGGCTGATGATGGCGGCTTGGTTTTCGGGGCGGCCAACACACGTGAGGTCTAGACAAGAAATGCATATCGACCTGACGTGTGCGTTGCGATTCGCATTTCGAAGCTGCGGCAGAGGTCTGCGGCAGATACAGTTTCTCTAGCTGGACTTGTTATAAACCATGTGTTTGAGCGACGGTATGCCGACGATAGTTGCTCGGACCTACTTCCTTGCCGGAGAACAATCACCATCACTGTAAACGGGGCCGACAAGAACACCGATACAATTACCGCAATGGGCTTGCTGACTCTCACCATGCTGGCCGCCATACTGGGCGTATCCGAAGCTGCTGCCCGGTTCGGATGCTCCACCGTCAGCGTCCAGCGGCTCGATCCCCTGGTTGAGCCGGGCAACATACCATCGGCCCATGTCCACCAGATTGTTGGCGGTGATGCCTTCAACGCTACCATGGACCCAAACATCGACATCTCCCAGACTTCGACCTGCAAGACGTGCGAGTTCCTTGAAAATCGCTCCAACTACTGGACGGCGGTGCCCTACTTCGGCGCCCGGAACGGCTCCTACCACTGTGTGTCGCAGTACCCCAACGCCTACCACGACCCCCAGGTCGGCGGAATGACCGTCTACTACACCCAGGAGTCTTTCTTCTCCAATGGACGAAATAAGATCACCGCGTTCAAGCCCGTACGTCGAAACCTTGCACCGCAACTGAATTTTGGAAAACGGGTACGGTCGACTAGCTGCTAACCTGAGAGAACAGGGCTTCCGGATGGCTGTCGGTGACCCCGGCACCACGGCTCGTCAGGTGGCTAAGAGCCACCCTGGGCTACTCTATGTCTGTCTGCAGAACGTCATGACGCGGTTCCCAGAGGCTCCCGACTTTCACACGAGGCCGTGTCCCGGCGGCATCATGGCCGTCCACCACTTTCCCGCGTCAGTGAACAAACCCAAACGACGCCGACCCAAACCTCTGAATCGCACGTTGCATGTCTGGCCCTGGCTCCTTGAGCGCGCAACAGCTGCTGGGACGGCAAGAACCTCGACAGCCGCGACCACCACTTGCACATGGTCAGCACGGCGGGTGAGGCCTTCGCCGTGCCGCGGCCCTGCCCGGCGTCGCACCCGGTGCGCATGCCACAGCTCGCGCTCGAGGCCATGTGGGACACGGCGCCCTTCAACGACCGGTCGCTGTGGCCCGAGGACGGCGGCCAGCCGTTTGTGTGGTCGCACGACGACCGGCTCGGCTACGGCACCCACGCCGACTACGTCTTCGGCTGGCAGGGCGACGCGCTGCAGCGCGCCATGGACTCGCCCTGCATGTTCCGGGCCTGCGGCGCCGCCGGCGGGCCCCTGACCATCCAGCGGCGCGGGGCCAAGAACGAGTGCAACGTCAAGAGCACCGTTACGGAGCAGATTGATGGGTGTAAGTCGCTGTGTTGTGTTTCGTTTGTGGTTGCGAGATTGGTGCTGATTATGATTTTGCAATACCAGGGCTGGATAGGCTACCGGGGAGGTAGATTGTCTCTGATTCTGGGCAGATGGTGGTGTCGTGGAAGGGGGTTTAAGATGCGAGAAGGGGGAGAACATGTTTCCAAATTTCTGCTTCAAACTTTTTGCTTCGCTGGGCTACCTGGTATTTTGTCTTGGCTTTTCCACCAACAAGGACACTCACGTGTGTGATCGGAATGCTATATATCTGTTCGCCAAACCATGTGTTCGTTTCCAAACGCGGAGCAGCTCCTCCAACTACGTGCCATTTTTATCAGATCGATCTGATAACAGTGCATCTCCACTACGCCAAGGCGCTTGACGCTATTCGATCGGCGCCGGACCAAGCATGGCTGTGGTGGAGACGGAGCCACCATTGGTGGCCCCAGGCGGCCGACATCATACCGCGATTCCACGTTTTCCTCACCATACAACGTTGCGGCACTCGGGATGGCAGATGGGAGTAGGCTGGCCGACAAATCTGGGGGGTTAGAGCGGTCAGTGTCTGCACTCCTTGCCTGGTCTAGACTAGTATGCCAACTGCCAAGCAACCTACAGTCGAGAAGGTACACACGTGACCTGAATCCACTGTTGCTGGCCTCACCCACGGGGTTTCTGGGAATCCCCAGGTAGATTTTCCCATGAGGAAAACACGATCTGATCATCAATCTCCACAAACCCCTCATCGGTTCTGTTGTGTCTTCAACCCCTGGACTGCCCACATGGCCCCAGCAGCCGCTCCTCAGCAGCCAAACGGAATGTCTGCGCGACCGGTTTATGACGAGGCCTCTATCCTTGACCTAGCCCAGTCATCCAAGCTCTGCACCCGGTGCCGTGCCATTTTCCATGCCAAGCCTCACCCAGAGTTTGTCTATGACCTGACCGCGGACACAATCTTCAATCGCCACGGGTTCCGCCGCCCTTACCATAGCGAGCGCGGCTTGGTGAGCGCGGTGCTCGACGTCGGTTGCGTGGTCTGCAAACATCTGTTCAATTCCGCGCCGGCCCGCGATGAATTTCTCGCCCGAGTCAAGGCAGAATGGGACGACATTGGACCAGACCAGATGGCATCGCTTTTCTGGGTTGGGTCGGGCTTCCACGATGGCCTTGGTGGCCCAGAAAATGGCAAAGATAAAAGATTCTTCACCATCCACATGGAGGATCGGCTCGAGACCCCGGACAACGGAGAGTACTGGTGTATTGAGGAGTATTTCACCGTCACGACATGTGAGTTGAGCTCCTGTGTTTTGCCGAACCTGGCTGCTCGTCCACCTAGCTCGAGGCTGATCGAACTACCTCCAGTGAACGCTCCGACTGGCTTCAAATTCTGCCCAAGACCTGATCCTGCGCAGCTCCCTGACCTCGTCCGGCAATGGGTGGCTAGATGCCAAACCCACGAATCGCACGAACATTGCAGGGCATACCAGGCATTGCCCCGCCAGGCGCCCCGGAGGGTGCTTGAGATAACTGACAAGGCACTGCTGCTGCGTGTGCTCCCTCGCGATAACTGGACGGGCACCTACATCACACTTAGTCACCGCTGGGCAGTCCCAGAACCCCCAAAACTCCGCCGAGAGAACGAGGCCGAGCTGCGATCCGCCGGCATCAGCATCGCATCACTGCCGCAGGTATTCCAAGACGCCGTCCAAGTCGCCCGCTGGCTGGACGTCCAGTATGTGTGGATTGATTCACTGTGTATATTTCAGGACTCTCTCCAAGGTATGCGTCTCAATGCGACATGTACACTAGAGATTGGCCAAATATTGACATAGAAGCCTCCCAGACTGGGAGCGCGAGGCTGGCATCATGGGCGGCATCTATGGCGGCAGTCTCTTCAACGTGGCAGCCATAGACGCCGACGACATGTGCCAGAGCGGATTTCTCGGGAGGCTGGCGAGACCCGGCAATGAGACCTTGCTCCCTGTTGTATACAGCCGCGGCAATGCCTTCGTACAGAGCCTGCGAGACGACAAGATCATCCCCGGCGATGACTGGCCGGAGGGCAGCGTGATACATCCACACACGGCCTTTGATCATCAGGTGCTCCAATCCATGCTCATAGGCCGCGGTTGGGTGCACCAGGAAATACTCCTTGCCCCGGCGACGCTTTACGTCTCGCAGAAGCAGGCGTGGTGGCACTGCACGGCTGGCACAAGTAGCGAGACATACCCAGACGGCATCCCTCCGTTCCTACAGCCACCCGACACTGCCGAGCTGAGAAACTTTATCATCAAGGCCCGCAACAAAGCAGCCGCAGCCAAGCGCAGCGGCGGAACAGAAGAAGACGCGGAGAGCACCCCAGACGACCGCGAGGAGACGCTCATCATGTGGCGCGAGGTGATCGAAATCTACTCCAAGGCCGACTTCACATACGCCCCCGACCGACTCGTGGCACTGGCGGGCGTCGTCAACGCCTTGGTTGACGTCCTAGGCGACTACTACTGCGGAATGTGGTACCGGCTGTCAGTAATGGGTGGTGGCCCCGATGGGGATCAAGGACAATGGGACGACTTCCTCTCGCAGCTGATATGGATGCACGCGCCCAAGATACCGCTACGAAGGGAGGCCTTGTCCTTTGAGGAAACGCCGCAACAGCAGCAGCCTGCTGCCGAAGGGAACCACGAAGAAAAGTCTTCGATAAAGACCCCCATAATTCCCACGTGGTCGTGGGCCAGCTGCCCGCAGGCAATCCGATACTTCCCCGGCGCAAACGGCCCGCGCACGCTGACGCACCTGGCGAGCAGGCCGCCGTTCGAGCGGCTCAACCCTTTCGGCTGGCCCATGGACCATGCAGCGGCCACCCTGCACCTGCGCGGGGCCCTGGTCCCCCTGTGCATGTTCCCCTATCCTGGAAACACCTCCTTTCTATGCTCCTATTCCCGCGTCAGCGACGACGACCATCATGTCAACGTTCACTTCGACTACAAGGAGGAAGAGGAGGAGGCAGAGGAGATGGCAAAGGAGTTGGGATTTGCGGGCCCTCTGCCCGGCTTCTACTTTCTGCCGCTCTATTATAGGGAGCAGGGCAACCTCCGGATCAAAGGCCTCGTCCTCAGGGAGCGGAGCCAGCCCCAGTTGCTTGGCTGCCCGCCCGACAGAAGGCTGTTTTCCCGCGTGGGAGAATTCATGCGAGGGCAGGTCCGTCCGTCCGAGGAGCGGAAGTGGCGCCTCAAGGACATGCCCGAGGGCTGGTCGTCGGTATTCGAAGACTTTGGGATTGCTAGATATCGGGACACTGGGCTGGACAAGGAAGACTTGTGCGAGGACCGGGTGGTGGGCCATGTGCAAAAGGAGCTCGACGAGATTTATTTAATCTAGAGACTTTTGATTGACGGGATACAATGGCCGTTTTTTCCCGGCACGCTTCCTTCCATGCATTGGGCGGCCTCTTTTGCGTCCTGATTCCTATTACATTACAGAGCTCCATATCTACCAACACCCGGCCCCGTAGCCTCCTCCCACCATTCCCATTCCCGTCTCCCCTCGGGGACAAGTGCAGGGGGTCAAGGGAGGGCCGACTCGCTACTGAACCCGCTTGTCGTACTCCTCAAACAACTGGCGGTACTTTGTCCTGATGGCATCGTCGCCCTTCCACACGTCGCGCGACAGGTTCTCGTCGGCGTGGCCGTCGCCGACGACGTCCGAGATCTCGGACAGGTAGACGGCGACCTGGCCGCCGTTGTGGGCCGCCTTGTCGATGAAGTTGGCCTCGTCGACCGCGACGACCTCGGCGTAGTACGGGTGCGCCAGCATGGCGGCCAGCGCGGCCGGGTCGCGGTACTGGAAGAAGGCGACGCCGTCAAAGGACGTGAGCGTGGACGACGCGGGCGCCTCCTCGCCGGCGTTCTGCGGCAGGATCTGCCCGAACGCGCGCATCTGCGAGTAGGCGTTGATGCCGAACTTGGTGGCCAGAGGGGCGACTTTTTTTTTTTTTTGGGATGGCAGGCGGGCAGGCAGGCAGGCAGACATGCATGGTAAGTTTCGTGTGGTGGTGGTGCGGGTGGAGGGAGGCTCTTGCGTGCGTAACAGGGATGAGGGGGAGTTTGGGGCGAGGGAGGAGGGGGGCCTTAGGGCCTTACCAATCGGCGCGTGGGTGCTGTCCCAGTGTTTCCAGAAATCCTCGCGCGACATGCCCGGTTTGCGCTTGATGTAACTCAGCAGCTGCATGGCGTTGGGGGCGGCGGCCTCCGAGGTGGCACTGGTAGTGGCGGCTGTGGTGGTAGTGGTAGTGGTCGGGACGGCCAGAGCCGGGTCCGCGAGAGCAAGGACCATGGCGCCGACGGCCAGGAGCCGCGCTGGAAACAACATGACAGGCTACACAGAATAAGAAACACAGCAAGGAGGCGGGAGTACCAAAAGAAAAAGAGCGGCTGTGAGTAGAGGGAAGAATGGAAGGAAAATGGAACGACGGAAGCTGCAGTTGGTGAGCTCTGGGGGTAAGTTTTATCACATCGGCCCGTGTGGGTGGCCATCGGGAGGCGGGTCGCGCCGATTGGGGCAATTTCGCTTCGGTTCTTGTCGCATACGCGATGATTACCATTGCAGTGAAAGTGAGGACGGTGAGCGGCGTTGGCTCACGCCCAGCGAATCCTCCCCGTGCCGGCCACTCGCATGCGAACAAGACACCAAGACCTTCCTGTTGGAGGGGGGCCCGGCGGGGCAAGTCATGCCTTGTTCGGGCATTATTTCGGGGAAACCTCTAATGTGCCCAGGGGCCGGCATCAGCAAGCCCCGGACTTGATGACCATTGTAGGTACCATACCATCTCGGCGCCTTGCCCTGTGGGCCGACAGCAGGAGAGAAGGTGTGATGGATGTTGCCCGATCACAGGCGAAGGGCCCAAACCGGGCGTGTCGTCCGGCACTCCCAGCCCCGCCGCCCGCGATCGATCTCCAGGGGATGTCTGGGGTCCCCTCCCCCGGCGGAAGGAAACACCGCCCTGCTCCCTTTTATAGTCAGATCCATAACCCGCTCCCGCCCCATCCGCACGGGAGCTTCCCGCTGCCCTAGCGTCGTCTGAGCACATCACCCTTTCTCCACGCCAACATGGCCGCCCGCGAGTCCTCGGTGGCTGGGTTCCCCGTCGTGAACGGCGTCACAGTATTCATCCCGCCGCCCGAGGGTTATATCGTCGACTTCTCGAACCCCCGGCGCCAGAGCGCGCTGGAGCACTACCTTGTCGCCGGCATTCTCGGCCCCATCGCCCTCGTCGCGCTCTGTCAGCGCATCTACACCAAGATCTACCTCGGAGCGGGCTTCAAGGTCGACGACTGGTTCATGTGTATTGCGTGGGTCAGTGACTGATGAGACTCCGAACGGGGCGGGGTGTTTGGAAGTTGGGAGGGATGCGTGGAAATCCGGCTAACGCGAGGGTGAGGAAAAAAAAAACACCCCAGGCCTTCTCGGTAGTAATGCAGTCGACGCAGATATACTCCATCAGCATCGGCGGGCTCTGCCACCACACTTGGGAGATGTCCATCGAGACGTTCGAGAAGAGCCTGATGGTGTCCTACGTCGCCGCCACCGCCTTCATCCTCTGCAACGGCTTCACCAAGACGTCCATCCTGCTCTACTACCGCGGCATCTCGCCCCGGGCCTGGTTCCAGCGCGCCATCTGGGCGGCCTGCGGCATGGTCGGCTGCTACACGATAATCATCGCGTGCATGCTGCTCTTCGGTTGCGACCCCATCGATTCGTTCTGGGTCCCCGAGCTGCTGGGCACGGGCAGGTGCCTCGACTCCAACGTCCTGTACATGGCCATCGCCGTCTCCAACATCGTCTCGGACTGCGTCCTCTTCATCATCCCCATCCCCACCATCCTCCGGCTGAGGATGCGCCTGGCCCAAAAGCTCGGCGCCATGGTCATCTTTGGCATTGCCAGCCTGACCCTGATCACCTCGGTCGTGCGCCTGCAGCTCCTGCCGACGCTGCTGACCTCGAAAGACATCTCGTGGGATGCGGGGCCGGCGAACGTCTGGTCGTAAGTGTTTGTCCTTCCTGCCCCGTCAATGTCCAGCCACTGACCCCGTCGCAACATCGCGGACCCAGAATCCTCGAAGCAAACCTCTTCATCATCTGCGGCTCCATGCCGACCCTCCGCAAGTTCGCCATCCACTTCTGGCCCTCCATCATGGGGGACTCGTCCAAGGACGGCGGCGCCTCGGACCAGAGGGGCCAGTCGGGCCACGCCGAGGACTCGTCGCCGAGCAAGTACGTCGGGGGACGCAACCCGTACACGCGCTTCGACCTCGAGACGCACAGCGGCGCCGAGCTCACCAGCTTTGGGGTGGCGCCGGCGGAGGAGTCCGGTCGTCCTGCTGGCCCGCAGCAGCAGCAGCATACGTACGGCCTCAGGGAATCTGTAGGCTGAGGGTGAGGCATCATCTAAATAGGGTATAATGCACAAACTAGTTTCGAATCACACCAGCAATGCTCGTCCACTGGTCTTTATCAGCTGGACCGGCGGCTCCGCTTTTGCGAGCTCCGCACACTTGAGCCGGGACCTGTCCCTCTCCTCTCGATAGTGTTGGAGCCGTCGTCCGCAAGGCTCAGGCGCAACATGTCCGGGAGGCCCTCAGGGTCCGGCAGGTCGCCTGGCAGGGACCGGTGGCGGCTGGCGAGGTGCCCAATCAGCTGCTTTTCCGCGTGGCAGGCGTTGTACCTCCACGGAACCTCCCGATCCAAACCGGTGGGCGCCAGTCGGTGCCCGGCAATAGCGCAAAGTTCCGTCACAGCGCCCGCGTAGTCCTTGACGTAAATCGGGGGGGAACCGACCGGGTGATGTCCTGCGGTGCCCAGGTAGTCCAGCCGCTCATAGCGGCCACTAAACGCCCCAGTGCTTGAGCTGGTGACGCCCGCCCCCTGATTCTGCGCTCTAGCGTGCTCTTTCAGAAGGCAGGCCATGTGCCACCTCTCGCGGCTACGCTTGACCATGTCCTCTCTGTAGAGGCCACATGTCGCCGCTCGCTCATCTGCGTTGTCTGGCAGTTCGTCTGCAAAGTCAACCACCAGCTTCCGACGGCCCTTGCCCGTACACTCCAGGTTGGCCTTGGCTCCGTTCTCCAGCAGGATCTCGACATCCCTCTTCCGGCCCCAGAACGCAGCCTCCAAAGGTGTCCGGCCGTTAGTGCCGGCATGTTTGTGTCCACCCCATTACTTTGGTCCTTCATGAACAATGGGGTGCTAGATGAAGCAGCCCTAGTGCCACCTCGTCCCGGGCCGCCTACCTGCCCTGCCCTGGCCTTCTCCCTCCACCCGCCCGCCCTACGGTCCTGTGCCGAGCCGTGCCCGCCTTTGGACATCCGGCCGAGACGCCGACCAGGAACGTCTCCCCGCGACCCGGTACCGCGGCACCGTCGGGCCCTGGCACACACGTGTAGTAGAGTTCGCACATGTGGAGACAAAAAGACAAAAAAATATCAATTCAATGCGCCTGTCCTGTCCTTCGTAAGCCCTGTCGTCCAATCCCAAAATGTGTTGCTCTTCTCGGCTTCCCTGCCGCAACCTGCTTGGGTATCCCAGCCTCGTCTGTCCCGTGTTCCAGTTTCCCTGTGCTTCAAATGCTTCAAAAGACACGCCGGTCCTGCGCCCCTTGCCCGCGCGTCGCCCCACCTAGTAGCGACGCGACATCTCTCTGTACTGGTCCCCCGCGCGCCGCTCCACCCTGTACGGCTGCTCCTCTGGGTACTGCGGCTGCCGCTCCCTGCTGTAGTCGTGGTCCTCCCGGCAGCGCCGATCGTCGCGGTATATCGGGTCCTGCTGCCCGCCGTAGCTGCTGCGGGCGGGCGAGACGTGCCGCGCCACCTCCTCGCCGCGGTACCCGGCGTACTGCTCAGGCGCCCGCTGGCCCCGGGACACCGGCCGCTCCGCCTACTGCGCGCTCGTCGGGTGCAGGCTGCTGCCGGTCGTAGTAGTCTCGCTGTGGAACCGCACGATCCGTGGGGGGCGCCGGGCTGCGCTGCTGGTTGTCGTAGCCGCCGCGCTCTGCTCGCTGCCTGCGGCGGCGGCTAGGGGGAGTCGCTTCTCCAAGTCGTGAACAGACTGCATGTCTGGTGTGGCGAGCACCCATTGGAGGATGAGTGTCCAGAACTGCTCTCGCCCCTTGACCCTAAGGTTATTGATGTTGATGTTGTAGATCTTTGACTTGCGCACATTGATGATGCGACTGACATCGTCGATGTATGCGTGCAGAACCCGCAAGTTATCTCCAGATACAGTTATTAGCGTAACCTGTGGTTGGGTTCGGGTTAGTCCAAGTCAGACATGGTGCAGGATTGCTTGCGAACCTACCGGAACGACGCGAAAACCCTCGGTGCTGGTCAGGGAACACTCGGTGCTGGTCAGGAAGCGGTGGATGGCGAGACGGAAAATCGTAAGCAGCTCCTGGGCAAGGAGGTCATCGCGCATCGGCGACATGCACGCAAGGAAGGCAACCGAATGCGGCGCAGATGGAGGCTCTAGTTCGTCTCCGCTCTCCTGGTAGTCGAGAACCCACTCGATTGCGAAGTAGATGCCATCCATGTAGCTCTGCGGGGTATCTTTCATGAACGGCCAACGTCCTAGGCTCGGGGAGAAAAGCGTCTTGCCCTCGCAACCGAGCTCCTCAACCAGGCTACTCACTTTGCCGGACAGGCAGGACGCTGCGTGGTACCGATCGGACGGGTCTGTTGGTTGACCGCGGACAACAAGACTGGACAAGTCCGGCAAGTCCGGCGAAGACGTTATCTCGCCCAGCCATTGCTTCATCAAGACGGGGTCGATGGGCCGGACAAGCAGAAACTTGGCCGGGTCAGTCGACGGGCTCGATTCTTCGAGGTTGAGCTCCGAAATGTTCACACTGAACTGTTTGGCGGTCGGATGGTTCCCGACGAACCTCCAAAAATTGTCGTCGAGACTCGTGTCCCAGTCTGCCGTTTTGCGTCTGTAGCTTGTGATGACAGCGGTCATGTCAAGCCCAAGTTGCTCCTGGCGGAGGACGTAGTCGGGATAGGTCGTGGATGCTATGGTGGGCTGGGATGCAGGAGGCTCTGACGGTGGACTGGGCGGCGGTGAGGATGAGATTGGGGGCATCTTGGGCGGGATGCGGGCGGACGTCAAGGAAGACGGAGCAAGGTCCAAGGCGTTTGGAAGGGCGCGCGAAGGAGCAAGGCGGCGACCAAGAGTTGACGGTAGCGCAGATGGCCGCGTGTTTCGGCGTCAAGTGTTGGTTGGTGATGTGATTGATGTCGGCGGGGGAAAGTTTGGGTGGGGACGGCCGTGGGCGCCAAACGACGCAACTGGTGCGTCACACTGGGCGCCTGGTTAACTGGGGGACAGTGTGCGAGTGTCTGGAGCAGGCACTGTACCAAACTGCGGGGCCCATGGCCCTGGCCAAATGGCAGATGGTGGGGCCGTTGGCCAGTTCCCAACGCCCAACCCCTCGCGTTCCCAATTGGGATAAGCCCAATTGGCGCACGCGTGGTCACCTGACAGGGTTAGGGCGTGGGCCCACCAGAAGAGTGGGTCCCGGATCCTTCCAGGCAATCACCCGTGCGAATAGCTTCTATACGCACAGGGGCCTTAAAAGCCGTGATACTGCTCCAAAAATGACAAACCTAAAACGGCGCTTCGCCCAAAGCTCCTTTGCAGCAAACCGCCGCTGCAAATCTTGAACGCACGAGTTAACCAAAGCGGAAACGGGCAGCTTTGAAAAAATGGGTGGGTGGTGGGAGCTATCCAGGTCGCTTTTGCCTTTTGGCTCACAGCTTCCAGGTCGCTCCTGCCTTTTGGCTCACAGCTTCCAGGTCGCTCCTGCCTTTTGGCTCACAGCTTCCAGGTCGCTCCTGCCTTTTGGCTTACAGCTTCCCAAAGCAGCATGCTGTTTGTGATTCCAGGCGTGCTCAGGATGACCACCCCAACATCACCAACTGCATCGCACCAACTGCATCGCACCAACTGCATCGCACCAACTGCATCGCCTCGAGGAAACCCAATAGATTGTCATTTTGGGCTCAACCTCCATCAAATCTCGCGGGCCGTTTACGAATCGCCTCCTTCAAGTTATCTCTTTCACCCAGCGCATCAGCCAAGCCTTGTCCGCCTACAACGAACCTACACTCTGTTGCTGCATCCCTTCTCCCCGCCCTCCACCATGGCACTCCCAACCCAATTTACACCATTCAAACCCACCGACCACCGCGACTTCCCGGCTACTCCGAGTAAATGGGAGAAACGCATAGCTGCATGGGACAAAGCCATAGCTAAATGGAATGTATCCGCACCTGCAAAGGGTTACGCACCCGCGAATGCCGGAAAGCTAAGCGGTTATTCACTCCACGATAACCCTCCATATGTCCCCATCAACTCTGGCTCCGAGATCGAGTGGCCTCAATTCTTGCTTCTCCGCGTTTTGTACACCAAATCCAACGCTGCAGACCTCCAGGCCAAGGTCGAAGCCGGAACACACGACCTCTTTGCGAAGGCATCATACGACAGCGCCCGGGAATCCCTCAAGGAGAACGCCGAGTGGAATGCGTACATCAGTGATATCGAGGGCGCCAACCCCGGCCAAGAGGGGAGCTTCCCCGACCTCGGCCTCTTCACTATCCCGAGATATCACCAGCTCGCCACGTCCGAAATCAAGCTCCGCCCGACCGATCAGCCACCATCTACCTACGTATTAAGGCCCCGCACCAACATGCCCAATTACGCCGATCATGCCGCCGCCGTCGATGCTTTGACGTCAGGGGTGGCAAGCTCCGGGCTGGTGCACCGGGAACGGAGCCACAGCTCCTTGTCGGGGAAGTCGGCAACCACGCAGCTCTCGGAACACTCCGCAGCCGGCAAGGATGCGGTCGAGATTTACCCCAAAGCCGAGGACGAGCAGATCGTCAACACGGCTCTGATCGACTACTTGATCTCGATCACGATCACCTGCAAGGACGTGAAGGGGGGCTGGACCCTCCACCGGGCCGCGTTCATAGCCAACAACATGCAGAAGTCACCCTATCCCAAGACCTACGAGTCCCGCGTCGACGGCTACTTCCAAACGTGGAGTGGGCGCAAAGCCGCCATTATCGAGGTGAAGCCGTTCATCCGCTCCTGGGATGAGCCGAAGATCAGAATGCAGGAGGCTTCGCAGATGGCGGCCTGGATTAGCCAAGAACCCCCAGAAAGCTATCAGAAGGGCGGCAAAGCCAGGTAAGCTTTTCTTTTCTTTTTTCCCTCTCCCATTTCCCATTTCCCTCGTTTTACAACTAACGCCTTTGTGAACAACCACCTTCAGACGCCTGTTGATTGCCCAGGACAGGCATGAAGTCTTCCTTACCATCGCCACATTCGACAAGGCGTACGTGGAGTACATAAGGAATGAGCCCAACCGGAACCGGAGCGCCCGCACATTCCTTTGTCTCAAGCAGTGCGGCCCCTTTACGATAACTAAATGCCAGGATATGAAGGTATTGTCGTATTTGGTGCTTGGGTTCTGCAGGGCTGTATGCGCACCGGGCGGGCTCGTCGGAAGATAACAAACGTGCAGCAGGACGGGAGACTCGGGGGCGAGGGGAGGGAAGCAGTAGGCAGGATGGAAAGAATGACATGCTTGACAAGGAATGGGAAGGTTGATCAGGGGGAGTGCTACATCACCCCGCATGTATTGCTATTCAACCCCAAAATGGCGGAGTCACCGTGCAGCACAAACTGCCAAAATAGCATACTAGTTTGGGCGGGAAATCCGTGCTTTTGCTGGTCGTTCAATGCCTGTTAAAACCCAGCCTGCCTATGCCGCCTGCGCCTGCTGCTGCCCTTGCATCTCCTTAAACCCCTTCAGCATCTTCGCAAGCCTACTGCCCGCATCCACGACGAGACCGAAGAAACTGCCAAGTTCGACGTCCCCCTGCCCGAGGGCGACAGCTGGGCCGCCGGAGGAAGGAAGATGGGGCTACCCTAGACAAAGCCCGACGCCGTGCTGGACCCGTCCGACGCCAAGTGCCGGGGCTACAGGAACAAGAACACGGCCTGGTGGGACAGCTCGCAGATCTACAGCTTGTCCGAGGCCGTGACAGCGCCGCTGCGGGGACAGGAGCCGGACGGCACGCTGACCTTCAATCCAGACGGCATGGGCGCTTCCTTGCCCCGCGACGCCCAGGGGAACCCGCCCACGGGCTTCCACAGCAACTGGTGGGCCGGCATGGAGATGCTGCGCACGCCTTTTGCGCTCGAGCACAACAGCCTCTGCGACGAGCTGCGGGGCTTGCACCCGGGCTGGACGGGGGACCAGGCCTTCGACAAGGCGCGGCTAGCCAACTGCGCGCCGATGGCCAAGATCCACACGGCCGAGTGGACGCCCGCGATCCTGGCGCGCCAGGGGCTCGAGGCTGGCGTGAACACAAACCGGTGGGAGCTCGTCGGCGAACGACTCACCAGGCTCGTGGGGTGCGTGTCCGGGACGAGCGAAATCATCTCGGGGATCCCCGGGCAACGCCGCCTTCTTTTCCGCTTCCCAGAGAAACGGCTAGCACGTCGCTACAACTCACATGCGGGACCTCGCCTTTGAGGGGGGGGGCAAACCCCTGGAGGATGGAAAAGACGCCTTGTCGCTCACCGTCCACTTCTACTCCTTCGGCGTCGACTACTCCGGAACAATCACGAACTATAACTACCCCTCCTTCCTGCGCGACTTCACCGACCCGGACGGCGTCCGCCGCGACCTCGGCACCATCGGCATCCTGCGCAACCGCGAGCGTGGTGTCCCGCGCTACTGCGAGTTCCGCCACCTGAGCGTGCCTCGTGCGTTCCTCGACATTACAGGCCCCCAAAACAAGGAGCAGGCGGACCGCCTGTCTGAGGCCTACGGCGGCGACGTGACAAAAGTAGACGCGGTCGTAGGTTCTCAGCGAGCCCGTCGTCCCCGTGTCCGGGTTCAGCGAGACGGCGTTCCGGATTTTTATTTTGATGGCGTCGCGACGCCAACAATGGGACGAGGACACGGACACGCGCGAGCGCTTGCGCTGGGTGCAGGGCACGTCCATGAAGGACGTGCTCGCGCGGCACTTCCCGGAGCTGGCAGGGACGCTGGGGGAGAGCGAGGAGGTGTCTGCGCCGTGGGCGAAGATGGAGGGGAGCAAGGGGTACAAGGGGAAGGAGGCGAATGCGCCCGGGAAGTAGGGGGGCTATGCGGTACGGGAGGGGTTAGACATATACTTAGTTGGGCAGTATACAATCTTCTAATAGAGCGTGCTCGGAGGCGCTATTTTGGATGAAAGATGGTCGGGCGGAATGTGCATATCCTTGGGGGGATACCCGCGTGCCAGCCAGGAGACAGCCACATTTCCAGGAACAACACCACATGCGGTCCCAGCTCCCCAGAGTCCGTTCGTCGCTGGGTAGATGTCACAAGGGTGCAATGCAGGCTTGAGAGGGTGATCTCTTATTGAAGCTAATACTCTTTTATGGCCTCAAGAGATGCTTAAGGAGGCAGAGTCTGCTGAAGAGTCAAGGAGAGGAGGCAGAGATCATATAGAGGGGTTCCTGTGGGCCGGGCGCTCAGCCCGGCCCATTCCCGTCCTAGCCGTCCGATCGATGGGTCGCCTCATTGCATCGGTTGGCCCCGCTGATCCGGCGCCTGATTCCCGCATGGGGTTACCCCACCTCTGGGAGCCTGAGGCTATTCCCAGATGGCCAGGATATCTCCGTGTGACAGTAGACGGTCCCGTGCTCTCCCGTGCTCTTCCCCGCCCGGCCACCCCCGTCGTCGTCTCTCGGGGCGGCGGGAATGCGGAACCTTCTGCCGCCTGCCTCGATCTTGCGGCCCTCACCGTCGCCACCAAATCACCCCTTCAACTTCAGCGGCGGGGCCCCGCTTGCCCGCCTGATAGCAACCGAGATGGGGCGTTCCCAAGGCTTTGCTGACTGCATACACGACCAGGCCCCCACAAAGATTGATGTAAGGGACCTCTTGATGCAAAGTCCCTTTTGCTGACTGCGCATACTGGATGAGGTGAGCGACAGATAATTATACTATGCGAAGTCAGGAAGGTACACGTTGTCTCTCGGGCTATATAAAGACGCGCTCCGAGGAAAGACAGCGCGAGAGCAAAAGGGCAGGACACAGCTCCCAAGCAGCAGCTGCACCCGAAACAAATTTGTTGGCGCCTCTCTCTCAAACCTACCAAGATTTCCCCTCCAAAACCTCTGCAATGCATCAAGCGTGGCTCTCGGTCGCAGCCGTCCTGTCGTCCTTCGCGACGGCTGCCCCAACATCCGGCACCGGACTGGGCACCACCATCCCCAGAGCTCCCGCCGCTCCCTTTTCCTTCGCGCAGTGGGTGGAGGACATCATCGCCACGCCCGAGAAGGCCCTCACGCCGGAGCAGGCCGTCGAGGCATGGAACGCCACCGTCGCCACCATGGATCCGCGGGGCCTCGAGAAGCGGGTAATCTGCAATAATGTTGCGGGTACTGAGGCATCAGTAAATTTTCCTTCTGCAGTAAACAGAAAACTTACGACTGATGTGACGGCGACCGTGGCATGTCGTGTGCCTACTTAACCCTTCTTATTTACAGGTCCCGGATGCCATCATCTGCATCAACTTCCTCGCTGCCCTGGGGGCCACCGTTGCGAGACCCACACGATATCGCAGTTTGCGTACTCGGGCAGCAACCCCGGCGCGCGGATCGTCGGGGTTGGAGCCGGCGGGGGGGGGTTTCGAGTTCCAGGTGGTATGTTTTTATCAAGGCCCCCCGGCTCCCCAACAAACCGTCGACTTTTGTGGACGTTGTGGTGATGATGATGATGCTGACAACGCGGATCACCACGACAAAACAGCCAGGATGTTGCCAGCACTGCCGGCCGGATCATGGACAGCTGCACCCGGGCTGGTGGCCGAGTCCAGGGGGTTGAGGAAAACCCGTGGGCCACGGGTGTTGGTATGGCGGTTTATATCCGCAAGTCGTAGTTTAACAAGTTTTCATGGTGGTGGGAAAACAGCGGACCGGCCAGGTAGGCCCAAGCTTCAAAGACGAGAGTTTCAACTGAAACAACTTTGGTATATGCTATGATAGCCCGAATTACCGCGGCTGCTGGCACCACCTTGATATGCGTGGCTAGTGATACGTGCGGCTAGCGACGATATTCTTCATTAGGGGTTCAACTACACGGACAGCATTTTGAGGGATGGGAAAAGCGGGAGTTAAAGCGCTTGAAGACATGTATAAGGAGTTTGTTACGTCGCCGCATCGAGTTACCCCACACTGGATGCAAAACCAAGACTAGGCACACACACGTTTAAAGCATAATTTTAGGAGCTTGTTGTTTGTTCAATTTCCCGGCCAAGGATTTATTTTGAATTTCTGTCTAAAGGAGTGACTCGAGCTAAAGGGAAGAAGAAAAACTTCGTGACAAAGGGAAAGAAAGTCTTGTCTCTTCTCTTGATATCCGCCACCTTCTCTGGCTTGTGCTGAGTCACAAACCATCTGTTGGCTGAAGAAAGGGCTAGTTGAACATTAGCTGACAATCAAACTCGAGTTCCGGGCGCAGCATGCCTTTTTCTGTCTTACCGGAAAGCAGGTGTGCTGTTGTCGAGACCCCTTAGGTGCTGCCGACGCAGTTCCTGACGCCATCGCTGCAGACGGCCTAGACTCGGGAAATGACTTGAATTAGCTTTTTCCTTTTCTCCCCCCGCAAGATTCAATGGTGCGCAAAGAGGGCATACACGGTTGCCGCCTCGGCAAGCGTAGTGGACGCAGTTGCTTTGGCAGGAGCGGAGGCAGCCCACCGGCCGGATGCGGACAGCACTCGGGCAGTTAAAGTTGCAGGTCTGCCGGGCGATCAGCTCGCTGATCTCGACCGGCTGCTCGCGCGAGATCAGCTCGATATCCTCGACGGGAGAGTTGTCAGGGACGGCGGCGGCGGCGGCGCCCAGGGCGAAGACGATGACGGCGGAGAACTTCATTTTGTAGAGAGGGGGGTTTGTCTTGAAGAAGCTTGATGCTGTCTCGTGAGGATGGAGCTTGGAGGGGGCAATGCGATCGGGGATGGCTGGCCTGAGGAGAAGGGAGAAGAAAAGAGATCAGTCCTGGGGCAGGCCGTCTGGCTTTTTATACACGAGCAAGACTCCAGCAAGAAGCTGTTCTTGTCTTTTACGAAAACACTGTCTCAATCGAAAGGCGTACAGCTATAGCTCTTGCCCGTCCCAGTCCAGTTCAATCCTTTACGTCGCCGCGGCTACATCAACTTCGTCGTCTTCCGAAAGTCGAGGATAAGCTTACACGCAGAAAGTCGGGAGGAGTTGGACTTACCGCGGACATGCACACAGCGGTCGATGCTTGTTGCCTATTCGGGTAGACCGATCCACTCGTGCGCGTGCGGGGTTTCTACCAACAGCTCGATTGCTGCTAGGCCGCGTAAAATGGGCCGGTGAATATGCAGGTAAGACCAGCTTGCAGGATCAATATAATTACTTCTCGGCTTTAGACCGATTCCCGACAGCACCTCGGTGGAAAGGGACACACAATACAGCCTAGCTCCTGCGTCCTGCCGCCTCTCGGCAGTCACTCGACACCCTCACGGTAGTTACCACAGCCAGCCCGTGTGGTGTCGAGGCAAGTGTCCGCGCGGGCACGGGCGGGAAGTCCGACACGCGAGCGCAACGGTAAGCTTACACCTAAGCCCAGAGGCGGGGCTCCAAATAAATTTATTGCCCTTCTTCGCATGCATGCAGCAAGTTTCTTCCTCCTACGTCACGCCGAGCATGCACCACTCGCTATATAGTTTGCCCAGGTAGGCTTTTTAGCCTCATGTCCCGTACAGAAAAGCTGGGCTTGGTGATTGTATGCCCAGTTTGGCAGGCTTAGCCCCGAGCAAAACTGTCAGCGTCCGTTCCGATCTGCTGATACTACGGTAGCAGTGCATGCGGTCAGCGCCAGGTCATGCCAAGCCGAAGGACGACGAGAAGGAGCAGAAAGAGGAGAAGGAGAAAGAGGCGGAAAAAGAGGAGGAGAGAGGAGGAGGAGGAGAAAAACGAAGAGGAAGACGAAGAGGAGGACGAGAAGGAAGGGCTTGGCAAATGTCTGCTTGCGATTGGCGTCCCGAGGTTGTCACAACAGATAATGGGGCCCCATGCATAATTCGTGCAGGTGCCTGCACTTTTGTTTATTTTGGCCGATTTGGTATTTGCAACAAAGGTTACAAGTCTCGCCACTGCCCGCTCACGCCACTATCTCTAAACCACAAACGAACTAGCGTCGCCTATTTATCACCACGTACAGGCCTGACGCTGACCAGGCCCCCCGAGCTGGGCAGCCAGCCACCGAGCCTCTGTGACCATGAGACAGCGAAAGGGCGCGCCAGCCGCGGCGGCCTCCAACATCTCGATCCCTCAGCTTCCCACACGCGAAGGCTGCGTCGTCGACGGTAGCTTCCGGGGAGACGGACAGGAACGTCCATGCTCCACGGCCCCCCAGCTGGCGCCTGCCCATCCAAACCCCCCAGGGACCGTAGCGGTGGCTGCGATGTAGCTGCGTGGGCGGTGCTGTGATCTCGACCTTGAGGGGAAGGGAGGCACACACACACACACTCGCCCGGGGGACCCGCGCCGCCCTCACGCAGCGAGCTGCGGTGCATCCCACACGCCCGCCGCGCCACCCGCCTTTTAGTACCGCCTGCAGGAAGGCCAGGGGCTATACCCGCACGATAGTAGCCTGGCCGCCGACCTCGAGCGATGGGAGAAGGGGCGGCTGTGTGAGCAGAGCTGGCCGCAAGCTCGGAGGTGCTCGTCATCGGGGGCTCGAACGAAGCAGGTGGTGAACGCAATTTCCAGTTAACGCGGGGTGGCATGCTTCGTGCTTCAGTACATGGAGCCAACGTCTAGGCGCGACTCAGGGAGGTGTAAGAGGGGTGGGTGCTGCGGGGCAGGTCGCCGAAGCGGATCAACATTTACCACCCTCAAAGTAACGTTTAACCGTCCTCATTCCCCAAGTCTGGCTACAGATCCCTCTGGATTCGCACACATAACAACCCGTCTCCAACGAAAGCAGAACAACATGCCTGTGATACCCTATCCTTTCCACCCATAGCTGATGAGAGTCACCAATATCCACCACATTACATTCTCATGTTCGAGACGGGAGCTGAAGATCTTGATCGACAGAAGTGGAATGGTACGGCTAATGCTCGCATAGGCAAGCCAAGCAGCGAGCAGTGACCTTGAGGTCGTGGTCGACATGAACTCGACCTTTGAAGCCGGCGGAGTTCGCGCGGCGGGGCAGGCTGCAACAACTGATGATTCCTAATATCCGCTCGTGTGCGGACCGTACCTCCTCCAGCATCTTTAAGCCCGGCGCAGCGTCGTCGAGCCTTGCGTGCATCTCCCGGATCTGCGCTTGCGCTTTCGCAAGATCGTTTTCGGCTTTGGCCAGTTGCTCGTGTTTGGAACGCTGCTCCGTCATGTGATCTTTGAACGCGTGAAGTTGGGCCTGGGCTATGGCTAGTTTAGATTTAGGGGACGGCTATACTGCCACAGACTCTAGCTATTCTACCACAAAATCATCTGTGCACACGTGCGATCACTGCCGCGCACCATCCCACCAGCAAATTTACATGTATTTAAATGACGAGCGATGTTCTCCCATGTTGATCACGTCAATTCATGAAGTCACTAGTTCAATTCCCCGTATTGCACGGTCGTTAGCACGGCCGTTCCGTTTTGCACCGGTTGACAGGCAAATGCAGGCACAAATCCGGCTTAGGCCGCCCAACCCCTCAATTTTTTTCCTTCCGCCCCTTTAATTTCTGGAACAACTTCAATCCTCAACACCAAAAAAACCGGCGATTTTTATCAATTTGGCTTCATTTTAATTAACAACGTTTTCCTCCCGCAACAATGCTTTCAACAACCTGCATATCCAATTAAAAGGCCGGCCCCGTAGGCCTGGAAAGGGCATGGGCCGGCCAGGGCCGCAAGCGAGGAAGGACTCCCAAGGGGTCACGAACCCCGGCCCTTGCAGCTAATTTAGGGGTGCGCCCTCAGCCCCTAACTCATTTACCGACAATTCCGACTCCTCCCCTACGGGGATTTGACTTTAGTGCCTCCCGCACGTTACAGTCCCACAGCAAAAGTCTGAATACACGTCACCAAATTACATACAAAAGTTAACACATTCCAACCGCTATATCAAATCGAACATAAATGTTAAAATAAAAGCTTTAAGTAAAAGTAATAATTTGGAATCGTTATTATAATATATATTAAAAGTTGGGTTGTCCATGTGCCGAAAACGTGCATTATTGCGCGTGGAAAATTACCCCAACGCAAAAAAATCGTTACAGCGCTTTTTAGGGGATGCTAAATCCAATTATAGCGCATGCATTTTAAAGTTCCAAATTAAACAAGCTTTTTACAAGCTTACGATTGTTACGACCAACAACCACCCGGCCGGAACAGGAGGCCAGGAAGGCGAGGGGTAAGCAAGCGCTTGCCCCTCACCAAGGGAAGCTTAAGTAAACCGCCCGTAATTTGTTGATGGGGTTACAAATCATTTAGGTAATTTGTAATTTGTCGACAAAATTACAGGTTACCACCCTGGGGAGGGGTGGAAACAAGCGTTAGGAACGGGCTATAAAAAGGAAAGGTTTTTTATTGTCTTAAGCAATTTTTAATTAAAGCTTCGGCATTAATTAAATTTTAGTTAGCTTTTAAATAACCTTTGGAGCAAGCATTTAAACCGCACCCAGGTTACTTTGTAAATCCTTTTAATTTGTTAAATTACGTGCTACTATTCGATACTCCTTTGGTGCCTTACCTTAAGAGCAAAGGCTTAATTGTAACATTTTAATTAATTTTGTTTAGCACCCGGACCGGTACCGAGCAATAGCAATGGCAATTAAAAGCGGCGAATCCTTTACAAAAAGGAACGACGAGCATTTTAGCTACGCAAGCAAAACTTACAACATAACAAAGGTAACGAAAGCCAAAGCCGCGTTTATAGCCATAACCGCAAACCTTACCCAATTTAAGCAATAAGCCAACGTTCCGCAAACGGCGGTCCGAATTTACAAATTTTTTACCTTTAACCGGTACAACGGTAAAAAAAGCACCTTTAAAGCTTTCCTAACCGAATGTCGAAAGTATTTCGCTTTTTACCAAATTTAATTTACAATTAAAAAATAAAAGGTTGCTTACGTAACCATTTGCTTTAAAAGTAAAGTAAAAGAGTAATTCGAACCCGTATAAACAAACTTTTTTAAAAGTTATAACAAAAGCAAAAAAAAAACCAAAATTACTTTCGCCAGCTTTACCCGGTTCGAAAAAAAGGTTATTAGCGTATTTGGTTAAATTAACGAACAACGAATTGCTAAAAAAAAATATTTTAATTTTGATAAAAAAGCGCAACGTTGGGATACGTTTCCAATTTCCAACGCTTTGCTAACAAATTCGATTGGACCAACCAAACCAAAATGGTTTATTTGTACAATGGGCTCCGAAACGGCGTAAAAAACAAGGTTTTAAAGGTTAATTAATTTAAATCCTTTGCCGAATACGTTGTTATCGTAGTTAAAACCAGCAATAAGCTATATAAGCGCCGCTTGGAAAAAAAAAGGCCAAAGGATTAAGCTTGTGGTATAAAGCAACCAATTGCAACAACGGTTTAACCGCAACAAATTTACAACTTATGGTTGTTACTTTAGCCTTATGGATTTTAGCGCCGGCGTTACGCATTAAGGGCAAAGGAAACGCAAGTTCCAAAACTTTAAAAATGGCAAATGCTTTTAATGTAAACAATTTGGGCATATTAAAAAGGATTGCTTTTAAAAAAAGGAGCAAAAAAAAGTATTTTGGGGCGATAAACCTAAAACAGCAACGGCAACCAAAAAAGGAACGGTAAGCTTAAAGGATAACGGCTATCCTGGCCCGGCGTTTTCCTGGATTGCATGTACCAATAACCATTGCGTTGCTTACCATTCCGATAAAAATGCAACAAAGTGGTTTTCCCGCAAACGATTGGCTATAACCAAATAAAAAAACCTTATAGCAATTTGCAGCAACAATTTAATTAATTCCAATAGTAAAAGCAATTAAGCTTAAATCGATAAAAACTTCCGGGAAAACCCCAAATTACAAAACGAAATATTTTAAAAACAGCTTTTGCGCGTTGCCAAACAAAAAAAAGTTTTAAATGCTTTTGTTAAAAAGGAAAACCTTAAAAACGAAGCAGCCCAATAAAGGCCCAATCCAAAATTTTGGGTTAAAATTAACTCGATTCCTAATTTTAAGCTAAAAAGCAACGAAAAAAAAAATGAACCAACCATAAAAAATATTGTAAAAATCCTTTAAAACCCGGACTTTGCTATTTCCAAGCCAGTTAAAGCTTAAATAGCAAGCAAAAATTTTTACGAACGAATAACGTTCGAAAGTAACAAGTTCGAAAAAAAAAGCAACGAAAAAAGCTTAAGTAACTTCCGCCGATACGCTAAAAATGCCCGCATTTTGCAAAAATACATACGGGCGGCGTACCAAAAACAATACCAACAAAAGTACAAATTGGAACGCGATTAAAGCGTTAATTTGCAGGATTTTGGGTACAAGCCAAGCGTTAGCTAAAGGAAAACGAGCCGGGCCACGACCAACCCGTTGTAATTAAGTCCAACGGTTCGGTATATGCATGCGCAGTAGTACTGGACCAAGCCAGTTACAAAACGTTCCGTTGGGGCGGGTTTGCAATGCGAAAGCAAAAAAAAAATTGTACCCAGCACGCCCAAAAACCGTAATCGAGCAATTTTAAAAAGGCAAAAAAGCTTGGAACAAAGCTAAAATTTAACGGCGCTTTTAAAATGTTAATTTGCTAAACGAAAACGGCACCTTTTACGAAGCTATACCAGCCAAAAACGATTTTGGGCGCTTTATTAGCTGGTTTGGTAACAATTACTTAATTACGTACCGAAAGTATACCCGGTTGCAAACGTATAGCTAAAAGTAGGTTAAAAGGTTGCGAAATAGCACCAAAGGAAAAAACCATAATAATTTTATGCCCGGTTATTAAAAGCATTTGTAATTGTTTTAAAAAAAATGCTTCGTTACAAATTATGCAATACATTTGGTTTAAAAGCTTTAAAACGATTTTTTCTTTTGCCGATAAATTAACGAATTAATTACCAAACCAAAGCTAGCATAGCAATTACCCAAATGGTTTATTACCAAAAGGTACGGAAAGTCGGCAATGTTCCAATCCGACCTTTAATAGCCCATGCTTTGCGTTGCCAAAATTTTGGAATGGCAAAAATGCAAAAAATTGGAATGCTAAATTTATATTATGCAAAAAGCCGAAGCATGGCAAATAAGATACAAGCTTTTATATATACCAACGCGGTACGACAAGGACGTAAAAAGCTTGTATAAATTTCCTAGCAACCTTAACAACCCAAAGTACGTAAAGGTACGCAAAAAATGGGAAACAAAGCCGTTTAAGCTTTAAATAAAGCATTTCGAAACAAAAACTAAAAAATCCATTTGTACCAAAGCTACAAAAAGGATAGCTATTTGCAATAAAAACTTTAGCAATAACGATTAGCTTGAACAAGCAACATTTCCATATACGGGTGCAATAAGAACCTTATTGCTTAAAAACCCTAATCGATTGCGGTGCCCAAAGCAATTACGTATCGCTATAAACAATATTACGATACGGTATTCCTATACGCAAAAAAAACAAGCCATACTTTTTTACAACAATAAAAAAAAACCAATCGAATATAACAACGGATGGATCGATATTAAAACCAATTATTTTAGCTTTTAATACTAAAGCAAAAATTTTTAAATAACGCTGGACGCATTGGAAATACGGAATAAAAATGTGGTTTTCGGGATTCCGTAGCTACGAAAGCATAATCCAAAAATTAATTGGAAAAAAAATAACTTTTAATGGAAGCTTCCATTGGCAATTAAAAAAGCTTAATAGCTACGGGCCGCAAGCAATGTAAAAATAAAACCGAAAAAGGGTATTTCGACGGAAACAAAGCAAAGCAGCAATTTTCGAACCTTATTATAAAAAACCATAACAATGCTTTACGATAGGCTTAAACAAAAGCTATAGCAATTAGTTAACGTACTTTCGGAATACCATAAATACTAAAGGTTATTCCAAAAAAACCTGGAAACGGTGCTTTCAAAACACGGGCCGTTTAATTACGAAATTAAATTTAAGCTAAATGCGCAATTCAAGTACCAAAAGCTGTACCAATTTAACTTTAAGCAATAAAAAGGGTTAAAAAAGCAATTACAAAAGGATTTAAAAAAAAGGGTAATTAAACCTTTAACATTTCCAATGGGATACGGAATTTTATTTATGCCCAAAAAAAACGAAAAAAACAAATATGCATTAATTACCGACCATTAAACGAAATTACAATAAAAAATCGATATTTTTTGCTTTTTATTAACGAGCTACGCAACAAGCTCGGGAAAGCTAGGTACTTTACGGCTTTGGACTTTCGAAAAGCATATGGGTTGCTTCGGATTAAAAAAAGACAAAAATGGATAATAACTTTTCGGATACGGTTCGGCATGTACGAATCGTTAGTTATAACCTTTGGATTTACCAACGCGCTAGCTACGTTTTAGCAAATAATCGATTACGTGCTTTAAAAATACTTCGATATTTGCGTTTTAACGTATTTAAACGATATTTTAATATATTTAAAAACGTTAAAAAAGCACAAACAACAAATGCATTAAATGTTGCAAAAGTTGCAAAACGCAAAGCTTTTAGTTAACCCGGATAAATGCGTATGGTACGCCCAAAAAATGGTTTTTTTTGGGTTCGTTATTACGTTAGGAAAAGTTAGGATGGACCCAGCCAAAGTATAGGAAATGGCCGATTGGCTAACGCTTACCAACGTACGGGAAGTACGGGCGTTTTTAAGGTTTTTTAACTTTTATTAACGGTTTATGCGGGGGTTTAATGGCAGCGCTACGCTATTTACAAATTTTACCAAAAACGATACCCAATTCCATTAAAGGATACGAAAACAAGCTGCTTTCGAATAGCTTAAAGGCGTTATTTTACGGGAACCAATATTGGTTATTCCGAACCCTAACAAACCATTTAAAATCGAAACCAACGCGTTGGATTACGCAATCGGGGGATAGTTAAATTAACGAAATAAAAAAAAAAGCTGCATTTTTGCGCTTTTTTTTTTACAAAAATTTAAAGGATTTAAATTAAATTACCAAATTTATAATAAAAAGCTTTTTGCTATTATTAAAGCTTTGGAAAAATGGAAAGTATACCTGTATGGGGCAAACCATTAAGTAACGGTATATACCAACCACAAAAATTTAGCACATTTTACTACAAGTTAAAACCTTAACAAGCGTTAAATCCGTTGGAACCAGTATTTTCAAAATTACAATTTCCAAATTTTGTACCGAAAAGGATCGGAAAACGGGAAGGCAAACGCTTTAAGCAAAAGGAGCGATTACGAAATCGCCATTCCAAAAAAAACCAGAACGCTTTTGGCTTATAAGCCAGGAAAAGCGTTGGTTTTAGCTTAGCAAGCAATGGCTTTAACAACCAAAAAACAAAGTTAAACCCCAAAAAAGATTTTGGAAATCCATAGGTTACCGGCCCATAGCCACCCAAAGGCTACCAAAACATAAAAAAAGCTCCGGTATTAAAGCACGTAACGTGGTGAGAATCGGTAGTTTGGAAAAAGGTGTCGTATATGCAGGCGTTAAGCCGGAGGCCGGCCCAACGTGCCAAAGCTATTTAGTGGGTGCGGGGCACCCTTGTGGGCCCCCGTGCGGGCCCTAATCAGGTAACGTGGGGTTACGTAACAGCACACGTAACTTCCACAGTAACGATTTACCGTTAAAGCCTTAGTGGCCGTAACATCCGGCAGCATTACGGGTTTACCGGAATTCGGGCAACAATGCTGGAAGCAATAAAAAATTGCCAAATATGCGCTAAGGACAAACCCAGCAAGCATTTCCTTTATAAGCTGCTTTAACCATTGCTAGCGCCCAAAAAGGCATAGCAAAAAATTACCATGGACTTTGTCGTTAAACTTTTTAAATCCAAAAAGCCTTTAACAGGAATACAATATAACAGCATATTGGTAATAATAAACAAGCTTATAAAGTATGCTTTGTATTTACCATACAAAAAAAGTAATAACGCGCTTACTTTGGCTTATGCTTTTTTTCGGCACGTAATAGCAAACCATAAAATGCCGCAAAAACTAATTACGAACCAAAACAAGCTATTTACAAGCAAATTTTAAAAAACGCTTACGGCGCTTTTCGGAGCAAAACACGCTTTATCGATAGCGTACCACCCCCAAACGGATAAACAAACAAAACGAACTAACAAAACGATAAAGCAATATTTGCGCTATTATGTTATTTACAAATAAAACAATTGGGTCCAGTTATTACCAATTGCCCAATTTGCTTACAATAGCTTTATGCATAAAAGTACAAAGGAAATGCCGTTTTACGCCAATTATGGGTATACCTTTACGGCGTACAACGAGCTTAAGGCCGAATTTAAAGCCCCAGCAGCGGAAATCCAAATAGCGAAGCTTATTAAGCTATACCAAAACCTCCAGGATAAATTGGAAACTTTGCGCTACCGAATGGTAAAGCAAACCAACAAAAAAAGGATCGAAAAACCAATTTTTAAGGAAAGGAATAACGCTTACCTTTTACGCGCTAATATTAAAACAAAAAGGCCAAGCAATAAGCTGGACAGGAAAAAATAAGGACCCTTTCGGGTTACCCGTATTATTTTTTCGGTTAATTATAAATTCCAATTATTACTAACTATGCAAATCCACCCAGTTTTTTACGTTTTTTTGCTAAAGCTAGCGCTTCCGGGCTTTAAAAGCACCGAATTAATAGAAATTAACCCTAACCAAAAGTAAAAAGTTAAAGCCATTTTTAACGAACGAACGCATTACCGCAAAAAGCAATACCTTGTTAAATAGGAAGGATAAGGGGATAAGCACAATACGTAAGAAAATACAACAAACTTTGGGAATTGCCAAAAGGCTTTGCAAAAATATCGTTTAAAAAAAAGTTAATAATAGCTTTGGAGCTTGCGAAACGCCCCAAATTCGGAGGAATCTGGTGGGCAAAAGGAAAAAAACCCCATAGCATATCCAAAGGATAAGCTGGCAAGCTTAAGCAAAAAAAAAGAGGATGCTGGAGCTTTCCCCTTACATGCATAGGACGAAAACTCCGACAAAAGTCGCACCGGGAGTCGAACCCAGGTCTTCCCGTTATAAAAACAAGTGCGTTACCATTGCGCCATACAATTTGTGGAAATTGTTAAAGAAGTTACAACTTACCGGATTAAAAGAGCGCAAGCAATTTAAAATCGATACCAAACCCTGGACCTTCGGGATTAGCAAAAAAAAAAGAAAAAATCAAGCCGACACGATCGGCCAAATAGGCCGATTATGTTAATTTGACCAGGTTGCACCGGGATTCGAACCCAGGACCTCCCGCTACAAAAGCAAGCGCGCTACCATTGCGCCACACGACCAGAAGGAATTGTTAAGGAAGTTACAACTTACCCGGTTAAAAAAGGGCCAGCGGGTTAAAATCAAGATTAACCTTTAACGTTGCCCAGCCAAAAAAACAAAGGAGGAAAGTCGGGCTAAAAGGAGGAAAAGGGGCTAGCCGCTACCAGGGCGGCCTTTTCCCGTTCCGCCCGTTCCATTTGTTCCAATTCCTCCACGGTTTTAATACCCCGAAACAACGCCCGTGTTAGGGGTTAATCGGTGCAGAGGCGGGTAGTTACCGGGTCACGGGCCGGATGCGGTATTTCCTTTGTTAAGCCTCCGTAAATTTTTTACCAAAAGTGCTATTGCCAACAAAAATTGTTCCTTTTTTAACTTCCCCTTTTTTCGTGCCTTTTCGAGCACGCAAGGTTGGTTTTATAAGTCTTTCGCGCTTTATGCGCTTTCGTGCAATTTAAAGTTTACCTTATTTTTTAATTTTGCCGTTATGTTTTGGCCGCGATACCGGTAGCTTGCCGGCATGTCCCCGGAAAAGTCCGTGCCCGATTGGCTGCTAGCGCCCTTTTTTTCCTTTTTTGCCGGGCGGTTTCGCCCGTTTTTTTAACGCTTTCCGCTTTTTGCCGGGCGGTTTTGCCCGTGCTTTTAATATATTGCCCTTTTCCGATACGGCTTGTTCTAAGCCGCATATGCCGCGCGTGGGGATTTCGTAAATAGCCGGTAATTAATGGTATTTCGGTAAGCCGTTCTAACGTTTGGCGGCGCCCAAAGCAATTGGTTGTAAGGCTTTGTAACATCCCAAAAAGTGGGTTTGCGCCAATATAAAAAAGCTCCTTTTCCCATTTCGCGGCCGCGGGCTTTTCCGTTTTTCCTAAATTTCCAATAGCTATTCCAACGATTTTAACGACCGTAATTGTAAATAGCCAATGTTTGGCCGCTTTTTTTAAACATTTGGTCCTAACCGGTAACTGCAAATATCGTTTTTCGTACCTAACGAAGTAAAAAAAGTAATGTTCCTTCGGGCGTCCGCTTCGGGTTTTTCGGTCCAAACCAACCCGTTAGCCCCCGCTGGTTCCCCGGTCCCAGCCAGCCCGCGGGCCCTTTTTGGTCTTTCGGCCCCGTATAGCTAATTTAGCACTTTGGTCCGCCAGGCCCCGGCTTAACGCTTTGCTAGTAACCCCCCGGTATCCTTTCCAGCCATCGTAATGCCGTTAAATTCGGATTTGCTTAAGCTTTTAATCCTTTAAATCCCCCACAATCGCCCGGCCGGTAACCCCCCGGTAAGCCTTTTAAATGTTGCGGGTCCATCGACCCTTTTTGCGCTTGCAACCTTTTAAGCTTCCAACAAACGTTTCGCTAATAACCCCCCGGCGGGCTTTAACCGCCGCGGCAAAAAGACCGCCGCTAAAAAAAAGCGTAAAGCGCGCAACGAGCGCCGCCGCAAAGCTTTCGCTTCCAATAAACCTGCCCCCAAAACAAATACCGCTTTTTCTTTGCTTTACATGGGTATTTGCAACGCGCTCCCGTTGCAAAAAGTTATTAATGCCCAATAAAATAATAAATATAACCCTATTTGTTTGCCCTTTTTTAAAAATAATTATACGGAGCGTATAGTGTTTTATGCTCGCTATTTTGGTTGTTAAGCATATTAAAACTATGCCGTTAACCCCCGTATACCGATATGCTCCGATAACATTACTGTTAGGGGTTAATCGGTGCAAAGGCGGGTGGTTACCGGGTTACGGGCCGGATACGGTGTTTCCTTTGTTAAACCTCCGTAAATCTCTTACCAAAAGTGCTATCGCCAATAAAAATTGTTCCTTTTTAACCTCCCCTTCTTTCGTGCCCTTTCGGGCACCCGGGGTCGGTTTTTTAAATTTTTCGCGCTCCAAACGCTTTCGTACAATTTAAATTTTACCTTATTTTTTAATTTTGCCATTATACTTTGGCCGCAATACCGGTAGCTTGCCGGCATATCCCCGGGGGGTTCGTGCCCGGCTGGCTGCTAGCGCCCCTTTCCTTTTTTTTTGCCGGGCGGTTTCGCCTGTACTTTTAACATATTGCCCCTTTCCGATACGGTTTATCCCAAACCGTTTATACCGCGCGTACAACCCCGTAAATAGCTAATAGCTTACGGTATTCCGCCAAACCGCCCCAATGCCCGGCAACGCCTAAAAAAACCGGTTGTAAAATTTTGTAACATTCGGAAAAATGGGTCCGTACCGGCATATAAAAAGCTTTTTTTCCCGCTTAAAGTTACGAGCCCTTTTTTTTTCCTTTTTATGCATCCAATAACCATTTTAACAATTTTAACAATTGTAACCGTAAGTAATCGGTATTTAACCGCTCCTTTTAAATACTTAAATTTAACCGGTAGCTATAAATGTTATCCTTTGTACCCAATTACGTAAAAAAAGTAATGTTTTTTCGGGTATCCGCTTTGGGTTTTTCGGTCCTAACCGGCCCGTTAGCCCCTTTTAGCAACCCCCCGATATTTTTCCCAATTATCGTGGTTTAATCGAATTCGGACTCGGTTTCGCCGAAACTTCCAATCCTTTAAATCCTTAACGATCGCTTTACCGGTAACCCTCCGGTAAACCTTTTAAATGTTACGGGTTCATCGGGCCCTTTTGCGCTTGCAACCCTTTAAAATTCCCGCAAACGTCCTGCCGGTAACCCCCCGGCGGGCTTTAGCTACCGCGGCAAAAAAACCTTCGCCGAAAAAAAGCGTAAAGCGCGCAACAAGCGCCGCCGCAACGCTTTCGATTCCAATAAATTTGCCCCCAAAACGAACATTGCTTTTTTTTCGTTTTACATAAATATCCGCAACGCGTTCCCGTTGCAAAAGGTTATCGATTTCCAATAAAGCAATAATTGGGACCTTATTTATTTGCCCCTTTTTAAAAACAATTATACGGAGCGTACGGTATTTTGTAACCGCTATTTTAATTGTTAAGCATATTAAAATTATACCGTTAACCCCCGTATACCGATATGCTTTAATAATTGTACGGGGTTTTTCAAATGTATTTATTGCAAAAACGTGGTTAGCAACAAAGCTTGCGTTAAATTTCCCAAATGGTTTTGGAAAAATGGCCCAAAACCTTTACAAAATTTTAAATACCGTTTACAAACGGTTG